CCTCTTTTCGCCCGCCACCGCGCCTCAGCCCAGCTGTGGGGTGCTCTTACTCTGCGCCTAGCAGGAGATGTGACTCTCCCCTTCAACTACTCTTCATACGCTCTCAGGCTCAAGGTGAGAGGCAAGGCTTTCTGTTGGAGAACCGTCGTGGATCCTCTTTTCGCCCGCCACCGCGCCTCAGCCCAGCTGTGGGGTGCTCTTACTCTGCGCCTAGCAGGAGATGTGACTCTCCCCTTCAACTACTCTTCATACGCTCTCAGGCTCAAGGTGAGAGGCAAGGCTTTCTGTTGGAGAACCGTCCTGGATCCTCTTTTCGCCCGCCACCGCGCCTCAGCCCAGCTGTGGGGTGCTCTTACTCTGCGCCTAGCAGGAGATGTGACTCTCCCCTTCAACTACTCTTCATACGCTCTCAGGCTCAAGGTGAGAGGCAAGGCTTTCTGTTGGAGAACCGTCCTGGATCCTCTTTTCGCCCGCCACCGCGCCTCAGCCCAGCTGTGGGGTGCTCTTACTCTGCGCCTAGCAGGAGATGTGACTCTCCCCTTCAACTACTCTTCATACGCTCTCAGGCTCAAGGTGAGAGGCAAGGCTTTCTGTTGGAGAACCGTCGTGGATCCTCTTTTCGCCCGCCACCGCGCCTCAGCCCAGCTTACTCTGCGCCTAGCAGGAGATGTGACTCTCCCCTTCAACTACTCTTCATACGCTCTCAGGCTCAAGGTGAGAGGCAAGGCTTTCTGTTGGAGAACCGTCCTGGATCCTCTTTTCGCCCGCCACCGCGCCTCAGCCCAGCTGTGGGGTGCTCTTACTCTGCGCCTAGCAGGAGATGTGACTCTCCCCTTCAACTACTCTTCATACGCTCTCAGGCTCAAGGTGAGAGGCAAGGCTTTCTGTTGGAGAACCGTCCTGGATCCTCTTTTCGCCCGCCACCGCGCCTCAGCCCAGCTGTGGGGTGCTCTTACTCTGCGCCTAGCAGGAGATGTGACTCTCCCCTTCAACTACTCTTCATACGCTCTCAGGCTCAAGGTGAGAGGCAAGGCTTTCTGTTGGAGAACCGTCCTGGATCCTCTTTTCGCCCGCCACCGCGCCTCAGCCCAGCTGTGGGGTGCTCTTACTCTGCGCCTAGCAGGAGATGTGACTCTCCCCTTCAACTACTCTTCATACGCTCTCAGGCTCAAGGTGAGAGGCAAGGCTTTCTGTTGGAGAACCGTCCTGGATCCTCTTTTCGCCCGCCACCGCGCCTCAGCCCAGCTGTGGGGTGCTCTTACTCTGCGCCTAGCAGGAGATGTGACTCTCCCCTTCAACTACTCTTCATACGCTCTCAGGCTCAAGGTGAGAGGCAAGGCTTTCTGTTGGAGAACCGTCCTGGATCCTCTTTTCGCCCGCCACCGCGCCTCAGCCCAGCTGTGGGGTGCTCTTACTCTGCGCCTAGCAGGAGATGTGACTCTCCCCTTCAACTACTCTTCATACGCTCTCAGGCTCAAGGTGAGAGGCAAGGCTTTCTGTTGGAGAACCGTCCTGGATCCTCTTTTCGCCCGCCACCGCGCCTCAGCCCAGCTGTGGGGTGCTCTTACTCTGCGCCTAGCAGGAGATGTGACTCTCCCCTTCAACTACTCTTCATACGCTCTCAGGCTCAAGGTGAGAGGCAAGGCTTTCTGTTGGAGAACCGTCCTGGATCCTCTTTTCGCCCGCCACCGCGCCTCAGCCCAGCTGTGGGGTGCTCTTACTCTGCGCCTAGCAGGAGATGTGACTCTCCCCTTCAACTACTCTTCATACGCTCTCAGGCTCAAGGTGAGAGGCAAGGCTTTCTGTTGGAGAACCGTCCTGGATCCTCTTTTCGCCCGCCACCGCGCCTCAGCCCAGCTGTGGGGTGCTCTTACTCTGCGCCTAGCAGGAGATGTGACTCTCCCCTTCAACTACTCTTCATACGCTCTCAGGCTCAAGGTGAGAGGCAAGGCTTTCTGTTGGAGAACCGTCCTGGATCCTCTTTTCGCCCGCCACCGCGCCTCAGCCCAGCTGTGGGGTGCTCTTACTCTGCGCCTAGCAGGAGATGTGACTCTCCCCTTCAACTACTCTTCATACGCTCTCAGGCTCAAGGTGAGAGGCAAGGCTTTCTGTTGGAGAACCGTCCTGGATCCTCTTTTCGCCCGCCACCGCGCCTCAGCCCAGCTGTGGGGTGCTCTTACTCTGCGCCTAGCAGGAGATGTGACTCTCCCCTTCAACTACTCTTCATACGCTCTCAGGCTCAAGGTGAGAGGCAAGGCTTTCTGTTGGACAACCGTCCTGGATCCTCTTTTCGCCCGCCACCGCGCCTCAGCCCAGCTGTGGGGTGCTCTTACTCTGCGCCTAGCAGGAGATGTGACTCTCCCCTTCAACTACTCTTCATACGCTCTCAGGCTCAAGGTGAGAGGCAAGGCTTTCTGTTGGAGAACCGTCCTGGATCCTCTTTTCGCCCGCCACCGCGCCTCAGCCCAGCTGTGGGGTGCTCTTACTCTGCGCCTAGCAGGAGATGTGACTCTCCCCTTCAACTACTCTTCATACGCTCTCAGGCTCAAGGTGAGAGGCAAGGCTTTCTGTTGGAGAACCGTCCTGGATCCTCTTTTCGCCCGCCACCGCGCCTCAGCCCAGCTGTGGGGTGCTCTTACTCTGCGCCTAGCAGGAGATGTGACTCTCCCCTTCAACTACTCTTCATACGCTCTCAGGCTCAAGGTGAGAGGCAAGGCTTTCTGTTGGAGAACCGTCCTGGATCCTCTTTTCGCCCGCCACCGCGCCTCAGCCCAGCTGTGGGGTGCTCTTACTCTGCGCCTAGCAGGAGATGTGACTCTCCCCTTCAACTACTCTTCATACGCTCTCAGGCTCAAGGTGAGAGGCAAGGCTTTCTGTTGGAGAACCGTCCTGGATCCTCTTTTCGCCCGCCACCGCGCCTCAGCCCAGCTGTGGGGTGCTCTTACTCTGCGCCTAGCAGGAGATGTGACTCTCCCCTTCAACTACTCTTCATACGCTCTCAGGCTCAAGGTGAGAGGCAAGGCTTTCTGTTGGAGAACCGTCCTGGATCCTCTTTTCGCCCGCCACCGCGCCTCAGCCCAGCTGTGGGGTGCTCTTACTCTGCGCCTAGCAGGAGATGTGACTCTCCCCTTCAACTACTCTTCATACGCTCTCAGGCTCAAGGTGAGAGGCAAGGCTTTCTGTTGGAGAACCGTCCTGGATCCTCTTTTCGCCCGCCACCGCGCCTCAGCCCAGCTGTGGGGTGCTCTTACTCTGCGCCTAGCAGGAGATGTGACTCTCCCCTTCAACTACTCTTCATACGCTCTCAGGCTCAAGGTGAGAGGCAAGGCTTTCTGTTGGAGAACCGTCGTGGATCCTCTTTTCGCCCGCCACCGCGCCTCAGCCCAGCTGTGGGGTGCTCTTACTCTGCGCCTAGCAGGAGATGTGACTCTCCCCTTCAACTACTCTTCATACGCTCTCAGGCTCAAGGTGAGAGGCAAGGCTTTCTGTTGGAGAACCGTCCTGGATCCTCTTTTCGCCCGCCACCGCGCCTCAGCCCAGCTGTGGGGTGCTCTTACTCTGCGCCTAGCAGGAGATGTGACTCTCCCCTTCAACTACTCTTCATACGCTCTCAGGCTCAAGGTGAGAGGCAAGGCTTTCTGTTGGAGAACCGTCCTGGATCCTCTTTTCGCCCGCCACCGCGCCTCAGCCCAGCTGTGGGGTGCTCTTACTCTGCGCCTAGCAGGAGATGTGACTCTCCCCTTCAACTACTCTTCATACGCTCTCAGGCTCAAGGTGAGAGGCAAGGCTTTCTGTTGGAGAACCGTCGTGGATCCTCTTTTCGCCCGCCACCGCGCCTCAGCCCAGCTTACTCTGCGCCTAGCAGGAGATGTGACTCTCCCCTTCAACTACTCTTCATACGCTCTCAGGCTCAAGGTGAGAGGCAAGGCTTTCTGTTGGAGAACCGTCCTGGATCCTCTTTTCGCCCGCCACCGCGCCTCAGCCCAGCTGTGGGGTGCTCTTACTCTGCGCCTAGCAGGAGATGTGACTCTCCCCTTCAACTACTCTTCATACGCTCTCAGGCTCAAGGTGAGAGGCAAGGCTTTCTGTTGGAGAACCGTCCTGGGCCTTCTCTTCGCCCGCCACCGCGCCTCAGCCCAGCTGTGGGATGCTCTTACTCTGCGCCTGGCAGGAGACGCAGCGCTCCCTTTCAACTTCTCCACATACGCCCTCAGGCTCAAGGTGCGTGTGCGTTCTCCCTTCACCCGCCATCGTGCCACAGCCCAGCTGTGGGGGTCCCTTGTGACTTCTCAGTCGACTCAAAAGTCACTTTGTGCCACAGCCCAGCTGTGGGAGTCCCTTGCCCTGCGCCTAGCAGGAGACGCGGCTCTCCCTTTCAACTACTCCACTTACGCCCTCAGGCTCAAGGTGGGTCGCAAGCCCATGTGAGGTGACTTTTGAGTCAGCAGTGGGTCAAGGTGATTTGCGATACCCACTCAACAGTCACAAGTCACCTCAGGCTCTCAAGGTGGGTCGCAAGCCCGTCTGCTGAGACTTGTGCATGTGGGTGCAGTCGCAGTTTTAGTCGCACACGCCCGCACCACGCACACTCACTCACACACACACACACACACACACACACACACACACACACCCACGCACCCACGCACCCACGCACCCCTACGCACGCCCACGCACACTCCCCTCACACACTCGTTTTCATGCACTCGTTTTTACAGCAGAACGTGTCATGGCATGGCACACCCCATCCGACCCCGCCTCTTTCCCCTGGAATACAGTCTACTCCAATGAGTGGGAGGCTTCGTTACAGTCACATGCAGCACAGCACCACGTATCATGTCACACCCCATCTGGCCCTGCTCTCATGCACCCATCACACCCCGCATTTACCCCCCCCTCTGCCTTCCCCCGGATTACACCAACGAGCTGGAGGCCTCGTTACTTTGAGACGCCTTAAGAACCCATCTCAACCTGCATTCACACCTCCCTCCTTTCCCCAGGATTACACCAACGAGCTCCAGGCCTCGTTACAGTCACACCCAGCGCAGCAGCACGTGTCTCTGGATGCTATCTGGAACGCCATTGGCCAGCTTGAGACGGCAGTGACAGAGATCACCAATCAGAGAGCAGAAGCTATTGCAGCAGGAGAAGCAGCAGGAGAAGCAGTAGGAGAAGGAAAGCGAGCGGGAGGAGTTGAATCAGGAGTAGGCGGAGGAGGGGGAGAAGGAGAAGGAGGAGTGGCATTGGCACAGCGCAGATTGATGAGCGCATCCCCCAGCGTGCATCTTCACATGCCTCTTCCTCTTCTTCTGAGGGACATCAATGACCGACTCATGCTGGCTGAGCGCGGCTTCCTGGAAGCTGCTGGGCTCGGGCCCGGCTACACGTGGTACCGGCACATGGTGAGTATGTGGAGTGGTGATGAGGGGTGATGGGGGGTGATGGGGGGTGATGGGGGGTGATGGTACTGCTGTTGCGCCCTGGCACATGGTGAGTATGCGTATGTGTGGAGGGGTGATGGGGGCTGATGGTGGCTGATGAGGGCTGATGGCTCCGGTTTCACTGACTCCAATTTCACAGACTCCGGTTTACACTGTTTTTTTTCCTACTTGCTTGAGCCTGAACCTAAGTGCTGCTGCTCACTGGAAAATGTCAGAGGATCAGGCGTACGGCCCAGCCGGGCCAACGACTATGGGTCAGTGGCCTTCTCTCAGCCCTCGCGCCCTGCCCTCTCTCCCTCTCCCCCTGCTCCCTTCCCCCTGCCAGGTGTATGGTCCCAGTCGTGCCAACGACTATGGGTCAGTGGCCTTCCCTTCAGTGGCCGACGCGCTACAGGACACAACCAGGGGTGGTGGAGCAACATCTGGTATGAATGCCATGCATGCCATACATACCATTCATGCCATACATACCATGCATGCCATACATACCATCCATGCCATACATACCATCCATGCCATACATACCATCCATGCCATACATACCATGCATGCCATACATACCATCCATGCCATACATACCATGCATGCCATACATACCATCCATGCCATACATACCATCCATGCCATGCATACCATCCATGCCATACATACCATGCATGCCATACATACCATCCATGCCATACATACCATGCATGCCATACATACCATGCATGCCATACATACCATCCATGCCATACATACCATGCATGCCATACATACCATCCATGCCATGCATACCATCCATGCCATACATACCATGCATGCCATACATACCATCCATGCCATACATACCATGCATGCCATACATACCATGCATGCCATACATACCATCCATGCCATACATACCATGCATGCCATACATACCATCCATGCCATACATACCATGCGTGCCATACATACCATCCATGCCATACATACCATCCATGCCATACATACCATCCATGCCATACATACCATGCATGCCATACATACCATCCATGCCATACATACCATGCGTGCCATACATACCATCCATGCCATACATACCATCCATGCCATACATACCATCCATGCCATACATACCATCCATGCCATGCATACCATCCATGCCATACATACCATGCATGCCATACATACCATCCATGCCATACATACCATGCATGCCATACATACCATGCATGCCATACATACCATCCATGCCATACATACCATGCATGCCATACATACCATCCATGCCATACATACCATGCGTGCCATACATACCATCCATGCCATACATACCATCCATGCCATACATACCATGCATGCCATACATACCATCCATGCCATACATACCATACATGCCATACATACCATGCGTGCCAGACATACCATACATGCCATACATGCCGTGCGTGCCATGCGTGCCATACATACCTCTCCATTGGGACGCTTCCGCTGGTAGTACTCTTTCTCTTGAACCACTCCATCCTGCGCCGTCTCTTCTGCCTTTGGCAATCTGTCTCGTCTCGTCTCTATGTGCCTGCAGCACCGGACTGGGGCCGGGTACAGCATGAGGTGTTCCGGGTGGCAAGGGCAATAGAGAGGGTCGCCAGACAGCTTGCGGGAGATTTGATTTGATTCGTGTTTTGAGTTGACTCAAAACACGACTGTGTGTGCCTGCAGCACTAGAGTGGGGTCGGGTAAAACACGAGGTGTTCCGAGTGGCAAGGGCGGGCGATAGAGAGGGTCGACAGACAGCTTGCGGGAAATTTGAGTTGATGATATTTGCTCCTAAAAGAGACTTGATTGAGCCACATGGGTTCAGTTCACATGTATGGATCCACCGTCTGCACATTGATGGGAATTGGCTGGTATTTGACAAGCTTGCATATGTTTATTGGCCAAAAACCCTTTCCAGGTTAACAGTGTCACAAACAGCATTTACCAAAAGCACACTAACTGACCTTATTTAGCAAGTATTAGCCTGTCAGGCATCCCTTTGCACACTACTGTTACAACAGCGCACTTGAGGTGCGCTTTGAACCGGTCTGAACCGTATGCAAACCCCCCTCAGCACTCTCGTTGCCGCTTGTTCAAAAAGTCCACTGCGCCATCAGCTCCGCTCGCATTCCCCTCGACCTCCCTCCCCCTCTTCACACTCGACTGCGCGGACGCGGGGAAATTCACTTCCGATGGGCGGGAAAGGTCCATGGGCGGGTGCGGCGGAAGCTGCGCGGGGTGGGGGAGTGGCGGATGGGCAAAACCCGCGGAGGACCAGGGCGCAAGCGCTCCAGGTGGAAAGGCAGGCACGTTGAAAGGCGGAGCGAAGGGGGGAGCACCAGGCGGATGCTGCGCGGACATGGGATGAAGAGGGGCGAATGCGGGAGGGTATGGCCCCATGTACGGGGACCAGGCGGAAGATACGGGCGCGGAGATGGGGAACGGAGCGTGCGCGGAAGGGCCTGCGCTCACGCTCACGCTCGCGCCAGGAGCGCTACTTGGTGCAGCTGTTGTCGAGGGGCAGAAGGCGGACGGGCTTCCGCGCGCCAAACCGCCGAACGCGGAAGGCGCTGGCAAGTTGGGGAGTCCGGGGAGAGAAAGCGGAGCCTCGGCGGGAGCCTGGCCCGCCGTGAAGGGAACTCCACCGAATCTCCACGGATAAAGCGCCGCCAAACCCGCCAGGTTTCCCGCCATCCCGCCTGGAGCCTGCGCGCCGGGCGCAGCAGGCGGCGCGGCGAAAGTTGCGCCGGTGGGGGCGGAAAAGGCGGAGGGAAGACCCATTTGGCGGAGAGCGGCGCTGCTGTCGACCGCCATGTGCGGAGGCAAGTGCGCCGGCAGATGCGCCGGCAGATGCGACGGCAGATTAGACGGCACAAACTGGCCGTGTGGTAAGGCGGCAGCGAACGGATTCGAACCCGCGTCCGTCGCAGCAACAGCGGGATCCATGCCCCACCGAGAAGACCCCGCGACGGCTGCGGCGGCAGACGCGGCGGCCATTGCGGCGGCAGCGGCTGCGGCAGCAACGGCGGGGGAGCTCATACTCAGCACTTCTGCCCCCGGACTCGCCATTCCGCCGGTCAATCCAGTCAATCCGGTTAATCCAGTGACGCTGCTGCCGTCTGGGCTACAGCTGCGACCAACTGACGGACAGAAGCCAAATGGGCCGGCAACAGCCCCACCGGCCGGCGGGAGACCGGCCGTCGGCTGTTGATTCCCCGGGGAGCCGGCAACGGCGGTGGCGGCGGCGGCGCCCGCAGGAATCTTGCCCTTCCGGCGGCCGGAGCCGACGGGGACGTTGCGGAGCGTTCCGCCGGCGGTCCAGTAGCGATGGCAGCCCTTGCAGAAGTGGCGCGGCTGCGACGCGTTGTAGTTGTTGTAGTAGCAGAACTTAGTATCCATACTCGCGCATCGCGGGCAAGGAAGCTTCTTGGTTGGCCGCTTCAGCGACTGCTGCTCTTGCTGCTCCAATTGCGGCTGCTGCTGCTCCTCCTGCCCGTCCGCACCTTCGGAAGCCGCCTGCTCCTGAGCCCCCGTCGTTGGCTGCGCCAATTGCGCTTGCGCCTGCGCTAGTTGCGCCTGCCCCGGCTGTCCCTGCTCCGTTGGCTCGTCCACGCCGCTATCCCCGGCCCCGTCGCTATCGCTGTGCTGATCCCCGGCGCCGGCGCCATTGCTGTGCTTATCTTGCTCTGCGTGCGCAATTGCCGAGTGCTTTCTGCATCCCGCGTTGCCCTCGCAATTGTCATCCTCGCCTTCCGTCGCGCCGTTTCCTGCGCGCGGCTCGTCGACGACTTGGCTTTTCATGCTCGAGCAACTTGCGATGCGGGCTTGCTTTGGTTTGCCGGTCGCTCCCTGGCCCTCCATTGCGGCGGCTAGTATCGCATCCTGCGCATATCGAGGACAGAATAAGATGAGAAGACGGAAAAATGGGTCAGTCTCAGAAATTGGATAATCAGATGCAGATAAGCCGACAAATTTATGAAGATGCCTTCAGCTGTACGCAAGCGGTAACCTATAAAGATACTTACAAGTCCGCGGCATTGCTGCTGTGAGGCTGCGGAATTGACGGCGGAAGATCCGGCAGTTTCGGCAGTGTCATCCTCCCGTCCGCCATTAGTCCGTCTCGATTCGCCAGACAACGACGCGCGAGGAGAGTCGCTCTGGCTGGTTGTGGCCTCTATTGTCCGACCGAACAGGCGAATTCCAGGGTCTCCGGCGTGGGTTTCAAAAACAGGCATCTGTGGCTGCGCAACGGCCGCCATTTCTTGCAATATTGCTTCTCAGTCGCGGCTCGCCAGTGGAACAAACAGAGTCTGACTCACTCAGCGCTACGCTCGTATAATATTCAGTTAGCAGAGACTCGAATTCTGGAGTAGGAAGTCGTAATAGAAAGCTTAGGATGGTCCGAAGTGGCTGTGAACTAAGAACGATGCGGATGTGTTATAGGGCGAGGGTGCTGTGTTGAGAAAAAGTGCGACACGCTGGCACAGAAAAAGGCTGGTTCGACGGGGTGTGCGGTGTGAGTGAGAGCTCCCCGACAGGCAGGCAGGTAGAGCCGCACACACCGCACAGCAGAAGAGGGAGTGAACGTGGGGTGAGACACGGCAGAAGCAGCGAGAGTGGATTGGAGGTTGCGGAATACGAGGTGCAGCGGCAGCACTTTTTGCTGGCGGTTGTGTGGGCTGGGCAGATTCATTTCTTTGAACAGCTGATAATTTTGTGATTTGTGTGGTCGAGAGAGATTTCGGGGGGAGGCAGGGGGGGAAGAGCGGACACGAAGCGGGAGTCTTGCAAGAAGTTGGGGAGGGGAAAGTGAAGAACAAGTCCGATGGAAAGGGGGGATCGGCGACCCGCGCGTGGTTGAGGGGGCGTTTGGAGTGCCCCGCCATCCAGACTTGGCTGCTGAAAGGGAAATGGATGTGAACAGCGGTGCTGTGATTGGTTGAGTTGAACAGATGAAACTGAAAGTTGGGCAGATTTCTTCTGCGTGGTTATGGTTCCCGCCTCGCTCGTAGGAAGATTTTGCAAAGAATTCCGTCGACAGGAAAGGCGCATGGGCGATGCTGTGCTTGCCTCTGATGTGGCGCCTGAAAGGACGTACAAATTAAGAACAAGATCGGCTCAACAAATCAAGTAGTAGGAAAACACGTGTGGAACCTACGAACACGTCATCAGGATGCCGGTACACCCAAACCAGCCCCTCATAAGCCGGGAAAATATATCGCGGATAGACCAGGCTAATGGGGTGGCGAGTATCCTAGTCATGCATTCACGTGCTACACTTTCCAGCCTAAAAGTGCTGAATCAGCAAAAACGGTGTGGAGTGGCAGCGCACCATTCGTTTCATCTCGCAATCATTGCATTTCCTCCACGAGCACAAGTTCTGTGGTTCTGGATAGTCCTGCTGCGCCTAAAGCAGCCCTGGCTGAAAATGCCTGCGGCCTAGATGTTTCTTGTCCACGTATCAATTGCACGGACTGCAATGCATGCGGCTCACTCCCTGAAGATGGCGATTTTCACACGGGAACGGAACGGAATCGCCGAAACAAAAATCTCGCAGTCAAAGTAAAGTGTCTGGGCCGACCATTCCCCACAAAGTGTGGAGGGAGATCCTATCTGAGATACCTCGCCCGCACTCACTAAGAATCGCATTCCATGTTTGCTGTTAAGTGCTTACATTGTACATTTCAGTACACATCTAAGAAACTCGGTATCTAAAATCCTTTATTCTAGTATCAGGCATATTGCTGTCCACCCAAACACGGCAAGAAAGTGATAAATGATGCACTTAAGAAAAAAAACAGAATGAATAAAAAAAATGGTGTCGCTAATTTAGGTTCTTGCTAACTCTAATCAGCTCCATATCACATGAACAACAAGCACAATATGGTATGTGTAAGCATACTCACACACTTACCATGCAAGCACGCACCATGGTACAGTTGCCAACCGTACTACCTGCTACGATCAGAAGGTGATCGCTGCCAGAATCTTCTCGAGAAGGTTCGCACGCAGGTTAGATAGACTAGGTGGGCCCTTGACCTCAATAGCAGAGCGAATGTAACATGCTTGAGATGAGTTGGCAAAATTGTGACCCCCCCCCCTTCTAGTTGGGCCCACTTGATATTCTGATTCAGAGTTTACTTTTGTAGGGTGTAATGAGTTGCAGATTTTCGTTTTTCCCTGATACTGGACCATCTTTCTATATCTGGCCGAGGAAACTTGTCGCAGGGTTCAAATGTGTCGCAAGGAGTGCCAAATTCACATTCGAGCCAAATTCACATTCCCATTTCTGCACCGACGAAAATCCAAGTGCAGATACAAACACGAGTGGCATTTCAGCGCCTGAGCCTTCTGCAAAAAGCGAGAGCAGTAGGAATGTGTTTTGCGGAATGGGTTTGGGGTGTGAAGTATGCGGAGAAACACAAAAAGGAGGAGGTAAACAAAGAGAGTCAGGGAGAAGGAAACAAAGATGCGAGGAGAGATATTCAGGGGACAAACGTGGTGGGTTCGGTGATGCGAGGGGCATTGGGGAGGGGAGAGCACGAGGGCGACGGGACGGGACGTGAGGGGCGAGCGCGGTGACGGGACGGGACGGGAGAGCACGAGGGCAACAGGAAGGGACGAGAGGAAAGAGTACGAGGGCGACGAGAGGGGACGAGAAGGTGCGAGCGCGAAGGCGACGGGAGACGAGAACGTGAGCGCGAGGGAGATGGGAGGGGAGAATCTGAGTGCGAGGTGATGGGAGGGGAGACCATGCGCGCGAAGGCGATGCGAAGACGGGAGAACGTGAGCGCGATGGCGAGGGGAGGGGAGAACGTGAGTGCGAGGGAGATGGGAGGGGAGAACGTGAGCACGAGGCCGATGGAAGGGTAGGACGTGAGCGATGGCAGATGAATAGGGCGATGGGATGGGAGGAGAGATTGCAAGGGCGACGGGAGGGAGAGTGCGAAGGCGATGAGAAAGGTGATGGGAGGGGAGGGAGGAAGGGCGCGGGGAGGGCGTTTCAGAGCAAGAGCGTAGGCAACTGTTAGTGATGGGAGGGGAGAGAAGAAAGGCGACGGGGGGGGGGGCATTCCGGGGCGAGCGTGTGGGCGACGAGGTAACTGAACGGAGGGGAGTGAGGAAGGACGGCAAGAAGGCGTTACTACAGGGAAAGCTCGCGGGCAGCGAGGGTGGGTGAACGAACGGGAGAGAGGAAGGGCGGCAAGATGGCATTCGGCGCGAGCGTGCGTGCTTGCGATGAGAAGGGAGCGGAGGGTTCAAATTCCAAAACGTGAGGGCGACGGGAAGGGAGCTGAAAGCGCGAAAGGGTCGTAACGGGCGGGAAAAACGTGATGACGACGGGGCGGGAAGGAGACGCGGAGAGCGTGAGCGCGATCGAGAGGGGCGGAAGAAAGTGAAGTGACTGAGAGGGCGAAGGGAAGAGAGATTGAGAGGGCGACGAGAAGGGATGGGACATGGCGAGGGCGAAGGGGAAGGAGAAGGGGAGGGCGACGGGATGGGAGAGGAGATCGCGAGGGCGATCGCGACGATTAAAGGCGAGTGAGAGGGCGACGAGGTGGGTGATGCGAATGGTGATAAGGAGGGCGACGAGATGGGTGATGTGAAGGGAGAAAGGGCGTCGGGAGGGCGATTTGAGGCGCGCGCAGAGGCGACGAGGTGGGTGACGCGAAGGGAGAAAGGGCGACGGGAGGGCAATTTGAGGCGCGCATGAGATGGCGACGAGGTGGTTGACGGGAGGAGACGAGATGAAGAGCGACGGCGATTTACAGAGAGCGCGATGAAGAGCATCGAGGTGGCTCGTGGGAGAGAAGAGTGGAAATTGGAAAAATAGTCGGGGCGAGCGCGGGATCGATGAAGTGGGCATTTGGAAGGGTGAGAGGACGGGCAACGGGAGGCCATTTTTGGGCGAGACGAGGAAATACTTACTATGCTCTCAACTATTTTACATCCTAGCTATGCGTGAAAGTAGTAACTAAGGGAGTTGAAATCATCTAGTTATGAACCCAGCACCAGCTTGAAATTGAAGTTGGGCCTGGCGACGGAAACCATCGCCAGGGCACGGACGTGCGGGTGCAGCACGTAGAAATGCGACGGTTGAAATGAGTCAGAAATTTCATTTTGGCGGGAGCAAAAAACATCCAATTTGGCGAGAGCCAATCGCGTGAGAGCATTCTGCCCATACGATTTGTTTGGTCAGACTGGTTTCATTCTCCCTTCGCAACACCACTTTCAAGTTGGGACGGGGGTCACTATTTTAGCTGCTGGCTTTAAAACATGCTAATACCGCAGATATAAATATGAGTACAGGGAAGATGAATCTACCTAGCTAGCCATGTACTCTAAGGGGTACATTCCCTTATTCAAATTCATTCCCAACCGTGCGGCGCGTACAGTTACGAAACTGTCCCCGCCAAAAACCCTCGTGCCTGCAGTTGCCCGATGCCGTCCGCTCCGACGGTCCAGATGCATTCCGACCGTCTGACGCTTCGAGTCAGTTCTGACTCTTCGTATTCGTTTTCGATAATGCATGCTTCCTTAGCCGCGGTCGGGAGTGCACTGTAATCATCATTCATTCATAACACTACCTACCTACCAGTATTCGCGCATTGGCTTGTTGCTTCATGCAGAACCTCTGTCAGTCTTATATACCCACATCTTCACTGACACTTACCATATACTTGCGCCATTGGTTGGTTGCCCCATCTTGCAGCTCTTGGGTCCCTCAACTCTCCATCCTGGTAGCCCCTCTGCAACATTTTGTTGTCAGCTCGGCACAGATTCTGCTCGTGTACCAGTCACAGCTTCTACATGTTAGCAAGCAGCATGAAGGACGCTCTCCCCTTACACCCACATATATGTGTCAAATTACAATCACTTGTCACAAATTGCCTCTGACGCTGGGCATGCTAAGAGATTAGGAGGCAAGAAGACAAACGTAACCCCATGAGCTATCAGCCTGTCCGTCGACGCTGCTGCAGGGATATTTAGTGGTGACGGGATCTTCATGGGAGGGTAAGTCTGGAAATAACACTCTTGATCCTTCTTCACTTTGGTCACTAGCCTTCCACCATCTCTGGTTGTAAAATTCGTCCCGGGCTGCGCGTTTAGCAGGTCAGCCAGCGTCCAACGGCCTGCGAGTATATGAAGGCGGAAAATGCGCTTCTGCTGATCCTCTGTGAAATCGTCCCACTTGATTTGTTCGAATCCGATGTTGGACGGCACGAGGAGGGTGGATGGCTCGGAAAGGAGATCCTCATCGGATTGAACTGCGAGAGCATCAGAACGAGGGAAAAACGAGTTAGGAGCGTGATGTGGAGAGGAGGTAGCATGAACTTGAAAAGCAACGCGGGTGGAGAGTGTCAGAACGTATGACCCATGCAACGTACGAAATTCGGCGAAGATCCGCGAGAAGGTAGAGAGGAAGGGGTGTTTAATCTGTTTCACCAATGCAGTCGCCTCCGTCGCGTCAGCGGATGCGCGGGAAAGGCCGCAAATAATAATGACGGCGCACAGGGAAAGCATTCCCCAGGACACATTCGTCCGTGCCATGCGTGGAGCTTTAGGGTTGAAGAACGTACCACGTACGATTGTGCAACACGTCTACGCGTGTGCAATAGTGGCAATCTTAAAGGCTAAAGACAATACTACATATAACTGGCAAGACGGAAGACAGCCAAGAACAACTCTAATCAACGACTGCCTACCGCACACTACTACGGGGTAGCCGGTAGACAAAAGGATAGAGTGAGGAGCTGGATTCTGGCTCACAAAATTACTTGGCGAGAGCGTTGGTGAAGAAACCGCATGTGGTGGCGGTCCTTAGGCTTGAGTTGAGAAAGGCGCTCATGTGTTCAAAAGGACCCTTGTGGAGTTGTGGGCATGCATGAAGTGATTTCTCGAGGGGCTTACTGGGAAAACTGTGATGGGTATAGTACGGTTCAATACTGATAAAAACGTTTATAGATATCTACACTTCGGTGACTCACGTCAAGCCGTTGGAGGTCAAACCTAATTTTTTGCTTTCTCCACTACCGAAGGTCATCGCACGAACCTGGAGACATGTTTTTGTGTAGTGTTCCATATCAGGAGCAGTGCCCTCAAATAAAGAATGTTTACCGGTTTATTTCATCGTAACCTCCTTGCTATGAAGGTACTCGGTTGAGAAAACATTGTATTAAAGGACGCGTATCTGGTTTCTGTAAAGAAGCGTACAGTATCTGATTGCTTGTGTAAAATTTGAAAAAAATGCTGCTCTTTAGAGTATATTGGAAGGTGGTAAAGGAGGATTTGGGACCCACAGTGAATAGCAGATCTGCCCGGAAACCCACATCTGCAGCACACTTTCATCATCCCTTGCAACCCGCAGATCGATGGGTCACTCATGAAATTTTGAAAAGGGGTCGTCTGGAGATCTCGAGGTGATTGCAGCTCTCTAGGGTTTTCCGCAAAACCATCTCTAGGGTTCTCTAGGGTCTGCATAGAGTCGCGTGTCTCGAAAGTCTCTATACTGTCCTTAGCCGATCGCGAATAACGACCTTGTACACTGGTGGATGACGATGTGATTGTTGTACCATACGCGCTGTACGGAAATTACAGCAGCAAGAGCGATTTCACGAGCACCATGCGGTTAACGTTCTGAGCTCTCAACAGGCGAACTTATTGATTGATTTCTATTCACAAATTCAAGAATTATGGGTCGGAAACGGCCATCGAAGTCCGGATCTGGCTCGTCTCAAGGATCCGACTCCACATCCGGCGATGCTGCTGCATCAGGCGGAGGTTCGCGTGGTGCCATGGTGGTCTCTGGTAGCTCTAGCAGCAGGCGAGGCGCAGGCGACAGAGGGGTTTCATCGCAACAGGAAGAAGGATCCAAGGGAACGGGTCCTGGTTACCTTGAACCCTCAGATCCGCGATTCGCGGAAGTGAAATCGGAATGCGAAAAGGCAGTGAAGGCGCTTCGCCGTGGCAACGCTCCGAAAGCGGTGAAGCTTATAAAGGAAGTCACCGGTAAATTCTCGTCCGTTCCGCTGTGCCACCGCGTGAACGGACACATCCACCTGAAACTCGCGAACATGATCGAGGATGCTTCCACGAAGCAGCGCCATCTACGCACCGCGTTAGAATCCGCGCTTAAAGCCACGGAACTCTCCCCGAACTCCGTCGAATACTCCCACTTCTACGCGCAGCTTCTCTTCGAAGCGGCCGACGGGCGTGACTATAGCGAGGTGCTGCGCGAGTGCGAGCGCGGCCTGGGGATCGAATCGCCGGTAGATCCGGCGAAGGAGAGCCTGCAGGAGGAGAGTCAGCAGGAGCTGGCGACGCCGGCGGAGCGCGTGACGCACGTGCAGAACGAGCTGCGCGGGTTGCAGCAGAAGGCCAACATCGCGTCGTTCTCGACCATCTGGCGCAGCTTCGGCAACGGCGCGGACGAGCGGTTCAAATTTTTGCAGGTATGGGAGTGACTGTGTATGATGAGGCGCCTAAAATAGCAGAAGGCTCTTCAAATAGCAGAAGGCCAACATCGCGTCGTTCTCCACCATGTGGCGCAGCTTCGGCAACAGCGCGGACGAGCGGTTCAAGTTCCTGCAGGTATGGGAGAGAGAGGCTGTGGAAGGTGCCGCGGAGATTCGGTTGACGGCACTAGATTGACAGGGGGGACGTTTAAGTTTCTGCAAGTATGCGTCAGATGGTGAAAGTTCTTACGCGAATTTGTTAGACATTTTCCCCCCGGTATTTTCAGGTGGTTTAAGGTTTGAAGGTACTTGATTAGTGGAAAGGTTATTGCAGGTATTCGATTGGCGGTGGGAAGTTTTGGCAGGAGTTTTGACTCGTGGTTCAGCATTTTCAAAGAGTTCCCGAAGTGGTTGTTGTGTTGAAGGATACTTAGTAAATAATTAGCAGCTTTGAGGAAGTGATTGGTGATGTTTTCCTTTCTGATCCAATCGAAACTGGTCGTGTTTGAGAATACCCTATTCCAACTCTCCCTCCATCCCCATCCCTTAACCCCTTCCTACTTCCAGTTACTTTTGAAAGTTATAGAGAAAGAGCAGATGAAGTAGATCTCGAATTGACCTCGCTCTTTTATTGAGACGACCCGATTGAGCGTCGCTCGTAATCCCTCCTTCCAACTTTCCCCTTTCAAACCTCCGACCTCCCCCCTTTCAAGCCTCCGGCCTCCACTTTTCCCACTCCCCCTCTCCCCCTCCCCCTTCCCCGCTCCCCTCCTTCTTTCCCCCTGCTCTCTCAAAAGCAGGTGAAGATCTCAGACGACCCCATCGAGCTGCGCAAGTCTTTCCCCCTCCCTCCTTCCGTCTTCCTCAGACGTTCCTCTTCCCGCCTCCCCCACCCCCCCTGCCCCTCTTCCCCGGCCCTCGCTCAAAAGCAGGTGAAGAAGATCTCAGACGATCCCATTGAGCCGCGCTCTTCGCTGCCGCCGCGGCGCATCCACGAGGTGAAGCGCGTGGTGCGCACGCTGGAGGAGCGCCGCCAGGAGATCAAGGTGCGCACGCTGGAGGAGCGCCTCCCTTTCAAGCTCCCCGAGGAGCCGTGCCAGGAGCAGTTCGGCCGTACAGCAGCAGCACTTCTGAGACGTCTGAAAACGCTTCCCTCCTGCCCTCCCTCTTCCCCACACCCCGCCCTCTTCCCCACCCGCCTCCCTCTGTTCCCCTCCCCCTCCAAAAGCAGGTGAAAAAGATCTCAGATGATCCGATTGAGCCACGCTCGTCGCTCCCCCCGCGGCGCATCCACGAGGTGAAGCGCGTGGTGCGCACGCTGGAGGAGCGCCGCCAGGAGATCGAGGTGCGCGTCACGGCCGCACGCCTGCTGCAGCAACAGCAGCAGCAGCTGCAGCAGCAGGGGCAAGGGCAAGGCGCAGCGGCAGACGGAGGCGGAGTTTCCGGTTCCGCGCCCGCCTCGGATGCTGCTCCTGGTTCCGCGTCCGCCCGCGGGGAGCGGAAGGGGGACGCGGAGGAGGAGGGCGCAGGGGGGAAGGATGGGGTGGGGGGGAAGAGGCGGGGGGGGCTGGACGGGGCGAAGAGGCGGAGGGAGGTGCTGGCGGGGAGGCGCGGGGCCAGGGCGCAATCAGCTATAGAGGAGAAGGTGGAGAAGGTGCGGCCGTTTTGGAAGGCGCTGGGGCAGGAGGAGAAGGATAAGATTCTGGATATTCCCATTGCTGACGTGTGCGAGGGCCTTGCCAAGTCAGCACGCGGCGGGAAGGGGGCGGGGGTGGGGAGCGCGGGCGGAGGGGGAGGCACAGGAGGCGGAGGCGGAGGCGGAGGGGGAGGGGGAGGGGAAGGTGGAGGCGGAGGCGGAGGCGGAGGCGGAGGAGGAGGAGGAAGAGGGGGAGGGCATGTATCTGCGATCAGCTGCGGTGGTGGTACCGTCGGCTTGGGTGGGGAATCTGCGGCGTCAGCTGCGGCAGCAGCAGCTGCAGCCGAGGAGCTTATGTCAGAAGCGCTGAGTTTCGCCAAGGAGAGAAAACACTGGCAGTTCTGGGCGTGCTGTCTGTGCGACGAGAGGTTTATAGACGCGGAGTCGTTTCAGGCGCACATGCAGGAGGAGCATATAGGGAAGCTGAGCGCGGAGCAGGAGAGAATGATTCCCGAGGAGGAGACGCTTTCTTGGGAGGAGATTTTTACGAGGTTGGATGTTACGCCTGTGGATGGGATTGAGGCGGTGAGGAGGCTTGTAGAGGGGATGAGTGGGGCGGGTGGTGGGGTGGGTGGGGAGGGGGGTGGGAAGGGTGTGGAGGAGAGAGAGGGGAAGAGGAAGGGGAATGAGGAGGGTGGTGAAGGCGAGGAGGAAGAGGAGAAGGAGGGGAAGGAGGAGAAAGAGGAAGAGAAGGATGAAGCGTGTGCGATGGAGCTGGATGGGGAGGGAACAGAGGAGGGAGAAGCGGAGGGAGCAAAGGAAGGAGCAGAGAAGGGAGCGGAGGAGGGAGCAGAGAAGGGAGCGGAGGAGGGAGCCAAGAATGGAACGGAGGAGGGAGGTGAGAAGGGAGAAGGGGAGGGAGCAGAGGAGGGAGATGTGGATATCGAGAAGGGAGTGGCCGCTGCTCTAGGCGAGACCAAAGGCGGGAGTGAGAAGGGGAAGAAGGGGGGCAGTTTGGGGGATTCGGGATCCGGAAAGGATTCAGGCGAGGAGGAGAGAGAGATGGAGGGTGAGGAGGAAAGTAAGGAGGTGAAAGTGGGTAGTGGCAGGGATGGGAAAGAGGGGGGTGCGGGAGAGGATGAGGAAGACGAAGAAGAAGATGAGGAGGAGGAGGACGAGGAGGAGGAGGAGGAAGAAGAGGTAGGTGAAAGCAAGTTGGGAACAGAGGAAGGTGGTGGTGTAGGGGAGAAGGGCTGTGTCACTGAAAAGGAAGCAGCAGCTGCGGCGGCAGCGGCGGCGGCTGCGGCAGAGGCGGCGGCAGCAGCAGCGGCAGCAGCGGCAGCAGCGGCAGAAGGCTGCAGGCATTGTGGGGAGTCGCTGCAGTGCCGGCGGCATGCTAGAGCGCTGCCAGTAGTGCAGGACAGGGAGCGGCAAAGGGAGCTGATGCGTCTTAAGCATATAGTGGAGCGCATGCTTAAAGCGGGGATACTGACTCGGGATCACATGGCGCGTATGGTGCAGTATACTATGGTTCAGGTGCAAGCCATGGCGGAGAGAGCTTTAGAGGCGCCTGCCGTGCCTCAGAAGTCGTTGCAGGTGCAAGGCATGGCAGAGAGAGTGCAGAAGGGTTTGGCGGAGAGCGGGGGGAGTAGTGCAGGTAAAATGGAAGAGAAGAGTGGGGAGGAGAAGGGTGGGGAGGAGAAGGGAGAGAAGGGTGGAGAGGAGAAGGGAGGGAAGGGTGGAGAGGAGAAAGGAGAGAAGGGTGGAGAGGAGGCGGGTGCAGCTGTTGCGGCTGTTTGGGATGGTGCGAGCAGTGGTTGTGATGGCGATGCTGCTTCTGGAGTTGTGCTTTCTGCGTCTGATGCTGCGGCTGCTGATGCTGCTGTTGCGTCTGGTGCTGCTGCTGCGTCTGATGCTGCTGCTGATGCTGCTGCTGCGTCTGGTGCTGCTGCTGCTGCCACTGTTGGTGCTGCGTCTGCTGCTGTTGCTGCCTCACTCACCACTGCTTCTCCGGAAGCTTCTTCTGCTGCTGCTGCCGCTGTTTCTGCCGCTGTTGCTCACGTTGTTGCTGCCGCTGTTGATTATACTGCAGCTGATGCTGCTGCTTCCTCGCTCACCACTGCTTCTGCGGAAGTTCCTGCTGCTGCTGCCACTGGTTTTGACCATGTTGCTGAAGCTGTTGCTGACGCTGTTGCTGCTGCTCTTGCTGCTGTTGCTGCCTCGAGCACCACTGCTTCTGCGGAAGCTTCTTCTGCTGCTTCCATTGTTGCTGACGCTGTTGCTGACGCTTCTGCTGCTGCTGCTGCTGTTGCTGCCTCACTCACCACTGCTTCTGCGGAAGCTTCTTCTGCTGCTGCTGCCGCTGTTTCTGCCGCTGTTGCTCACGTTGTTGCTGCCGCTGTTGATTATACTGCAGCTGATGCTGCTGCTTCCTCGCTCACCACTGCTTCTGCGGAAGTTCCTGCTGCTGCTGCCACTGGTTTTGACCATGTTGCTGAAGCTGTTGCTGACGCTGTTGCTGCTGCTCTTGCTGCTGTTGCTGCCTCGAGCACCACTGCTTCTGCGGAAGCTTCTTCTGCTGCTTCCATTGTTGCTGACGCTGTTGCTGACGCTTCTGCTGCTGCTGCTGCTGCTGTTGCTGCCTCACTCACCACTGCTTCTGCGGAAGCTTCTTCTGCTGCTGCTGCCGCTGTTTCTGCCGCTGTTGCTCACGTTGTTGCTGAGGCTGTTGCTGCCGCTGTTGATTATACTGCAGCTGATGCTGCTGCTTCCTCGCTCACCACTGCTTCTGCGGAAGCTTCTTCTTCTGCTGCTGCCGCTGCTGCTGACGCTCTTGCTGCCGTTGTTGCTGACGCTGCTGTTGCCGCTCGTGCTGACGCTGCTGCTGCAGCAGCTGATGCTGCTGCTTCCTCGCTCTCCATTTCTTCTGCTGCTGCTACCACAGGGGCTGCAGTGGAGGAGGCAGCGAGGCAGGGGGAGGTTGAAAAGGAGCGCCTGGGGAAGGCAGTATCTGGAGGGGATTCCATGGGAAAGGAGCCACATGAAGGTTCAGGTGAAGATTCAGGTGAAGGTTCACATGACGTCTCAGATGAAGATTCACTTAAGTGGCCGGATAAGGGCGGGCTCGCTAAGGAGCAAATGGAGGAGGGAGCATGTAAGGAACGTTCCTTAGGCACGACTTTTGAGGAAGAGGGGACTTATAAGGCGTCTCCTAAGGGGTCTCTTGCACGCCCTCCAGTCACCTTCACCCCGTCGCCAGTCTTCGTGCGTTTCCTGCCGGCGCGCGATATACAGGAGCTGCAGGCGTACCTGCTAGAAGCGGAACAGGGGGCGTACTATAACGAGAACAAGGAGGCTGTGCTGCCGGACAGGCTCCTGCTAGATGAGGAGTTCACGAGAATCATTCTAGATGAGCGTGTGTTGAAGGACGTTGCGGAAGAGCCGAAGCTGCCGTTTAGGGATGCTGTAGGGGGGAGGGTGGAGGCAGGAAGGGGGGATGGAGGGAAGGAGGAGGCGGGAGAGGGAGGAGGGAAGGGGGGTGCTGCTGACGGTGGTGATGCTGGGGATGCTGATGGTGGTGGTAGGGCTAAACAGGGGGGAGAGCAGGAGGGAAAGGAAGCTGGGAAGGAGGTGAAGGGAGAGGGGCAGAAGGAGGCGAAGGGAGAGGGGCAGAAGGAGGCAAAGGGAGAGGGGCAGGAGGAAGAGGGTCAGAAGGAGGGGAAGCGGAAAGACGGGAGGAAGGAGGGGAAGCAGAGGGACGGGAAGGGTGAGGAGGCGAAAGCAGCATCAAAAGGCGAGGGGGAGGGGGAGAAGGAGGAGAAGGGGGAGAAGGGGGAGAGGGAGAAGGAGGAGAAGGGGGAGAAGGAGGAGAAGGGGGAGAAGGAGGAGAAGGAGGAGAAGGGGGAGAAGGGGGAGAAGGGGGAGAGGGAGAAGGAGGAGAAGGGGGAGAAGGAGGAGAAGGGGGAGAAGGAGGAGAAGGAGGAGAAGGGGGAGAAGGAGGAGAAGGAGGAGAAGGGGGAGAAGGAGGAGAAGGGGGAGAAGGAGGAGAAGGAGAAGGGGGAGAAGGAGAAGAAGGAAGAGAAGGAGGAAGGGGGGGAGGAGGAGGAGGAGTTGACAGTAGCTGTGCCCGAGGACCCGAGTATGAAGTGGCCTCTGCCGCTGATGCGCGTGCGGAGAGGCGAAGGAGCAGCGGGAGGAGCAGGGGGGCCGGTGAGTGGGGGATCACAAACAGCAGCGGGAGGGGGCGGAGGGGCGGGACCCAGTGCTGGTACCCCTGCTTCTGGTGCCGGTGCTGGCGCTGGGGGTGGAGGTGGTGGTACTTCTACTTCTGCTGCTGCTGCTGCTGCTGCTGGTGCTGGTGGTGCGACTGGTGGTGCTGCTGACGTGCCCAAGCATGACGATCTGCAGCTCGCTTGGATCTTCGGGCGAATGGATTATGAGATGGCAGCGCCAGCGTGGCGGTGTGCTTATAAAGAGGGCCTGGAGAAGGCGAGGGAGGTGATGGAGGGGCTAGACACGGAGTACAACTCGTTAAAGTCACAATGCGATAGAAGGATAGAGCTGGGGATTGCGGAGCGGAAGCTGAGGAGGATAGAGAGGCTGTTTGAGAAGGAGAGGAGGCGGAGGGAGAGGGACCCGGGGTATGTGAAACGGTTTGCGAGTGTGCTTAAAAGGAGGATGGCGGAGCTTGCAGAGGCGGAAGAGGAGGCATTGAGGGGGATTGCGGATGAGGAGGCTAGGGCAGCAGAGGAAGGGCGGGGGAAGGGCGGAAGGGGAGGTGGGAGAGAGGGGAAGACGGAGGAGGGGGGTAAGGAGGGTGGTGAGGAGGGGGATAAGGAGGAGGAGGTGGAGAAGAGAGGAGAGGAGGAGGATGCGGACGAGGGGACAGCTTTGCTGGGTGGTGGGGAGAGGAAGAGAGGAGGTGAGAGGAGGGATGCGAAAGTGGGAGAGAAAGGAGATGGGGATGACGGGAGTGAGGGGGGTGAGAGGGGAGGGGTAGACGCAGGGAGTGAGGTGAGAGAAGGCTTAAAGGAAGGGGAGGGGGAGGGTGAGAAAGGGGCTGATGGAGTGAAAGGGAACGATGGGGCAGGCGAAGAGGTGGGAGGGAAAGAGAAGGAAGGGGAAGGGGAGGCGAAGGAGAAGGAGGGAAAGGGAGAGGAAAAGGAGGAGGGAAAGGAGGACGAGGAAGAGGGGAAGGAGAAGGTGAAGGAGGAGGGGAAGGAGGAGGAAAAGGAGGAGGGAAAGGAGCAGGGTAAGGAGGAGGGGGAGAAGAAGCGGACGAAGCGGAAGGTGTGGACGGAGAGGAGGTTGCGAGCGAATAAGATCGAGACAAGTGTCATCCGCAGCGTGCTCAGTGACTATCAGACGGCGCTGTTCAGTGAGGTGAGAGTCCTGTCTTTGCGTGAGTTGTATCTGGGATGGGAGATAATTCGTTTCTCTCCTCTTTTCTCCTCCTCTCGCCACACTCCCCCTCCCCTCTCTTCTCTCACCCCTGCTTCTCGTCAGCCGCGCGTGCTGTGTGGCGATCTGCTCTCCCTCGGGCCCTCCCATCGGTGCTGCACATTCTCTCTTCCCCCCAACCTGCAATCACTCTTTCCCTCCCCTTCCAACACCACCCGCCCCCTTCCTCCCCCACCTCCCTTCAGCCTCGCATGCCGTGTGGCCATCTGCTCTCCCTGGCGCCCTCGCATCCGAACGGCACATTCTCTCTTCCTCCCCCGCACCAACCAACCCCCCCCAATCATTCTCCCCCTCCCCCGCCCCCTCCCTCTTCCGCTCCCCCTTCCCTCCCCCTACCCCCTCAGCCTCGCATGCCGTGTGGCGATCTGCTCTCCCTCACGCCCTCCCATCTGGCCGGCACATTCTCTTCCCCACCCGGCACCAAACAACCCCCCCAATCATTCTTCCCCTCCCCCGCCCCCTCCCTCTTTCGCTCCCCCTTCTCTCCCCATTCCCCCTCAGCCTCGCATGCCGTGTGGCGATCTGCTCTCCCTCACGCCCTCCCACCTGGGCGGCACTGACTCGGATGAGGACGAGCACGACAGCTGGCGCGGGCCGGAGTTTGCCGCCCAGCTGGACCTGCGCATGGAGGGCGCGATTCGGAGCCACAGGAGCAGCATTCTGGCGGAGGTAGGGTTTAAGGGAAGAGGGAAAGGCAGCAGGTTGGGTTTGTCTGTGGACTTTAGAATGGGGGGTAGGGGAGGTGGGGAATGGACTGATGGAGAGGTATTGTTGCAGACGTGTGCATGGAGGGCGCGATTCGGAGCCACAGGAGCAGCATTCTGACAGAGGTGGGGTTTGGCTATAAGAGGGGTTTAGTGTGGGAGGGTTTTAGCGTTTGACCCTGGAATGTGGGAGGGGTTTAGCATTTGACCCCGGAATCTCAGAGGGATGGACAGTAGTGAGGGGATTAGCATTCGTGTAGAGCTTGGAATGTGTGTGTGAGAGAGGGAGAGGGTGTGTGTGATGGGCTGTGAACCCTGCTTGCACCTCCGTCTTCCGTGCCCTCTTCCTCCGCCCGGATCTGTTTCGGGCAGAAGGAGCAGGCGGAGGAGAGGATCCTGTGCCATCTGGAAGCGGTGCAGAAGTCAAACGCCAAGCTCCACCCCTTCCCACACCACTCCACCCCTTCCCACACCACTCCACCCCTTCCCACACCACTTCACCCCCTTCCTCACCACACCATTGAACAGAAGGAGCAAGCAGAGGAGAGGATTCTGTGCCATCTGGAGGCGGTGCAGAAGGCCAACGCGAAGCTCCACCAGGCGTCAGTTTTCGACTACCGTGCTGCCATGCTGCCCATCGTCAAGACCTTCCTGCAGGTGGGGATGGTGCTACCAGGTGTGGTGAGTGCTGCTACCTGGCATCTGTCTTTGACTGCCGCGCTGCCATGCTGCCCATCGTCAAGACCTTCCTGCAGGTGGGGATGGTGCTACCAGGTGTGGTGAGTGCTGCTGCCTGGCATCTGTCTTTGACTGCCGTGCTGCCATGCTGCCCATCGTCAAGACCTTCCTGCAGGTGGGGAACTGTTTTGAGGTATGTGTGCATGTTGCTCCCACCCTGGCGTCGGTCTTTGACTGCCGTGCTGCCATGCTGCCCATCGTCAAGACCTTCCTGCAGGTGGGGATGGTGCTACCAGGTGTGGTGAGTGCTGCTGCCTGGCATCTGTCTTTGACTGCCGTGCTGCCATGCTGCCCATCGTCAAGACCTTCCTGCAGGTGGGGATGGTGCTACCAGGTGTGGTGAGTGCTGCTGCCTGGCATCTGTCTTTGACTGCCGTGCTGCCATGCTGCCCATCGTCAAGACCTTCCTGCAGGTGGGGAACCGTTTTGAGGTATGTGTGCATGTTGCTCCCACCCTGGCGTCGGTCTTTGACTGCCGTGCTGCCATGCTGCCCATCGTCAAGACCTTCCTGCAGGTGGGGATGGTGCTACCAGGTGTGGTGAGTGCTGCTGCCTGGCATCTGTCTTTGACTGCTGCGCTGCCATGCTGCCCATCGTCAAGACCTTCCTGCAGGTGGGGAACTGTTTTGAGGTATGTGTGCATGTTGCTCCCACCCTGGCGTCGGTCTTTGACTGCCGTGCTGCCATGCTGCCCATCGTCAAGACCTTCCTGCAGGTGGGGAACTGTTTTGAGGTATGTGTGCATGTTGCTCCCACCCTGGCGTCGGTCTTTGACTGCCGTGCTGCCATGCTGCCCATCGTCAAGACCTTCCTGCAGGTGGGGAACTGTTTTGAGGTATGTGTGCATGTTGCTCCCACCCTGGCGTCGGTCTTTGACTGCCGTGCTGCCATGCTGCCCATCGTCAAGACCTTCCTGCAGGTGGGGATGGTGCTACCAGGTGTGGTGAGTGCTGCTGCCTGGCATCTGTCTTTGACTGCCGCGCTGCCATGCTGCCCATCGTCAAGACCTTCCTGCAGGTGGGGAACTGTTTTGAGGTATGTGTGCATGTTGCTCCCACCCTGGCGTCGGTCTTTGACTGCCGTGCTGCCATGCTGCCCATCGTCAAGACCTTCCTGCAGGTGGGGATGGTGCTACCAGGTGTGGTGAGTGCTGCTGCCTGGCATCTGTCTTTGACTGCCGTGCTGCCATGCTGCCCATCGTCAAGACGTTCCTGCAGGTGGGGAACTGTTTTGAGGCATGTGTACATGTTGCTCCCACCCTGACGTCGGTCTTTGACTACCGCGCTGCCATGCTGCCCATCGTCAAGACCTTCCTGCAGGTGGGCTCTACATGGTGCTGACAGCTATGGTGAGTAATTGGTACTCCGATCCTCAGAAGTTTTTTTTTTTTTTTTTTTTTTTTTGGGAGAGGGGGGGGGGGGCACCTTTAAAGGCTCGTCAGAAGTTTTGCTGCTCTTATGTCAACACAATCTGCACGTGTGAAGGTTTTGGTTCTGACCTGATGTGCTGGTTTGGACTTTCTGTTTTTTTTTATCATTCTTGTTTCCAGAACCGCCTCGAGCAAGCAGCGGAGCAGGATGCACAAAAACGTTCTGACGCTGCCCAAGAGGCGTTCCTTGCTGAGCTGGACAAGCAGGGGCAGGTGGAAAAGAACCGGGAGAAAAAGAAGGGCAAGGAGCGTGCCAAGAGTGGGAAGGGTGGTGGTGGGGGAGGAGGCGCAGGGGGAGGAGTAACAGGAGGAGGAGGAGGGGAGAGTACTGGTAGGGTGGCAGGAGCAGAGGGAGGAGGAGAGGGCGAAGGAAGAGAGATAGGGAGCAGTAGTCAGCTAAGGGACAGTGACATGGAAGGAGTGAATGAGGGCGAGGAGGAAGGGGAGGGGGGCAGAGGAGGACAAGTGGAGAAGAGGCAGGCAGTGGGAGAGAGAGACGGAGAAAAAGGAGAGAGAGAGAAGAGAGAGAAGAGGGAGAGGGAGAGGGTAAGGGAGAGGGAGAGGGTGCCACAGAGTGCGGCAGAGAGGGAGGAGGAGGCCCAGAGGCGGAGGGAGCAACAGGAGATTCTGAGGCAGCAGCAGGAGATGGAGGACGAGGAGAGGAAACTAGAATGGGCTTTGTCTCTCCAGAGACAAGCAGAGGAAGCGGCGAAACGGCAGAGAATGGCCGAATTGGAACGGCTCAGGCTGATGGGTGGTGGTGGGGAGGCTAAGTCAGGGGGAGGTGGAAGTGGTGGGGTGCAAGAGGTGAGGGTAGGGATGGGGGGGGTGGAAGGGGGGATGGTGAGAGGGAGGCAAGGGGAATGGGAGGATGGGAGTTGTGAGGGGTCGAGCTGGGAGAGGGCTAATGGAGGTTCTGGGTTCGGGGTTTTGCAAGAGACGGCGGTGGTGCAGGGGGCGGAAGGGTTTGCTGCAGGTGCCGGTGCTGTGGGTGCGGCTGGTGTTGCTGCTGCTGCTGCTGCTGCTGGGGCAATAGGGGCGACAGGATGGGGGGAACCGGGCCCCAGGGAGCTTTCGAGTGCGGATACACATACGCATACAAACACACAGCTACATACACATTCACATACACATACAAGCACAAACACACGTACACCAGCAGGTGCGTCTCATCGTTTTCAGCAGTTGTCACAGATCCATGAATCGCAGCCAACCCAATGGCCGCAGCAGACCCAGCAGTTACAGCAGGAAGGGGCTCGAGTTGGCGGTTCTTCAATCGACTCTTCTTCTGCAGGAGCGGGTTCAGCTGTTAGCAGTGGTACGAGGCTAAGAGATTCTGATGGAAGGGATGAAGAAGGGTGGGGCGCGGTTGGTGTGGGTCAGACAGGAGGGCGGGGTAAGGGGCTGGGTGGGGGGCGGGGTGGGAGGGAGGTGGCAGGGGGTGTGAGTATGGGGAATGGGAGTGTGGAGAGTGGTGGGTGGCAGAAGGAAGAGGTCGGTGTGAGGGTGGGAGGAGAGTCAGGTGAGTCAACCCAGAAGCAGAAGCGGAAGCAGGGAGGCCAGCAGGGAGGCCAGCAGGGAGGCCAGCAGGGATGCCAGCAGGGGGGCCAGCAGCAGCAGGAGGGAAAGCAGCATGGGCGGCAACAACAGCAGCAGCAGCAGGTGGGGGTGGGCGTTGTGACGCAAGCAGGGGAGGCAGGAGCTTTGGCAAACGGCATTCCGGCGTCCGGGTTGGTCTCAGGTGATCGGTCAGGTGGCATAGTGCGCACTATAGCGAGTTCGAGCCAACGTTTGGGGCACAAGGGCCGCGGGAGAGACGTTGCTGTGCCTCCATCCCTGCAGCAGCAGAAAGTGGCGAATCAGCAAAACGAGTTGCAGATGTTCAGGGCAGGGCAGGGTCAAACTCAGGGTGCTGCTGCTGCCCCTCCTCCTGCGAATGCTGGGCTGCTGGGAGCACCTCTCGCGCAGAGAGCTGGTTCAGGTGAAAATTCAGGTGCTGCTGCAGGCAGCGGTGGTGCTGTGTCTGATGGAGGGAGTGCAGGTGGGTCTGGCGAAGGGGGGGGGGTAGGCGGTGGCAAGAATAGGTCGAGGCGAAAGAGGGGCGGCAAGGGCAAGGCAGGCGGAATGGGTGGGCAGATGGAGGGGGGATTCCAGGGGGGAGGTGGTTTGCAGGCGGGAGGGGGTTTGCAGGCGGGAGGGGGTTCACAGGTAGGCGCACGTTTTCAAGCAGGAGAGGGTTCAGAAGGAAGCGGAGGGGCAGCTGAAGGTGGAGGTGCCACTGCTGCTGCTGCTGCACTGGGCGCGGGCAGTGCTTTTGAGGCGCCTCAAAAGTCTGCACTGGGCGCGGGCAGTGGCACAGACAAGGGCGTAGAAGGAAATGTGATGCAAGTGCAGCAGCAATTACAGGGACAGGTGCAGCAGCAGCCGCAGCCACAGCAGCATTCACAGAAGCAGCAGCAGCAGCAGCAGCATCAACAGGTGCCCCAGCAGCAGCAGCAGTCGCAGGGTCCAGTGCAACAACAGCCGCAGCAGCAGCAGCAGCAGCAGCACCCATCCCAGTTGCCACCGCTCCTGCCCTTAGTACCTGCTACCACTGTGGCTGCTGCTGCTGGGGTGGTGGGAGTAGCAGTTGCGGCTGGTGTGGGGGGAACGCGGGGGGTACAGGATGGATTGCTGGCAGCGCCAGACGTAGTTAGAAGTGGTGGGCCTGTAAACCCGAATTCCGTAAACCTTAATTCCGTAAACCCTAATCCCGTCAACCCTAGTGTTGGATCCATGAGCGCGAATGCCAGGTCTTCCGCCCCTGCACACTCCAATCTGCCTGGCTTTCCTAGCTCTGCTCTCCCTAATGCGCCCCTGCCTGGATCTCAGGAGGATTTACCAAGGCATGCTCACCAAGGGGTACTTCCCCCCCAAGGGCTGATTCCGCCCCAGAGGGTAATGCCTTTTCAAGGGGTAACTCCCCCTGCCCATCAAGGGGTAATTGCCTCACAGGGGGTGGTTCACCCTCCAGGGTTTAGTGGGTGGGGAGGGAAGGGGTATGCCGGGGGGTGGGGTGATGGGTCACAGGGGGAGGAGAGACAGGGTCGGGCTGGGGCTTGGCCGGGGCAGATGGGCGGAGGTATGGGGCCAGGTATGGGAGGAGGTATGGGTGGTGGAGGGATGGGTGGAAGCATGGGAGGAAGCATGGGAGGAGGCATGGGTGGAGGTATGGGTGGAGGTATGGGAGGAGGTATGGGAGGGGGAATGGGAGGAGGGGAGAGGGTTGAGGAGGTGGATGTAGAGGTTGCAGTAGGACCGAGATCGGCTGCTAGAGAGAGAAGGCGGCAGCTGCAGCAGCAGCAGCAGCAGCAGCAGCAGCAGCAGCAGCAGCAGCAGCAACAGCAACAGCAACAACAACAGCAACAGCAGCAACGGCAGCAGCAACAGCAACGGCAACAGCAGCAACAACAGCAGCAGGTGCAGATGCGGCAGGTCAAAGAATATGCGCCTATGGGGGCAACGCAACAGCAGCAGCAAGGGCAGGGGCAGGCACAGGCACAGGCACAGGCGCAGGCACAGGGACAGGCGCAGCGGCAGGATGAGAAAGAGGCAAATTCGTTGCAGTCTCAGGCTGACGGTAGCAGGCAGCAGCTGCTGCAACAGCAGCAGCAGCAGCAGCAGCAGCAGCAGCAGCAGCAGCAGCAGCAGCAGCAGCAGCAGCAGCAGCAGCAGCAGCAGCAGCAGCAGCAGCAGCAGCAGCAGCAGCAGCAGCAGCAGCAGCAGCAGCAGCAGCAGCAGCAGCAGCAGCAGCAGCAGCAGCAGCAGCAGCAGCAGCAGCAGCAGCAGCAGCAGCAGCAGCAGCAGCAGCAGCAGCAGCAGCAGCAGCAGGGCAGCAGGGGCAGCAGCAGCAGCAGCAGCAGCAGGGGCAGCAGCAGCAGCAGCAGCAGCAGCAGCAGCAGCAGCAGCAGCAGCAGCAGCAGCAGCAGCAGCAGCAGCAGGGGCAGACCATCGCTGCAACCTCCCTGTCCGTTTCAGCTCCCCACAAACCCGGACTTGATGGTGCAAGCCCTAGCACCAGCAGAGTCAGTGACAGGGCCGGCGGCAGCAGCAGCAGCAGTGGCAGCAAGAGCAGCAGCGGCAGCAAGAGCGGCAGCGGCAGCAGCAGCAGTGGTGGTAGGCCGATTGGCCTGTCTGGAATCACCTTTGGTTCGTTCACCAGTGCTGCCACCACTGGAGGCGCGGCAGGTGCTATTTCCGGCCTCCCTCCCCCCTCCCTCTCTCCTCCCTCTGTCACCCCCACTCCTTCCTCCTCCCTCTCCAACTCTGCTTCCACTGCTGCTGCAGCTGGCAATGCCGCTGCTGCAGCCACTGCCACTGCTGCTGCAACTCCCAGTGCCGCTGCAGCTGGCACCGCTGGTAAGCTGCAGCACGGACCAGCAGCACCACAGGCGGGTCTCAGCGGTGCTGCACCGAGCATTGGCAAAACAAGTGGTGTGGGTGGGGGGAGTGCGGGAACTGGTGCTGCTGGTGCTACTAGTGCTGCCGTTGCTGCGGGGGGGATTGGTGGGGGAGTAGGGGATGGGTATGGGGCACTCATGCCCCTACAAACGGTGCCTCTGGTACCAGTGCCCATGCCATACGCCATGCCCGTACCTGTCCCCATACCCATGCACATGGGCGCACACATGGGTACCCCCATGGGTGCTGCCCCCTTCCCGCCTGCCCCCATGCCTCCTCTCGTTGCTCCGGCTGGCCCAGGCTCGGCAGGAGCTTCGGTCGCCGGGCCTGCTGGTTTGGCGAGTCTGGTTCCAGGGCCGGTTGGGTACATGGGGACGCAGGGAGGTGCCGGTGCTGCTGCTGCTGCTGCCACTGGTGGTGGTGCTGGCGACGGTGCTACTCCTTCCCATGCTCAATATCCCCATGCAGCCACTCTCTATGCCCCTCCAGGCTTGCATCCCTCCTTCCAAGGAGCACCAGTTGCAGGGGCAGTAGCATCAACAGCAGGCGCAGCAGCAGGGCAGATGGAACGTGCAGCAGCGGCGGCAGCGGGGGTGGGGGGAGATCCGGCAGTGGTTATGGCGTACCCTGCTGGGACTGCTCCTGGTGGGCTGGGTGCGTTGGGCAGGCAGGCAGGCGCAGCAGTGGCGGGGCAAGGAGGAGAAAGAGGGGAACGAGGGCAAGTAGGGCAAGCAGGGCAAGGTGGGGCGGGAGGAACAGGCACAGCACAGCAGCATTCCCAGCAGCAGCAACAGCAACAGCAGCAGCAGCAGGCGGGGCAGTCGGGAGCGTTTGCATCGCCTAGTAAGCTGTCTTCTCACGCTGCTCCGTTTGTTCCTGGGGGCATGCCCTCTCTCATGTACCCCTCTCCCTTCCTCCGCCCGCTCCCCTCGCCACACATCCGCCCACTGCCGCCGCCACCACAGGGACAGGGGCAGGCACACGCACAGGCGCAGGGACAGGGGCAGGGACACGGGCAGGGGCAGGGGCAGGGGCAGCAGGGGCAGGCGCAGCAACAAGCACAAGCGCAAGTACAAACAACCATGCACCATACCCACCCCTCCCACTTATCCCATCCGACCCATTCCTTACACCACGGCCCATCCCCACCTCCCAACCCCACGCCCCCGCCCACTCACCCTTACCCATCCCAACCCCATCCGTTTGCATCGCAACCCCACCTGCATGCGATCCCATCTGCTCACTCATACCCGCTTGCTCCCTCTCCTCCCCAGCATGCTCCTGTTGTGGGGTCTCCAGGGCTTGCTGTGGGGTATCACACCCACCAGCAGCACCAGCAGCAGCAGCCGGGGTTGCAGCAGCAGAGTCATGGAATGCAGCAGCAGGGTCATCCCATGCAATCCCAACTGGCACAGCCGCATGGGGTGCATCTGCAAATGGCCCAGCCGTCACACGGGGTACAGCCGCAAATGGCCCAGCAGCCGCACGGGGTACAAATGCAAATGGCCCACGGTCAAAGCATGCAGCCTCCGCAAGGGCTGCAGGCGCCCGCTTTCCATCAACGTGTGGCTCCTGGCGGCCAACTGGAAACGCCCCAGGAGATGGGAACGCCTCAACAGATGGGGGCGACGACCCTACAGGTGGGAACAACCCAACAGGTCGGAATGCTCCAAAATGCGCATCAATCGATGCCCTTGCCCAGGGATGGTGGTGCTGCAAGGGGAGATGCGCTGCTGCAGCAAGGGCAGCAGCAGGATGGGGCAGAGGCAGCGCAGCAAAGCAGTGCGGTTCTGCAGGGTGAGATGGGTGGGCAGCAGGTTGGGATGGGTGGGTGGGTGGAGAGGGCGAGTATGGGTGTTCAGGGCGGTGTGACGGCGTTGGATTCGCATGGAATGGCGGAGGTGGGAGGAAGGGAGGCGGGGGGGAGAGGAGGGGCCGGAGGGGCGGTAGGAAGTGCAGCAGGCAGTGTGACTGGAAGGGGAGCAGCAGGAGGGCCAGCAGGAGGAAGGGGAGCAGCAGGGGGTGCAATGGCATATTATGAGAATTCTCAGAACATACATGAAGGTGTGTCAACAGGAGGGGCGGTGGAGATTGAGGAGGGGGGGGAGGAGTGGGAGGAGGAGGGTGGGAGGGAGCGGGTAGAGGGTAGTGAAAGGTTGATGGGGGAAGGAATGGAGGTTGGAAGAGACGGAGGAGAGATGGGAGGAGAGGTGGGAGGGGAGATGGGAGGGGAGGAGGGAGGAGCGGAGGGAGGAGCGGAGGGAGGAATGGTGGGAACAGAGGTTGAAGGGAGGAGCGCCGCTGTGGATAACGAGGAGGAGGATGAGCAGTTTCAAGCGGACCTGCAACGAGCCATGCAACAGAGCATAGGTGCGTGCAGAAGGGCAGATGTGAGTGTGGCAGAGCCATAACTTCGAGTTCTGCCATTACTTGCTTTGTTGAAAACACCTGACTTTATACATGAGTTTTTGTCCCCTCCTCGGTTCGTTTCTTTTTTCCGCCCCTCTTTTTTCCCTCATTGCCCCCATCAGAGGATCTGGAGCGTTCGTCTCACTCCCACTACTACCACTCGGCCGCCCGGCCGCCCCCCGAGCACCAATCAGAAGCAGCCCTAAACCCCGCCAGCTCAGGAAGAAGCTCCGACAGCCTGGCAGCAGCGCCTGCCACGTCAGCAGACTGGGATGCCAGCGTGGCGCTGACGCTACGAGAGGAGAGTGGGGAGTCGAGAGAGGGAGGAGGGGGAGGGGAGGGGGGAATGGAGGTGGAAGTGAGGGGGGGCGGAGGGGGAGGAGGGGCGGTGGAGATGGTGTGGGGTGGTGCAGCAGGGGAGGAGGGGCTGGTGGGGCTGAGGAATGAGATCGGCGAGTACAACTGCTTCCTCAATGTCATCATTCAGGTGCGGAGGGATTGCTGTTTTGTGAGGAAATGATTCGTATTCTGGTGAGATGAGGAATTACAGTTGCGTCAGTAGTTCCCCGAGAAGGGAAAAGTGGCTGGTGGGGTTGCGGAATGAGATTGGCGAGTACAACTGCTTCCTTAATGTCATCATTCAGGTGCGGAGGGATTGCTGTTTTGTGAGGAAATGATTCGTATTCTGGTGAGATGAGGAATTACAGTTGCGTCAGTAGTTCCCCGAGAAGGGAAAAGTGGCTGGTGGGGTTGCGGAATGAGATCGGCGAGTACAACTGCTTCCTTAATGTCATCATTCAGGTGCGGAGGGATTGCTGTTTTGTGAGGAAATGATTCGTATTCTGGTGGGGTGAGGAATCACAGTTGCTTCGGTGCCTCAAGGAGGGGAGGAGGGGTTGGTGGGGTTGCGGAATGAGATTGGGGAACACAACTGCTTTCTCAATGTCATCATTCAGGTAGGCAGGGGGTGTTGCTGGGGAAATGAGCGATTGCTATTTTGGTGAGGAACTGCAGTTGTGTCGGTTTTTGAGAATTCTCAAAAATCGCTCACAAGGGGGTGTTGCTGGGGAAATGAGCGATTGCTATTTTGGTGAGGAATTAAAGTTGTGTCGGTAGTGCCCCAAAGCGGAGAGGAGTGGCTGGTGGGGCTGGTGGGGTTGCGGAATGAGATTGGGGAATGCAACTGCTTTCTCAATGTCATCAGTCAGGTGAGGAGGGATTGTTCTGTTGCTTGCGGGAGGAGTGACTGCTGTTTGGGGGAGTGCTTGTGACGTCCCAAATCTGGACATCTTCCTTGCTGCTCTCAACTCCACCAGCACTAATAAATACCCCTTAGTTTTCCCCATTGTTTCCCCTTCGTTTCCCCTTCGTTTTCCCCTTCGTTTTCCCCTTCGTTTCCCCTTCATTTCCTCGTTTTTTCCCCTTTGTTTCCCCTTTGTTTCCCCTTTGTTTCCCATATATTTTTCCCCATGTTCCCTCCCACTGGTTCCCAAACCCCCCAGTCCCTGTGGCACTTGCGCAGGTTCAGGGAGAGGCTGCTGCACCCATCCTGTCAACAACACTCCCATCAGGGCGATCCCTGTGTCGTATGCGCTCTTAGAGACATCTTTCTTGCTCTCAACACCACCAGCACCGCCACCATCACCACTGCCAGCCCTTCTGTCACAACCACTACCACCACTACCACCACCGCCCCCACCACTGCCTCCACCACCGCCACCACCAACACCTACTCCTCGCTCTCGACTGCCATTGTTCCTTTTGCCGCCCCCGGTGCTGCTCCGTCTGCTGCAACAGCTGCACCTGTCTCGTTGCGGCCTGCTTGGAAATCTTCGCCAGCAGCGACGGCAGCAGCAGGAGCAGGCGCAGCAGGATCGAACAGGGAGCAAGTGTCCCAAGCTGCTGTCTCTGCTGCTTCTGCTGCTGATGCTGCCGCTTTCCCTCCTCTCAGCACCTCTGATTTCCCTGTTCTTAGCAGCAGCAGTGGAAGCGGCAGCGGCAGCGCTGCAGCAGTGTCATCCCCTGTAGAAGGCGATTCGTTATCGGATGCTGAGAGTGCGTCAGCCAACAAGAGGAGCAAGAGGACACAGCAGAGCAACACATGGGGGGCGTCGCAGCAGCAGGCTCATAGCAGCAGCAGTGGGATGAAACATACACAGGCACAGGTACAACCCCAAACACAGGCACAGGCACAGGTACAGCCCTCCACCCACAGTAGTTATGCCACTGCTCTGGCAGAGCGTAGTGGTGGGACCAGGAGTGCACCCACCAGCACAGCCACTAGTGCGGTCACCAGTGCGGTTACCAGTAGTGTAACAGAGGCAGTTCCCCCCAGTAATGATGCGATGGCAGCTGGGGTTACACCTGCAGAGCCCACTTCGTCAGCAGCAGCAGCAGCAGCGGCGGCGGCGGCGGCAGCAGCAGGGGTGGCAGTGGTGGCAGCGGCGCCAGCAGCAGGGGGAGGGGCGGGCCCCTCTGTTCGGACTGTAGTGGCGCCCACAGCACTAAGAGTGGCACTTAGTGCCATGTTTGCCGACTCTGAGTTCTTCCAACAGGTATTGTCAAAACTTTGTTGTTGCCTTTTTAGCGATTATGCTCACAGGTTAAGAGAGACACTGCATGCCTTGTTTTTTCACTTGGTTGACTTAAGTAATGCCTGCTCCTGACCTGTTTGTTTTTTTTCTTTTCTTTTCTTTTGCTGCCCCATTTTCCGCCTTCCCCCTCTTTCAGTCTCAGATGAATGATGCTTCAGAGGTTCTCCCAGTCATCTTCGACTGCCTCCACCGAGCCTTCGCCGAACCTGCCTCCGAACCTGCAGGTGGGGCATCTGGTTCGGCATCAGAAGGAGCTTCCAGTGTCAAATCCACAGCTGTCAACTTTTCGACAGATCATTCTTTTATTGACCCGGGCAGCAGTGCAGCCAATCAGAAGCAGGCAGGAAGCTGGGACTGTCCAGCCTCAACAGCAGCTTGGGACCGAGCCTACCTCGCAGCTTCGGCAGACAGCTCAGGCCTGGGTGCTGGGCCTGTGCCTAACCAGACCACAGCTCCAGGGCAGAGACACGATGTAGGCTCGGCAGCAGGCTCGGGGACAGCCTCGGGGAGTGGGGCAGCTGCTGTGTCTGCTTCTCCCCTCTCCTATGGTGCTGTTGTTGCCAGAGGGAAGGGCGGAGCCAACACTACTGCAGCTTCTGCCGCTGCTGCGGCTGGGAATGCTAGGAAACCCGGTGAGGGTTTAGGATCAGGTGGTAGATTAGGGGACAGTGTAGCAACAGGAGTAGGAGCAGGAGGAGCAGGAGGAGCAGGAGGGGAAGCAGGTGCAGGTGTGGGTGCAGCAGCAGAGGCGGCAGGGGAGGCGGCAGGGGCGGCGTGCATAGCGCACGGGCTGTTTGGGCTGGATGTGACTGAGATGATGCAGTGCTCTCGCTGCGGCCTGCAGTCCCGCCAGATGCGCTACTCCTCCTTCTTCCACCACACCAACGCCACTGCTCTCAGATTATCCAAGGTGTGTGAATGGGGGCGTGTGTGTGTGAGACTCGTGGGTGGGCATGCGTATGTGTATGAGGGTATGTGTGTGTGGGGTGCTAGGAGCATGCATAGCTGTCAGGGTTGTTTGGGCTGGATGTGATGGAAATGATGCAGTGCTCTCGCTGCTGCCTGCAGTTGCGCCAGATGCGCTACTCCTCCTCCTTCCACCATGCCAACGCCACTGCCCTCCGGCTCTCCAAGGTGAGTCCTTTTTGAGAAGAGAATTGCCAAGGCAACTCCTGTCACTGTTGGCCGTCAAGTCGCGCCAGATGCGCTACTCCTCCTCCTTCCACCATGCCAACGCCACTGCTCTGAGATTGTCAAAGGTGGGTGGGTGTGTGGGCACGTGAGTATGTCCGGGCTGTTCGGCGCTGTCTCAGCTATCTGAGTTGATTTTTGAGGCGCCTCAAAAATGTGTTCGGGGCTGCTATCTGGTTGGGGGGCGCATCTGCGATGTGGTCGTGGGGGGGTGCTGCCCCCTTCCTCCCCTGCCCCTCTTTACTCCCCCCTAACCGCTTCCAACCCCTCCATCACCGCTCTCAACCCCTCCATCACCACTCTCAAAACCTTCCCGCAGCTGGGTAACCCACGTGTCGAATGGACGATGTGGACGTGGGGGGGTGTTGCTGTTGCCCCGTCCTCCACCCCTCCCAACTCCTCCTTCACCCCTCTCAATCCCTCCCCACAGCTGGGAAATCCGACCTGTGGCATGGACGAGTTATTAGCGGGCATGGAGCAGCACCATCTACTGCCGTGCGATGTGGACGTGGGGGGGTGCTGCTACTCCCTCGTCCGCTACCCCTCTCAACTCCTTCACCCCTCTGAACCCCTCCCCACAGCTGGGCAACCCTAATTGTCGAATGGACGAGCTATTAACGGGCATGGAGCAGCATCACCTGCTGCCGTGCAACGTGGATGTGGGGGGGTGCTGCCCCCCTCCTCCCCTGCCCTCGTGACTCCCCCCTAACCGCTCCCAACCCTTCCATCACCGCTCTCAACCCCTTCCCACAGCTGGGCAACCCTAATTGTCGAATGGACGAGCTATTAGCAGGCATGGAGCAGCACCACCTACTGCCATGCGACGTGGACGTGGGGGGGTGCTGCTACACTCCCTCGTCCCCTCCCCCTCTCAACTCCTCCGCACCCCTCTTAACTCATTCCTCACCCCTCTGAACCCCTCCTTACAGCTGGGCAATCCGACCTGTCGAATGGACGAGCTATTAGCGGGCATGGAGCAGCACCACCTGCTGCCCCATTGTCCCCTCGTCACCGCTCTCAAACCCTGCTTCACCTCACCCAACCCCTCCCCACAGCTGGGCAATCCGAGCTATCGCATGGACGAGCTATTGGCGGGCATGGAGCAGCACCACCTGCTGCCGTGTGACATGGAGGTGGGGGGTTGCTGCTGCCCCGTCCTCCACCCCTCCCAACCCCTCCTTCACCCCTCTGAACCCCTCCCCACAGCTGGGCAACCCTAATTGTCGCATGGACGAGCTGCTAGCGGGCATGGAGCAGCATCATCTACTGCCATGCGACATGGAGGTGGGGGGATGTGGGCACCCCAACGCCATTCAGCACGTGCTGCGCCGCGCTCCACCCATCTTCACCACTGGTGGGTTCAAAGGCTTTTCATGCACTGGTGAGGGGGTGCATGGGGGGGTGCATGGGGGGGTGTGTGGTGGGGTGGATGGGGGGTTGTGTGGGGGGATGCACGGGGGGGTGCATGGGGGGGTGCATGGGGGGGTGCATGGGGGGGTGCATGGGGGGGTGCATGGGGGGGTGCATGGGGGGGTGCATGGGGGGGTGCATGGGGGGATGCGGACCCCCCAACGCCATTCATCATGTTCTGCGCCGCGCTCCACCCATCTTCACCACTGGTAAGCATGTGGGCATCTGGTAGGAGGAGAGGGAAAGTGCAGGGGAGGTTGGGTGGTGGTGGAAGAAGGAATGTGTATGCTATGCGTCTAGTTCTAAGGCGCCCCAAAACCCGCCCTGTCTTCTTACTCTTCCCAATTCCCGTCATTGTTTACCCACTCGCAGTCCTGGGGTGGGCAGAGCGACAGGGAGGAGGCGGAGGACATAGGCCTGACACTGGCAGCGCTGAACGTGCACATGGACGTGGGCGTGGTGTATCGGGGTCTGCCTTGACTCCCCTCCCTCTCTTCCTTACCTATCTTCTGCCTCGTCCCAATACCCGCTGCTTTCTGCCCTTCTTTTTCCCATCTTCCAGTCTTGGGATGGCAGAGCGACAGGGAGGAGGCAGAGGACGTAGGCCTGACTCTGGCAGCACTGGACGTGCAGATGGACGTGGGCGTGGTGTACCGGGGGCTGCCGGGCCCTGTCTTGACTCCCTTTCGTGGTTTCCTTCCCTTTTCCGCTGCTTGTTGCCCTGCCCTGTTCACAGTCCTGGGATGGCAGAGCGACAGGGAGGAAGCAGAGGACATAGGCCTCACACTGGCAGCGCTGGACGTGCACATGGACGTGGGTGTGGTGTATCGGGGCCTGCCGGGGCCGCAGAGGGTGCGCGTGGTGTGTGTGGTGTGCTACTACGGGCGGCATTACCACTGCTTCTCGTTCCATGCGGACCTGGGCAAGTGGGTCATGTTCGACGATACCACTGTCAAGGTGAGAAGATAGAGGTGAAGGGCGGCGATGAGAGGTGGAGAGAGGTTGAGTGCGGTGATGATGATGTGGATGTTTCGGCTGAGGTGAGGTGCTTGCTTGCACAGAGGCCTGGCGAGCCCGCAGAGGGTGCGGGTGGTGTGGTGTGTGTGGTGTGTGTGGTGTGTGTGGTGTGTGTGGTGTGTGGTGTGTGTGGTGTGTGTGGTGTGTGTGGTGTGTGTGGTGTGTGTGGTGTGCTACTACGGGCGGCACTACCACTGCTTCTCCTTCCATGCTGACCTGGGCAAGTGGGTCATGTTCGACGACACTACTGTCAAGGTGAGAAGGGGGGGAGGGGGATGAGGTGGATGGAAGGAGTGAGATGAGGTGGAGTGAGATGTTGGATCTGCTTTCGAGAATTCTCAAAAAGCTGTTCTCTTCTCTGTTGTGCGACCTCCCTGCAGGTGGTTGGGGGCTGGGCAGACGTGGTCAGCTCATGCACCAGAGGCCGCCTGCAGCCGCAAGTGCTCTTCTATGAGGCATGCTAGTGACAGGGAGTGAAGGTGGAACGGAACCATACTATGCCATGGGAACCGAAACGAATCTTTCACTCTTCCAGTGTGTAAGGTGCCCTCAAGATACAGCCAGCCGCAGCCGCGGGTGCAGTTTTCTCACAAGGCGTGCTCTCATCTCATGAAGCTGTTATTCGGTACGAAGCTTCGCGACTCACTGATGCTGGCGTTCTTTCAAGTGCGTGTGGCTTGGGGGTGATTCAAGCTATGGCTGATGTGCTCGATAATGGGGTGGGGGTTTTCCTATGAAGAAGAGTTGTTTGGGGCATGGCTCATGCTATGAAGTGTTTTGTGTCTCTGCCGAAATCTGGAAGGGGGTTTCTTATGTTGTGATGCGAGGGGCTTCAAAACACTTATAGGCGATAGGCTCACGAGCGATTCTGATTTTCATTTGGTGCTTGACCGAAACAATGCACCTTTAGGTGTGGCTTTGGTATGGTAGGAGTTGTCTGTGTTCTTCTGGCTTGTGTATTGATTGTTTCTTGGAGGTATTAGAGCGTATTCCTATCCTCGTATCAAGAGAACCTCATATCAACCTCCCACTGAAAATTCCCCTAAACCCAAAATCTCTCGCTAGTTTTACTAGGCAAAAAGTACGAATCTTGATATGAGGTTCTCTTGATACGAGGATAGGAATACGCTCTTGTTACAATAGCAGGCAGAACGAGGAGCCATAGCTGGGGTTTAGCTAGCTAGGCAAGAGAGAATGAGCAAAAAAGGGTTTGCACTAGCAGCAGTTGAGATACATATAGGAAACCCTAATTGGGTTGTACTTGCTATAGAGTACCTCACTGCAGGCTAGACAAGCATGATATTCTGACACACCCCCATAGTCAAAGTGGGGTATAATCAGCACAGCAAGCAATCATAGAGCAAGTTCACAAGAACAAGCAAAGCTAGAGACTATCACAGAGGGCAAGTGAGGAGGAGGAGGGACTATGAGAGGAGAGGACGTGGTGGGCGGCAGCTGAAGCTGCTGGCACACGGCGCAACTGGAGCAACTGCACACGGGCAACTGGAGCAACTGGCACACTGGCAACTGGAGCAACTGGCCGCGGCTAGACGAGCGGCATGAGCAACTGGCTCACGGGCGACTGGAGCAACGGGCTCACGGGCGACTGGAGCGACGGGCTCACGGGCGACTGGCGCAACGGTCTCATGGGCGACTGGAGCTGCTGGCTTCACGGCGGCCACCCCCCCTTCAACCTCCCCCACTGTCCCAAAGCTCCCGTTCACACACCCCCTGCTGTTCCTCTAGCACTGCACCCACGACACCCCCCTAGCGCCACACCAGCGGCTCCCACACATCCACCCCCCTCAGCGGTAGCTGCAGCAGTGGGAGACGGAGTAGGAGGAGGAGCAGGGGACGGCTCACACACCCGTCACCCCCATACTCGCCACCCCCAAACCCTAACACAGCCAGCACGGGGCAGGAGAGCGTGTAGCAGCGGGGGCGGTGCTCGTGGTGAAGCGGGACGGCTGGGGCAGGCTGTACGGGCCGCGCACGGGCCTGGCGCGGGCCGTACGAACCGCGCGCGGGCTGTACGGGCCGCGTGCGGGCCTGGCGCAGCCCGTACGAGCCGCGCGCGGGCCTGGCGCAGGCCGTACGGGCCGCGCGCGCGGGCCTGGCGCAGGTCGTACGGGCCGCGCGCGGGCCTGGCGCAGGTCGCGCGGGCTGCTTCGGGCGACGGGGGGCGACGCGCGGATCCCCGGGGGCGCTGCGACGGGCGACGGGGGGCGACGCGCGGGTCGACGGGGCAGAAAACCGCCGCGCGCCCCGAGCGCTCAGCGGGCAGAAAACCGCCATGCGCCCCGAGCGCGTAGAAAAAACAGCGTCGCGCGCCACGGGGCGCGCGACAGACAGGAAAGCAGCGGAAGCAGGTGGGCCCATAGGCCAAGAGCGTAACAGCTTTGTTACCATGTTATAATAGCAGGCAGAACGAGGAGCCATAGCTAGGGTTTAGCTAGCTAGGCAAGAGAGAATGAGCAAAAAAGGGTTTGCACTAGCAGCAGTTGAGATACATATAGGAAACCCTAATTGGGTTGTACTCGCTATAGAGTACCCCACTGCAGGCTAGACAAGCATGATATTCTGACAGCTCTTACTTACCGGTAACCTTGGTAGCGATTCAATTACTATGGTACGTGCAATGCTATTGAAATACTTTCATTTGGTACTCTTGCAGGTCCTCGGAGTACTCAGTCACCCAGGAGTCCTCAAGACGGCCGAAGCAGTTGTACTTAGTGTGTGGCTTCCCACAGACTGTGCCCTTCAGAAGCCCCGCGCGTCGGACATAAGGGCAGCGACCAGAGCCCCCACGCTGGAGAACCCACTCACAGAGCTGCTGGTCGGTGGGGTTGTCCGGGAGGCGCGGCAGCTGCTGACCACTCCCGTAGCCACGGGAGGGTCCACGAGCGCCACCACCCCTGCCAGACCCCCCCCGACCTCCTCCACCGCCCCCGCTACCCCAACCGCCTCCCCCACCACCTCCGCCTCCTCTACCCTGTCCGCCTCCTCCACTGCCGCCACCCCTAGAGCCACCCCGAGAGCCTCTACCACCCCCGCCACCACCCCCGCCACCCCCTCCGCTGCTGCCACCACCACCACTCCTGCCCCCTCTGCCCTTGCTGTTGTTGCGCCTTCCACTGGGAGCAGACGCAGCGCCAACGTCCTCGGCACCAAGGAGGTCGACTGCAGCAGCGGTAGCAACTGAGGGGAGGAGAGGGGAGGGAATACACCCTTCAAAGAAGGGGGAGCGGGGGGTGCCACGAGAGGCAGCGACAGCGACAGTGCTCTTCTCAACCTCGAGAAGGGCCTTCTCAAGCGAGTCAAGTGTGAGCTCAGTGGGGTCCATGGCTAGGAACTGGTCCCTGACAGTGCGAAGGGAGTCAGGGAGGCGAGTGATGAGAAAGTACAGGGTGAAATACTGCGGGGGGGGGTTCTTAGCGAGAAAGGCCGGCTTGAGAGCGGCACGGAAGCGATCCTCACTAGAGCGGAGGTAGGTAAAGAGGTCAGAGACAGTGCGGAACTCAGCTAGATCGGGATGCAGGTACAGCAGCATGAGACGGCCTACAGCAGCAGTAGCTGGGGAGGAGTAGCGAGAAACGACAGCGTCATAGAGATCCTTGGCCGTTTTCTGCCGGCTAAAGTGCGCGCACTCAGTGAAGGGCAGATGGTTGCGGACAGCAAGGCGGGCAGCTGCATCACGCATGAGCCACTTAGACAGATCCTCTACAGCGTCGGCAGCAAGGGCTGGGAGCTTTCCCTCAGTGTGTAAAAACAGGGAAACGCCATCCTTAGACTCGCTCTGCAGGAACAGATGGAGATCGTCGAGCCAGACATCAAAGGTAATCGCGCGGCCCTCAGCATCAAACGTAAGAACTGATAGGTTAGCCATAGCAGCAGTAGCAGTAGCAGCAATAGTAGCTGTAGCAAGTGCAGTAGTAGCAGCAGCAGCAGTGCACTAGCTGTAGCAGCAGTAGTTGCAGCAGCAGCAGCAGCAGTGACAGCTCGGGTTGGGCGGCGCGGCTAGGACAGGGCGGCGCGGCTCGGGCTCAGTGGCGGAGCAGCAGCAGCAAGCAGCAGCAGCAGCCGTTGCTCAGTAGCAGCAGCAAGGAGGAGCAGCTGCAGCAAGTAACAGCAGCAGCAGCAAGGATGAGCAGCTGCAGCAAGTAGCAGCAGCAGTAGCAGGGCAGTGCAGGCGGCAGTAGCACTGCAGCAGCAGTTCAGGCACAGCAGCGTAGCAGCAGCAGCGAGTGCAGCAGTAACACGGGCCGCGTGCGGGCCAGGCATGGGCGGTAAGGGTTGCGTGCGGGCCTGGGGCGGGCTGTACGAGCTGCGTGCGGGCTGTAAGGGCTGCGTGCGGGCCTGGCGCGGGCTGTACGAGCTGCGTGCGGGCCTGGTGCAGGCTGTACGGGCTGCGTGCGGGTTGTACGGGCTTCGCGACGGGCCTACGCGGGCTGTATGGGCTTCGCGACGGGCCTACGCGGGTTGTACTGGCTGCGCGCGGGCCTGGCGTCGGTTGTACGGGCTGCGCGATGGCCTGGCGCGGGCTGTACGGGCTGTGCTCGGGCCTACGCAGACAGTACGGGCTATGCTCGGGCCTACGCGGACTGTACGGGCTGCGCACGGCAGAAAAGGGCAGTGCAGCGCGAAACGCTGGGCAGGGCAGAAACTAATGGTCGGACAGGTGAAAACGAATGTGGTGGGCCCTTAATTACGGTCCTAGGCTAAGAACGTCCTAACTCTTAATACCATGTTGGAATATTAGGAAGGAATGTCGATTAGGTAAGAGGGAGGGGTACAAGACTATCGAGAGAATTGGGTTGTACCCTCTAAGGAATGACCCCTACATAACCTAGAGTGGAATGAACAGAACTATATGTTTTGACATATGTGTGGACATCACTGTATCAGTGTGTGAGGTTGGAAAATCCAGCTAAGGGCGAAGTCAGGTTATACAATTCTCACGCATTTACAGTTTTTGTTTTGTGGTTCAGGATGGTCCAGCACGGCGAGAAGCGGTTCTCGCCTCGTACCGCTCTGCACCGTGTTGAAACAAAGTTAACCGTAGTATGGGTACAGAAGGTTGTACAACCTGACTTCGCCCTAAGGGCGCATTCCGCTGTGGACACATGTCCCAATCGATGTGTCCCAATCGAGTGTACCGCTCCGAACCGAACTAAACCAGAGACGCGAAAATTTCGAAACTAGGATGCAATTTGGTGTAATACGATGCAGTGCGGTAGAAACGATTGGGACACATCGATTGGGACATGTGTCCACAGCGGAATGCACCCTAACTACCGTTTTTCCCACTTGAATCATTCTCTAGTTGGAGAAATGATGTCAGTTTACACATGAAATATTCGTATATACAGTGAAACAACTGACGAAGGCTGTTACATGTCCCGCAAAGTACTGTTGAGAATTCGTGGGTGGGTGAACAACTGAGGTGAGGACTTCGCAACTGCACTGTTGTACCATGTTGTTGAGTTTGTCTCCGTACGATGACTGTTGCTGTCGTGATTGGCGGGAACGAGCAAGACCCATGTTCGTGTCGATGATTCGAAACGGACGGAAAACGTCAGACCTCAGGGATTTCAGAAAAAGTTGCGCATGCGTAACGGCCTTTTCAGCCCTGGGGGCTGCAGCAAAACTCGGTCAAAATTAAAACAATTCGTTTTTGTAGTTGGGAAACACGGTCGAAGACAGTGAGTCGCCTCATTTGAGACATAACGGGCCGCTCTCATTGGCCAATTTTTTTTATTCGGCCAGCCACTTGCATGACAGACAGGTGGTGCAAGTGCGAAATAAAAACGCCTCTTGGAACATCACCCAGAGCCAACCAACCACCGCACGACACATTCAGAGCTCCGGCAGCGCCTTTCGTTTGGTTTCGTTCCATCTCGTCTCAATTTGTTTCGTCCAGAAAAGTCCAAACGAGCGTAGTTACTGTTTTCCGCACTCTTCGACCCTTTTGTTTCACCACACCACCGTACCTTATGTGTGCAGCCAAAGAAAGAGTCCACCGCGCACTGGCCCAGCTTAGTAACTGCAGGTCGCTCGCCTCGCCAGCCAGACAAACAGAACAGACGGGCAATCAAAGCTGCAGCTTTCAGGCGAAGAAACGCCATGGCCAACCATTCCTTGATGGGGAGAGCCCAATCGGAAACACTCGTCAGGAAGGAGAAGCAGCAGAGCAGAGAGAGATCAGCAGCAGATCCGCTAGACTGCAGCGAGTTCCTTCCGAATCCCATCCCATCCCTAACCAACCAGCAGCACGACCGCGTGTTTTCGCGTCGTGATTTCAAGCAAGGACCGTCACGCACGCGTGTTAATCTTCAGGAGGAACGCGTTACTGTTCTAGTAGACTGTGAGAGAGAAGCGTCTCTAAAAATTCCGGCAGCACTGGCCGTGTTTCTTTTCTCGTTCAGCTCTTTTTTCAATCACCACCACCACCAGGATCACCGTCCATGCCCTAATCTGGCTCTTACTGTTAGAGCGTCACTTTAGTGCTCACGACCTCCTGCTTCTCGAGTCGTAAGACCCGGTTTCCACAGCAGCTCTAGCGATGCGCTAGGCATAGCTCCCCGGTTAACGCTGCACGCTGCCGTGCTGGCCGCTCCGAGCAGACCCGTTCCAGCCTTCAGGTTGGGAGTTGGACTAAAAGGAATCCGCTTTCTAGATTCGGCGAATCGCGTACCAACGACGAGAGCAGAACTAGGCTACAGGCCCTGAGGGACGCTTTTTGACGCAAATCCTACGTCGTTATAGCGTTGGTAGGCTGCATATGAAGCGTGCATTTACTTTTGGCGCTCGTGGGGAGGCATCCTACTTACGAGTCGAGCGATAGTTAAACGACTCCTCGCAAGCAAAACCCGCACGACTGTTTTCAATTCACCTCGATACGTGCGTCCTCGTAAGGGTGAATATACAGAATTGGGCGGTACGCCTCTGGATTCGAAATTGTTGAGAGGAATTTCGAGACTGCAAAGGCGAGGCGAAGTTTTTGTGAGGAGCAAAAAGCAGCGCAATGTCGGAAATGGATGAGCTTACAGCGAAGACAGGCGGGTGGGGGGAAGCATCCAAATTGGCCGCTCGCATGGGTAGCGACGATTGGAGTAACCGGGTAACCAGCGGCTTCAAAGACATCACTCTCAGCGACGGCACCGGCGGCAGCGGAAGGAGCGGCGGGCGAAGTGGCGTTAGAAGCGGCGCGGGAAGCGCCGTCAGTAGCCGACACAGCAGCAGCACGTTTAGCGGCAGAAGCGGCAGTATAGCGTGGACCGACGATTTTAGCGATTACGGACTGAACGACCCTGCTAGTTACTATCCCGACACCCCTTCCTCCCTCGCCTCGGCCCCTTCGTTGCGCTTCGAGCCACCGCTTCGTGATGACGTTGCTGGCGGCGCCATCGCCAGGGGCGGTATCGGCGGTTCCTTCGGTTCTCAACGCGCCGGGTCGTTTCGCCGTGCCGGCCTCCCGCCGTCCGGCAGCTTCGATCGCCAAGTCAGCAGCCGCTGCGGCAGCCTCGATCGCCACGTCAGCAGCCGCTGCGGCAGCGTCGGCGGGGCGGATGAGGAGATGCGCGATTCGGCGGCTGCTGTCGCGTGTGACAATAGCGAGATGGACTATCGTCGCGGTGCTGAGGCTGCGACTAGATACGACTTCTCGGGCGACGAGGACGACGACGAGTACGACAGAAACGAGAGCAGCGACACAGTCGCACGGGAGGTGATCCGACGGTTCAAGAGCACCGGACACGGAATCGACGGCAGGGACGGCGGCGGCGGCGGCGGCAGCGGAAGCGGCGGCAGCGGCGGCGGCGGTTTTGTTACAACAAGCAACAACAGCCGGAAAAAGAGAATGATAATAAGACACCAGCGACACGGATCCATGGCTTCTCATCCCAGGACGAAACCCGGAGGAGTTGAAACCGCACCTATGGGGATAATTAACGGTACGGGAAGCTATTATTACGGTATCGGGGCAGGGAGGGGTAATCGACCTGTTGCTACAGGCGGATCGGCTGGTAACGGGGATGACGCGCCGCATCGGCGCGCTCTGAGTGTGGATTTCCACCCGCCGCCTGTTTTCATGCACTCCCCGCGCACGCCGCCTTTCGGCGCGGACGGCGGAGATTGCCCCTCCCCGCTCTTTTCCCCGCATCTCTCCCCGCGCATGTCCCCCGCGCATTCCCCTACGCGCGCGCACCCCCATCCTTGGGCGGCCAGCCCGCGCGAAGCTTCCTCGTCCGCCCAGGAAGCTTCCGCGTGCTATCGCGCAGAGGAGGGAGCGTTGGACGAACCTTCCGGCTTGCAGGAGGATGAGTTGCCCGGCGCAGGCGCGGGCGCAGGGGGAGAACTAGCCATTCCGCCCCAACAGCTGCCCCAACAGCTGCCCCAACCTCAGCAGCAGCAGCAGCTGCCCCAGTTGCCCCAACCCCAGCAGCAGCACCAGCAGCTGCCCCAGTTGCCCCAGCCCCAGCAGCAGCTGCTGCAGCAACAGCCGCCCCAATTCCAATCCCAGCCCCCCCAGCCCCCGCAGCAGCAGCAGCAGCAGCTCCAACCCCAACAGCAGCTGCTGCCCCAATTTCAATCCCAGCCCCAGCAGCAAAAGCACGCTCTGCAGCAGCCGCAATCCCAGCAGCCCCAGCAGCAGTCCCCGCAACCCCAGCAGCAGCCGCTGCAGCACCGGCGGCGGCCGCACCTCCCACAGCAGCAGCACCTGAGGCTCGGTATCCCGTCCGGCAGCACCGGGCCTATGGGCCAGCATCGGCGCCACCGGTCCGTCCACTCTGGTTCGGACGCAGCCCGGAGGTTCGGCAGCAGCGGCAGCATCGGGACCAGCTGTCTCGGAACCAGCAGCAGCAGCGGCAGCACTGTCGGTGGTGCGACTGCTGCTGGTGGTGCTGGTGGTGCTGCCGGTGCTGCTGGTGGTGCTGGTGGTGAGAGCACTGGTAACACCGTAACCGCACGTCGCACCCTTCGAAGCCACAGCTTCGGTAGTAACCACCACAGCAGCGCCAGCTTCGGCAGCAGCCTCGGGCTAAGCCATAGCAACAGCTGCGGCGGAACCCTCAACCTCAATCTCCCCCCTAGAAGCCCCTTCAGGTCCCCAGGGCAGTTCGCTACGGCTCTGAGCGTCCCTGCGGGTTTGGAGTGCGGTGCAGGGGAGTTCAGTCCGGTGACGAGGTCTCCCAAACCCCCGAGGTCCCCGTTTTCGAGTGACGCGGCTGCTGGGATGTCTGTGTGTTTGCCTGAAAGGCCTGCAATGGCTGAAAGGGTTGCAGCGGCGACTAATGGGAATGCTGTGGGTAGTGGAAGTGGCGCCCTTCCTCCTCCTGCCCCTTATGCTGCTCCCCCTGCTCCTTCTGCTGCTCCTTCTGCTGCTCCTACTGCTCCTCCTGCCGTCTTGTGTGGCAGCGCCAGTGCTGACGCGGCTGGCCCATGCATTCCCCTTCACTCTTCTGCTCCTGCTCTTGCTCCCCTTGCTCCTCGTCCTGCTTTTCCTGCTCCTCCTGCTCTTCCTCCTGCTCCTGCTGCTCTTCCTCCTGCTCCTGCCGCTGCATTCAATCTGCATGGGCAGCAGCTGAAGAGGAAAACGGATTCTGCAGAGGCAGACGACTGTGTTCTCTCACAACAAGCTTCGTTGGGCTTGCAGCAGGATCAAACCATGCAGCAGCACCAGCCGCAGCCGCAGCACCAGCAGCACCAGCAGCATCAGCGGCCGCAGCACCAGCAGCCGCAGCACCAGCAGCAGCAGCAGCAGCAGCGGCCGCAGCAGCAGCAGCAGCCACAGCACCATCAGCAGCCGCCCCAGCAGCAACAGCAAGCGGCGTTGAGCCTTCAGGAGGAGCAGATTAAGCTGCTGCAGAGGCTGCAGCAGCACCGGTTGAACCTGCAGCAGCAGGGACAGCAAGGCCAGCAGGGATATCACCAACCACAGCAGCAGGTGCAGCAGGGGCAGGGGCAGCAGCAAGGAGAGACGGGGCAGGTGGATTTGCAGCAGCTGAAGGAGGCGTTGATACGCAGGTTGAGTGCGATCCAAGCAACCGGCAGCAACAGCAACAGCGCCAGCACGAGCGACTCTCACCCCCATGGTGCCTCTCTAAACAACTCCAGCAATGGCAGTGGCAGCTCAGGCGGTGGCATTGGCAGCGGTGGCATGGGCAGCAGTAGCATGGGCGGCGGCGGCATGGGCGGCGGCGGCATGGGCGGCGGCATGGGCGGCGGCATGGGCGGCGGCATGGGCGGTGGGTTTCACCGGCGATATGCGAGCGCAGGTGTTGGAATCACCACCAGCGGCTGCATCGGCAGCAGCGGTGGCAGCAGCAGCAGCAGCGGGAGCAACGGCAGCGGCAGCAGCAGCAGCATGCAGATGGTTCCTCCAGGAATGCAAGCTTCCCATCACGCCCCTCTCCACTCTGCTGCTCTTGCTGCCGGTTCCTCGCCTGCCCTCCCCTCCACCGCTCACCACTCCTCAGCCGCTGCTACTGCTACTGGTAGTCCTGTTACCCGTACCCCTGTCCATCCTGCATCCGCACCTGCACCTGCACCCCCATCCGTGCACCACCGGTGCGCATCCCTAGACGCCCACTCACAGCAGTTCTTCAAGACCCTTAGCACGTATATCAGCCGAGGGCTTACAGGGGAGATGGGGGAGGGCGCAGAGGGAGAGGGTGTGGGGGGAAGAGAGGGTGGGGTGGGTAGTGGGTGGCAAGGTGGGGCGGCGACAGGGGCGGCAGGGGCGGCGGAGGTGGATTCTGGGAATGTGAGCTTCAAGGATTTTATTCTGCGCATGCCGTACGACAACGTGAAGAGATTTTATTCTGTGAGCGCCGCCCGGATCGGGAGCGGGCGGTACGGCGTGATTCGGCCGTGCACGCACCGAGCGACGGGGGTGAAGATGGCGATAAAGACGATCAAGAAGGAACACATGAAGGTGAGGAAAGAGGAAGAGGCGAATAGGAGGACGTGCGCACAAGGGTGGTCATTCTGAGTCGATTTTTGAGTCGACTCAAAAATCGCCTCATCACACGAGGACGTGCGCACAAGGGTGGTCATTCTGGGTCTCCTGCAGTGCAACACACACCCTCCCTCACAACGCACCTCTTCTCTCCTTTCCCCTTTTCTGCAGTGCAAGGAGGATGTGGAGGATGTGCGAACAGAGGTGATCATTCTGGGCCTGCTGCGCGACCACCCGTGCATCATCAACCTGCATGACGCCTTTGAGGACGACAAGGTGCGTGGCTTCACGAGCATTGTCTTGTGAGCGTGTGAGCACGCCACACAGCATGACCTCCTGCTGCGCGACCACCCGTGCATCATCAACCTGCATGACGCCTTTGAGGATGACAAGGTGCGTGGCATGTCATGGTATTTCCTCTCATTCTAGTGCGTCCTGTGAACATGTGATGTGACGTGAGCACGCCACACAGCATGGCCTCCTCCTGCGAGACCACCCGTGCATCATCAACCTGCATGACGCTTTCGAGGACGACAAGGTGCGTGGCACTTGGGAGAGCATTTGAATTTGTGATCTTGTGAATGTGTGAATGTGCGAATGTGTGATCGTGTGAATGTGTGAATTTGTGATCGTGTAAATGTGTGAATGTGTGATCGTGTGATCGTGTGAATGTGTGATCGTGTGAATGTGTGATCGTGTGAGCGTATGAGCATGAGAGCATGTGGCAGGGTGTCACCTGCTGCACCACCCAACCATGCATCATCAACCTGCATGATGCCTTGGAGGATGACAAGATGCGGAGGCATTGCCTCTCATTCTAGTGCGTCCTGTCCTGTGAACATGTGATATGAGCATGCCCCTTGTTCAGTTTAAGTTGATGGACATAAGACCTCCGCGTCCTGTCCTGTGAACATGTGATATGAGCATGCCCCTTGCTGCGAGCGAGACCACCACCCGTGCATCATCAACCTGCCTGCATGTGATGCCTTGGAGGATGACATGACAAGGTACGGGGCATACTGGCATACTGGCAACCTCCCAGAGAGGGCGGTTCCCAGAGAGGGCAGTTCCCTTTTCAGCCCCTCAAAAGCTCCTCTTTCCCTCCTCCCACCTCCCTTAACAGTATGTGCACCTAATCATGGAGCTCTGTGAAGGAGGCAACCTGTTCGACCGCATCAAGCAGCGCGGGCAGTCCCCCGAGAGGGGCGCCGCCCTGCTGTGCCGGCCAATTGCACCCCTTTCAACCCCTCATAACCCCTTCTTTCTACGCCCGTCCATCTCTCTCCCCCTCTCTCTAACAGTACGTGCATCTGATCATGGAGCTGTGTGAAGGGGGGGACCTGTTCGACCGCATCAAGCAGCGGGGGCAGTTCCCCGAGAGGGATGCCGCCCTGCTGTGCCGCGGGCTGGCCGAGGCGCTGCTGCAGTGCGGGCGGCAAGGCGTGCTGCACCGCGATGTGAAGCCGGAGAACATTCTGCTACGGTCCAAAGAATGCCACACGCGGATCAAGTTGATTGACTTCGGTGTAGCGGCCCTACACACGCCAGGTAAGGGAGAGGCACACAGAAAGGTGAGAGGGGAAGTGGTAGATGCAGGCAGGCAGGCAGCAGGGGGGTAGGGGGGTGGTGTGCTGCGCCGGGGTGGTGTGCTGCGCTGGGGTGGGGTGCTGTTCATTCTGCTCTGCTTCCCTAACCATCAACTCACCTTTCCTCCTGTGCTCTCTCTATTGCCCCTCCAGGTACCCTAAGGACAGACCGGGCCGGTACGGTGGAGTATACCGCACCAGAGGTGCTCGACTGAGCCACGTGATAAAACAACACTCAAAGTAACACTTTTATCACGCACCAGAGGTGCTCGACCGAGCCTACGGCTTTCAATGCACATCGCTCCACTCACCGACTCTCCTTTCCTCCCTGTTGGCACCTGTCCATCGACCCTCCCTGTTGGCCTTCCAGGTACCCTAAGAACCGACCGGGCGGGGACAGTGGAGTATACCGCACCAGAGGTGCTGGACCGAGCCTACGGCCCCGAAGCTGACATCTGGAGCGCCGGAGTGGTACTGTACATTCTGCTCTGCGGTTTCCCGCCCTTTTGGGCGGCGACTGACGCTGACCTGGAGCGCAAGATCCGGATGGCGCATGTGGATTTCCGGCACCCGAGATGGGCGGCGATCTCGGGCGGCGCCAAAGATTTGATTCTGCGGATGCTGGAGAAGGATCCGAGGAAGAGGATAACTGCCCTGGAGATTTTTGGTGAGTGGTGGATAACAACGCTGTTGATTTATTATTGATTTTATCAATCTAAGTTCTTCCCACATGCGCTGTTATCCTCTTGCTCCGATCCTTCGCCAGCGCTGTTGATGTATCAAGCTGACTTTCCCCACGTGCTCTTTCCTTCACTCCCAAGGTATCCTCAACATTTGTCCTCTCTTCCATTGCCTGTTATCTTCCACCTCCCGTGCTTCCCCTTGACAGCTCATCCCTGGATCAGGGCAGCGGAAGCAGCTGAAAGTCAACACTGACACCGACCAGGTGTTTTTTGCTGCATACAACAACAAACATTCATTGAGACAAACGAATTTCTACCCAGTAGCCACCTTATGTATATGCGAAGTTATCAAATCCCACCTGACAAGATGCCTTGTCGTGTTACACTCCACGTTTTTGTGGTCCTTTCTCAATGACCATTTCCTACTTTCTACAAAAAAAACCACTGATTGTGGACTATAAAACCGAGGCATTACACTAACGGGTACGTCAACTGACCGTTGGACTGGTCTTTTGTTTTTCCGCCCAACACTCGCTCCACCCGCTCCTACCCCGCGTACCTACCAACTTCAAGGTTCCCAACATCGAGGATATTTCATTTCAGAGTGATCTTGTCTCAGTTTGCGATTATTTTTCCATTGCAACGTTATATCGGATGATAACCCCGCAACAACAGCAGAAAATGCCACTGACACGAAACGCCATACCCTCCTAGAATCAGATCCTCATTAGAAGTCTCAGGCGTGCTATTTGAACGGCAGTTCTCAGCGGCTCGTTTCGGCACCCAGAGCGATGATGCGAGTCGCAAAATGATGGTCGAAAAATGATGGTCCTGCGGTTACTAGGTTCGTAGCAAAGTCGCATAGTCGTCGCGATCACCAGCATCACTGGAATCACTGGCATTACAGGCATCGGGGAATTAGTTGTTTTCTGACACCACCCATTGACTCTAGGGTCTCTTTCGTGTCGCATCGTTTAGAAGTTCGACCCCCTCAACCAATTTCGTCTATTTCGAAGCCATTATTGGAGGCATGACGATGCGCTTCGCTATCTGGCAGGTAAGCGTTTGCCTGCTAGCACCCAAGGAGCATCCTGCATGCTTATTTTTTCCTTTTTCGAAAATTCCCCGTATTTCTTCCTCACTCATTGTCCGAAATCCGGCACTCCTTGAAGAATGTATGACTTTTTACTTATTTTATTCGGTAGAAGCCACATCCCCAAATTTCTGCGACTGTTCGTGCTTATTGCGACAGCTCGTTCGTCAGTTATCCCTCATCCTCCTCCCCTCAACCCTCCCCCTCATATTGCGACAGCTCGTCCGTCAGTTATCCCTCATCCTCCTCCCCTCAACCCTCCCCCTCTTATTGCGACAGCTCGTCCGTCAGTTATCCCTCATCCTCCTCCCCTCAACCCTCCCCCTCTTAATGCGACAGCTCGTCCGTCAGTTATCCCTCATCCTCCTCCCCTCAACCCTCCCCCTCTTATTGCGACAGCTCGTCCGTCAGTTATCCCTCGCCGTGCCGGTCGTCCTGACGGTTCACGACAACGTCGTCAGCATGTGCGGCGTGGATGGCCACTCCATGTCGCCCACCTTCAACCCGCTACGTGACAAAACCGGCCTGCCATTCCGTGCCGCCCTTAGCGATCGCGTGCTATTAGACAGGCTGTCGGCGCGTTACATGCAGTACCAGCGCGGGGACGTTGTGGTGCTCAGGTGATTATATCGGGGGGGATGGGGAGTTAGGGGGGGAGGTGGGACGATAAAGGAGAGAAGAGAGGGGGAGAATAGGGAGAAGGAAGAGGAGGGAAGGGAAATGTGGGGAAGTGCGAAGGTAAGGATGTCATGTTGCTAAGGTGATTATGACGGGGGAAGGGGGAGAGAGGGGGAGGGGGGAGAGAGGAGGGAGAGTGAAGGGGGATGAACGTAGACAGTGCTGGCTGTCGGCGCGTTACATGCAATACCAGCGCGGAGACGTGGTGGTGCTCAGGTGATTATATCGAGGGGGATGTGGTGGGAGTGTAGGGGAGGAATGGGGAAGAGAAGAGCGGTAGGAAGGGGAGGAGGGAGTGGATTGAGGAGGAGGGAGTGGATTGAGGAGGAGGGAGATGCTTAGCCAGTTACCTGCGATGGAGAGATGTCATGTCGCGAAGGTGATGGTGAAGGGAGGGGAAGAGACAAAAAAGGGGTGGAATCAGTGTGATGATATTCGTGGTGCATCTCCTCCTCCCCGTCTTCACCTCCACTCCCACCCGAGCAGTGTATGTCCTCTAATTTCCCTGACCATTTTTTCATATGACTTTGTATGTAGTCTTCCTTCTCTGTTCACCTCTATATCCCACTCTCCCTCTCTTCCTGGGATTTGGAAAAATAAAAAAGAGAGAGGGAGAGAGAACGAAATTCTATCTGTGCCCCCCTCCTCCCCTCCCCTTCCCGCTTCCCCTCCCCTCCTCTCCCCTCCCCGTCCCCCTTGCAACAGAAAATGCAGAAAACGCAGCCCCCCCATTCTTCAAGGTCCTCCTCCCCTTCTTCCACTCCTCTCCTCTCTCACTCTTACAGCAGTGCATGTCCCCTACTTCCCGACCAGTTTCTCACGAGACTCGTAATGCTTTCTTCTGCTCACCGCTCTACCCCACTCTCCGCCTGCTTTCGTGGATTTTATCCATTTGTTTATTTCATATTTTATTTTATTTTTTCACAAGAAGAATTTTCTTCGTGTGTTCCGCTCTTCGTCCTCTTCCCTTCCTCCTAACCCTCCCCCGTGTAACAGTGCAGATCGCCCATTGATCCCGACGTGTGCCTCATAAAACGTCTCATCGCACTACAGGACGACTGGGTAACAGTGCCGAGCGACAGCACCACTGACGCCAGCACCAGCGGAAGTGGCGCCAACAGGGGTGATGACGTCATCAGGCGGATCCCCAAGGGCCACTGCTGGGTGGAAGGGGACAATGCTGATGTCAGCGAGGATTCTAAACACTTTGGCCCGGTATGAGTGTGGTTGTGGTTGCTGGGTGCTGGGTGGTGGGTGGTAGGTGGGAGTGTGTCTGTGGGTATGGCCATGGCTGCAGCTGTGGTGTGATTGGGTGTACTAGCAAGTGGCACGGCAAGGCATGCTTGCTTGTTGCGGGGTGTTGTATTCAGTCAGTGGCATCTCACTCTATTTCCGTTCTGGAACGCCTCTCCCCTGTTCCGCATCCCCCCGCTCCCCCCCTTCCCGAAAACTCTTCCCTGCCATGCATTGCTCCCCCTGTCACCTGCCAGGTGCCACTCGCACTGCCTGAGAGTCCGGTGCTCTGCAGTGTGTGGCCTCTCCACAAAATGCTGAATTCTCTTCTTCTCCCGTTCCTCCTGCACCCTGTACCTTACCATCTGCACCCTGCACCTTACCATCTGCACCCCGCACCTTACCATCTGCACCCCGCACCTTACCATCTGCACCCCGTTCCTTACCATCTGCACCCTGCACCTTACCATCTGCACCCCGCACCTTACCATCTGCACCCTGCACCTTACCATCTGCACCCTGCACATTACCATCTGCACCCTGCACCTTTCCATCTGCACCCCGCACCTTACCATCTGCACCCCGCACCTTACCATCTGCACCCCGCACCTTACCATCTGCACCCCGCACCTTACCATCTGCACCCTGCACCTTACCATCTGCACCCCGCACCTTACCATCTGCACCCCGCACCTTACCATCTGCACCCTGCACCTTACCATCTGCACCCCGCACCTTACCATCTGCACCCTGCACCTTACCATCTGCACCCTGCACATTACCATCTGCACCCTGCACCTTACCATCTGCACCCCGCACCTTACCATCTGCACCCCGCACCTTACCATCTGCACCCCGCACCTTACCATCTGCACCCCGCACCTTACCATCTGCACCCTGCACCTTACCATCTGCACCCCGCACCTTACCATCTGCACCCTGCACCTTACCATCTGCACCCTGCACCTTACCATCTGTGCCCTGCACCTTACCATCTGCACCCCGCACCCTACCATCTGCACCCTGCACCTTACCATCTGCACCTTGCACCTTACCATCTGCCAGGTGCCACTTGCATTGCTGGAGGGCCGGGTGCGCTGCATTGTATGGCCTCCCCACAGAATAGGGGGGGTGGAGAGCCGAATGCCAGAGGGGCGAGTTCTGCCTCTGAAGCAACAACACTAAGAAAGTGCCTGGAAAGTGGTTGCAAGTTGCCTGGAGGGGCAGGTGCGCTGCGTCGTGTGGCCTCCCCACGGAATAGGCGGGGTGGAGTGTCGATTGCTTGAGGGAAGGGTGCTGCCATTGCAGCAACAACATTAGGAAGGTTCCTGGAAAGTGGGTGTGCTAATGCGTGACCTTCACACGGAATGGAACGGGGGGAATGGATGGAGAGTAGTCCGCTCTGCTGGAGAGTGGCACCTGGAGTGGAGAGTGCTGCCCATGAGCACTGGGAACAAGGAGCTGCTTAGAATCTGAGATGAATGCGCCTGAAAGCGGTTGCTTTTCGCCCTCTTATGGAATTCCGGCCACTACTGGGAAGCTGAATGCTTATGGGGCAACAAGAAAGTATATTTGCTTGTTGGGGTGCGGTGCCTTGCACAGCACTGAAAAATGCAGCAACATTGAAAACTGCAAGAGCATTTGAAACCGGATCAGCTGCATATGGTAACAGACAGGTATGCAGGGCTAAAGCAAACACAGCAGGACATGGCTGTTACAGTAGCTGGCTGATGTGGAATTGTGGCTCGCATATGGCTTCTCCCATCAATTTCGCGTTTCAGGTATTTGATTTATGCCAGCACCACCTGAAATCCGCTCTTCTGCAGGTCAGCAAAGCCCTTGCTGCCTGTGCCTACCTGCATCGTGTCCCATCCCACCAATCACTTGGGCAGCACAAGACGATTTGCTCAAAGAAGTCCAGCAAATCATGGGTTTGCTTGTGACCGTGCCCTGCAGTATAGCCATCCCTTCCGCTCCATTCTCTGTCCTCTGCTTCATCCTCCATCCATTCCGCCCAGCATCCTTCACTCCATTACTCCTTTTTACATGGCACTTTTGTGAAGTACGGTAGCGTGCATGATTGGATTTAAGATTCAAGCATCAGCCTTTCCTCTGTCCTTATCCATTTCTCTCTCTCCTCATCCATCTCCATCTGCTTCCTTCAAATCAGCAGGCCTCTCTGAATGGTCTCTTCTTGCTCCAATTGACTCAGCAAATCTTGATCCCAGGGCTGATTGGTCCCCCTCCTTCATCTGCCATTCTGCTGCTACTTGCTGCACCTGCCAGCAGCAGGCAGGGGGGGATATAGAAGAGCAGGATTATTAATTCGTTTTGATAGAGATACCTTGAAAGAGACTGCTAGCCACCTATATGTTCACCCACAACCATGTGTGTCCCTCTGCTGCTGGTGGTTGCTGCCCCAACAGCAGCAGCGCAAGAGCTTTTCTTGAGGAAGTAAAAAGAATGGTACCATTTTGGAAAAAGGCGGCTGCTAAGCTAGGGCAAATACTAGTACATTAATCACCAAACCCTGAAAGTTGCTATGCAAATTGATGTGGCAACAGAGGGTATGGTATCCATAACCTGAAAATGGGTGAGTTGAGAACCAGACGCAGGGAGAGCCTGGTGAAGGAACAATGCGTTAATCATGGCATCAACGCATTGAGCGATTACCATTACCTGGTGATTAAGAGGGGAGAGCCACTGAGGGAATTACCTGGTGATTAAGAGGGGAGAGCCACTGAGCAATGGCATCAATTCGTGGTTGAATGGCGGCTTTCCCCTTCACAGGCAGGTCCTCAAGCTGGTGATAGGAGGGAAATTCATGAACAGCAAAGTATTAGGGCTGCCTTGAAATTGCAAAGGCTTTTACCTTCACAGGCATGTCCTCAAGTTGATGAAAGGAGAGGAGACTCACATGCATGAGCACAGAAACATGTTACAGGCGAGTGCCTTGAGAGCAAAACAATCTTTTCCTTCACAGCTATGTTGGAGTGACTTTTGAGAATTCTCAAAAGACAGAAACATGTTACAGGCGAGTGCCTTGAGAGCAAAACAATATTTTCCTTCACAGGAAGGTCCTCAAGCTGGTTTCAGGATAGAGGAGTCACATCCACGAGCAAAAAAAAATGTTTTCAAGTCTTTTGAGAGCGGTGAAGGGGTGCAGAATTAGAGACGCGTGCACAAGCAAGAGACACGAACACTTCCAAGCTGTAATAACCCTCTCCGTATGAAATCCGCGTGCATTGAGGTGTATTTTGAGGTGCCTCAAAATACATATAAGGCTGGTGAAGGGGTGCAGAATTAGAGATGCGTGCACAAGCAAGAGATATGCTAGGGGTGCCTCGAAAGCAAATAAGATTTTCTCTTCGCAGGAATGCCCCCATGCTAAACAAAGGCTAGAGACTCGCATGAATGAACTAGTATTCATGCGTGATTCATGGGTGATTTTCAAGGCGCCTGAAAATGCACTGAGGTGATTTATAACCCGTCCAAAAAAAACTTCAATGTAAAGAGGGCTGGAGACTCCCATGAACGAGCAAGGGGTTATTCATGGGTGCCTCTTGGCTGAGACAGATAATTAGGAACAACACGACCGGCAGTGACACCACCACATCAGAGCAGCAAACACGCACATAGGCACCCACACAAACGCCCGCACACACATCAGCAACACCACCACATCAGCAGCAGCAGCACATCAGGTCACGCACACAACACAGCAGCAGCCAACACATCACGTATTAATTGCACATCCAAGGCTTGAAACGTGGCTACCGCGGCCACAGCAGCCCCCCCCGCCCCCCCCCACCCCCAACACTAGGCGTGGTTTGAGTCGACAGTAACACAACAGCACCACATCAGGGCACACACACATTGCACCAGGAACAACCCCACATCACGTACCGTTTGCACATCCAATGCTCGAAACGTGGCTGCCACGGCCACTGCTGCTCCCCCCGCAACTATCACAGTGGCTATAGCAAACGATTTGGTCACTAACCCATCACAGGAACACGCAAGGGGGAGGGATGAGAGGGGGAACGGGAAGGGGGAAGAAAGATGCTAGCTTTTTAAAATGCATTTTTCCTGGGATGCTATTTTGAGGCTCCTAAAAGAACCGTCATGCATGAAAATGCAACGAGAAAGCAGGTGGACGAGGGGAGTGGGAACGGGAAGGGGGAGGGTGGACAAAGAAGAGATACAAGCTCACGAACAAGATACTAAGATACTTCTCCCTGTTCTCCCACTCCCCCACCCTCCCATCCACCCGTCCACCCGCCAACCCTTCCACCCATCATCCCAACTTCTCACCCTCCCACCCTCCCATTCACCCTCCCACCCCACCACCCACCCTCTCACCCTCCCACCCTACCACCCACCCTCTCACCCTCCCACCCTCCCATTCACCCTCCCACCCCACCACCCACCCTCTCACCCTCCCACCCTACCACCCACCCTCTCACCCTCCCACCCTAACACCCACCCATTCACCCTCCCAACCGCCCTCTGACACACACCCATCCGGAGAGCCTGCGCCATGCCCTCTGTTGTCGCCTTGTCCGGTCCACGTGGCCGCCTCTCATTGGCTGTGGAAGGAGAAGGCGTGTGCGCGTTATCGAATGATATTTGGTACCTAGGCAAGGTGTGTGTAGAGAGCAGGAGTGTGGAGGGGGAAGGCGTGTGGAGGGGGAAGGCGTGTGGAGGGGGAAGGCGTGTGGAGGGGGAAGGCGTGTGGAGGGAGGAGGCGTGTGGATGGGGGAGGTGTGTGGATGGGGGAGGTGTGTGGATGGGGGAGGTGTGTGGATGGGGGAGGTGTGTGGATGGGGGAGGTGTGTGGATGGGGGAGGTGTGTGGATGGGGGAGGTGTGTGGATGGGGGAGGTGTGTGGATGGGGGAGGTGTGCGGATGGGGGAGGTGTGTGGATGGGGGAGGTGTGTGGATGGGGGAGGTGTGTGGATGGGGGAGGTGTGTGGATGGGAAAGGCGTGTGGTGTGGAGGATGCACGAACACGGCACAACAGAAAGGCAGGCAGGGGGGGAGCAAGGGGAAGCATGGGGAAGCATGGGGAAGCATGGGGAAGCAGGAGAAAGGAAGAGGAAGCAGAAAAGGATGAGCAAAGAGATAACAGGAGAAAGCAGGTTGCAAGGAGGACGAAGCAGGAGAAAACCAGAGACAGCCGGAGGAAATATGAGGAAGCAGGACGACACAGGTGAAAGCAGGAAGAAACGGGAGAAAGGAGGAAAAGGGAGGAGAAAGAAGGTGAAAGAAGGTGAAAGCAAGCGAAAGCAGGAAACAAACCCTGGAATAACTGGATAGCGAAGGGTAGCTAACATAGTTGCTCTCTGGCCCCAAAAAACTCGCTCCTAGGGTTACACAATCAGGACATCCTCAAAAACTAATTTTCCGCACTCGCTCGCACTCCACCTGTCTGCACCGCACTCACTTGCCCCTGCCGAGCCGCGTCTGCGGAACATGCCCCACCGCCCCCTCCAATGCACCAGGCAATCCCCTGGCCGCCCTGCTGACGAGTGCAGATCCACCTGGCGCTGATCTGCTGACGTGTGCGAATCTATCTGCATCTCCACCTCTGTCATTACTCGCTGCATCTCCAGATCCACCTGGCGAGTACCTGACGTCCATCAACGGCTCTGATCGGCTCGCGAGAGGCAATCGATGGCTGAGAATCTCCGGGAGCACATCGACGGAGTTATCAAAATTGGTAGATGCAGGAGGGGCTGCTGATGCGGCATTGCCATCGGAACTCCCAAAACAAATATCTCCATTATTATTTTGGGAGCGCAACTGCGCGGAATCTCTTAATTTGCTGGCCTTCAACTCGCTTTCCTGAAAAGCATATGAAGCGGATAGACGGGCAAAAGATGAGATGAAAGGAGGAAATATATAAGAAGGTTAAAAAACTAGGAAAGGAACACGCGGATACAAGAAAACAAGAGATAATGGATTTTTTGCCAAAATCTGATGTTACAAAAGAGACACGGAACGGGAGAATGAATAACCTGGATTTGGAAGGACCAGAGTCTGGGGTTAAGCGGCGGGAGGAAAAGGAGGAAGGGGGAGGAGGGAGAGGCGGGGAAATAGGGGGAGAGAGGAGAGGAAAGGGGGGGTGGAAGGGACGAGGGAAAGGACGGGGATGCGGAAAGTTACAGAGGGAAAGTGCGGAGGCCGGGAGTGTTCTTACTTGCTTGAAGTAGCTGTTTTCCGATGATCCTCGTCTAAACCGAAGGAAGCTCATAGCTTTGAACTAACGCGCGCGTGAATGAGGTAATAGTGAAGACGACCAAAAGAAAGACGGTACTACTCAAACCCTTTTTTTGCTTTCTTTCCTTATTTTCCTTTTTCTGCAGGAGTGCTGACGTCACGGAATAACAGCGTAAGTAAAGTAACACTAAATGACTCGCTGGACTCGTAGTAACAGCAATTCGATACGAGGAAAATTTTAGTCGGCTCTGGAAAACAAATTAATTCTCCAAATACAACACGAAGCAAGGGCACTCTACTTGGTCCTTGTCTTCGGGATGTCTCGCCAGGACAGCTAGCCATTCAGCTTTCACGAATTTGTACAAGATTCTTGTAGGAGATGCAGAAACTACATGCACTGTACACAATTCAAGATGACTCAAACACTGTACCAAAAGATCCTTCATGCACGCCAGCTTTCATTCAAACCCCAATTTCCATTGCATTTCCCCAAGGACTTCCCCGCTGTAATGAATGTGAATTCATTACTGTAGAGGCTACTCCTAGCGAGGACATCCCGAACTGTTCGCGTCAGTTTGGGTTCGGCCTACACTTCGGCCCGAACCACTTCCGAGTCGCCCCGCACCAATCGCGACACTTCCAACCCATCCACGTCCCGAGGTCCTCGCCTGCCACGGTTTCGACCCTATAAATGCTTGCTTCTTTATCATTCTCGTCATTCTGGATTCGACATCCTTTTTATAAAGTCTTCCGCGCACTCTTCTTAGTACAACTCATAACACTTGGTATCAGAGCCTAAGTTCCTAGGTTCCCCGTTTTTTAGAGTGTATTACCCCTCGGGGGGGGGACAGGGAAAGGATGCCGTGGTGACAGGAGCAGCGCATTAGCCGGCCAGGAGAACGGATAGTTGCTCATAGCGGCCGTGTTTTTACGGGCGCTCCTGCTGCACCGACGGATCCTTGCCCTCGACGGTCGAGATGGACCGTGGCCTCCCTCCCCCCGGGTGGCGGACAGCTTTTGCTGTCGTCGCATTTAATTGCGTGAGTAAATTTCATCGTTTCCGTTAATCTCGGCGCTGTTTTTATGCGGCAGTTGGCGTCAGGACGGTTGTCGTCACTGCATGCGCGAGATTCTCGGAGCAGCTGGTCGTGCGAGTTGAAGTTTTCACGTGGTCGTCAACTGCGCACGAAGAAATCGGAGTTAATGCGTGCGGCAAGTGGCGTCAGGCGTTTTCGTCAAGTTGCGCACGAGAATCACGGAGGTCTTCGGCACGTTGTGAGCATCGTCACTGTGCTCGAAGATTTCGGGTGGCTTCACGGCAGAAACGACAGCTGGCCGGACAGGCCAGGCGCATAGTGATTTGCGTCGGAAAATGCAAACGGCGAGGAGAGACGGCGTGACGACTGCCCGAAGAAAGCGGGGGTCTACCGTCGTTCCGCCCGGGTGTGGCCGGTGTGGCTGCAGGAGGGTGCGTCTTTGGCGTTTTCGGCAGGTGCGGCACAGTGTGGGACGGAAGTTGTTTTCGAACCGCCGAAAAGTTCGGAAAAGGCCGCCTACGACTAGACTGTCTACGTTAGGGACACTTCTGCGCCTGCAACAAGGTCGGCCGAAATTTTCGGAGCAACAGCAGCAGCCGACAGTGTACTTCATGCGGCACAGGTTCCCCCTGATCAAGGGAAGTTGCGCCGCAGACAGGGCAGTACACCGACGGGACAACGGTTTATCGCAGCGTCTAGACCCGCGAATTTCGCCTGGTCTACCGGTCACAATAAACGGAGTTGCGACAAATACGGGTCTGGCGAGAGAAACGGATTCCGAGCTTCAGGAGGGGCGAAAACGACCTACTGCGACGACTTTTTGCTGAGGGCCGAGTTTTGCGGCTAAGCGGCGGTAGCAGAAGGAGCTCCCTACCGGCCAAAGTCTACCGACGTTTCACATACCTCACGCCCAGAAGGCCTCGAAGGCAAGGAGTAAGTCCTATTGGCCACTGGATCCAAAGGTGGGGCCCTGTGTTTAGCCCTGTGCTAGCTAAAAAGCGCGGGCATTGCGCCAGTTCGACAGCTGGGCGTACAAGAAATTTTCTGGGAGCGACACTGTTTCGGCCCCGACAAAACCGGACCATCGGCAGCAGTTACCCCGCCGAAAAAGCCGGAGCTGAAGCAGTTGGTGCAGCTGTCGGAGTTTCTCCTGATTCAACGGTCTACCCGACGGCGGTGTAGCGGCGAAGAAGGGATTTCCGAAGCTGAGGAGTTTTAAACGCGATAGACGCGGTGGGCAGCGAAGCGGCCGGTCCGACTGTTTGATCCGATAAACATGACCCGGCTACGATAGCGTTCGCGCCTTCACCGAATGTCAGAAAAATCGCGGGCAACAAGGAGTTATACCTCATCCGACAAAAGCGAACGCTGGGTGAACGGCGGCAAGCGAAATTGTCGGGGGGTGAAGACACAAAACAAATGGAGGGAAATTTGTGGGTGCTCCAGCAGATCTCCAGAGTGAAAGGTTGAGCCCGTACACCAATCCACCGCGAATTTCGGAGTCTATTCGGTAGACCCCCGAAAGGGTTTGATATTGTTACATGGAGGCGCGGCGAGCGGTGTATCGCCAAGGATACCTGGGATTTGTCAGAATATTATGCTCTAGCCTGTAGTGGGGTGCTCTATAGCGAGTACAACCCTTCTAGGGTTTGCTATTTGTATCCTCATTCTTGCTAGTGCAACCTCTCTTCTTTTTCATTCTAAACTTCTCTACCTACTAATCTTTACATGCTATCAGAGCAGGTCGATCCCCTTGGATCGATCCTGTGGGTGGGCTCACCACCTCGTTGCTTCCGCTGCAACTTCCACTACTACCTTCTGTGCCGCACGCCCCGTGGCGTGCGGCAGTTTTTCTTCCCGCCGTGCGCCCCGAGGCGCGCGGCGGTTCTCTGCCCGCTGTGCGCCCCGAGGCGCGCGGCGGGCTTCTACCCCGTCACTCGCCGCGTCGCCCTCGGGAGGCGCTGCGACGGGCGACGGGGACCCGCGCGTTGCCCCCCGTCGCCCGTCGTGGCCTGCGCGCGGCCCGTACAGCCGGCGCGCGGCCCGTACGGGCTGCGCCAGGCCTGCGCGCGGCCCGTACGGGCTGCGCCAGACCCGCGCGCGGCCCGTACGGGCTGCGCCAGGCCCGCGCGCGGCCCGTACGGGCTGCGTCAGGCCCGCGCGCGGCCCGTACGGGCTGCGCCAGGCCCGCGCGCGGCTCGGGCCGCCTGCGCGCGGTTCGGGAGGCTGTGCCAGGCCCGTGGGCGGCCCTTTCCTCGCTGCCCCTGCCCTCCCCGCTGTCCCCCGTGCTTCTGCTGGCGCCCCACCCCTCCTACAGCCCGTTCTCCTGAATTAGGGTTTGGGGGTGAGGGGTATGGGGGTGAAACTACTGTGTGCCGTTCCCTGCTCCTCTTCCTCCTCCGTCTCCCTGTGCTGCAGCTGCCGCTGAGGGGGGGTGGACTTGTTGGAGCCGTTGGAGTGGTGCTAAGGGGGGGTGAAGGGGGAGTGGAGCTAGCGGTGTAGCAGCGGGCGTGTGTCAGGAGGGGTGGTACTGTTTGGGGGAGGTCGAGTGGAGGCAGCAGTCTTGTCGTCAGCAGCAGCAGCAGTCCGGAGGCTACAATCTCCGGTAGTCGCCAGTCGCCCGTGGGTCCGTTGCTCGTCTGCCGCTACTTTTAGCCGCGGGGCCAGTTACCCCAGTAGTCCGGAGCGTTGTTCCGGTAGCCACTGAGCCAGCAGCTCGTCCGTGTGTCTGCAGCGTCAGCAGTCGCCTCCCATCTTCTCTCCCCCACAGTCTCTCCTCCTCCTCACTTGCCCTCTGCGATAGCCTCTAGCTTTGCTCATAATTGTGAACTTTAAACTATTGCTTCTTGAACTTGTGCTCAGAATGTGTGGTGACATTGTGATCCACCCTGAGCTTGTACTGCTTTGCTTGCTCTGCTGATTACACCCCACTTTGGCTATGGGGGTGTGTCAGAATATTATGCTCTAGCCTGTAGTGGGGTGCTCTATAGCGAGTACAACCCTTCTAGGGTTTGCTATTTGTATCCTCATTCTTGCTAGTGCAACCTCTCTTCTTTTTCATTCTAAACTTCTCTACCTACTAATCTTTACAGGATTCGCTAAGTAATTTCGACGGGTGCGAAGACGGGTGAACGTCGGAGTACCAGGGTTAACGGCGGAAGCGTCGGGGTTACGCGGCGGAAAATACTTCGGGACTGCTTCAACAACCATGATTTTCAGGGTTTTATTCCAACGGTGGGAGACGGGTGAACGTCTGCTCGCCAGCTGTTTCAGCGGTTTACGGTGTACTTCGAAGCCATCTGGGGAAATTCTACAGCGAGATCTGCGGCGTTGATGCGGGCTAGGTTCCGTGAAATTCGGTCCCGGTAGACCCATAGTTCTGGGTTCCGCACAAAAAGCACCTCCTGTTGGTGGGTGGCTAGTGTGGTTAATCGCAGGAAATAAAAATGGCGACGGGTGGGCACGCTAGATACACCGGTTCTTCAAGGGGATAACCTGCAGGTGACCAAGACGTACGAGAAATTTCAACACCGACACTTACGGGTTTCAGCAGCAGTACTGGGAGCTGGGTCTTTACAAGAGTTCGGCGGTGACGGCCGACAATTTCGCGACAACGGCGGAGTTGCAGCGGCGCTGCGTTAAGCGCGCGAAAACTGCCGTGGTGAACTTCATGGTGGCAAAATCTGCAGAGTTTCAGGGGTACCAGCCGCAACACTGGTGAAATGTGTCACAACAGGTGGGGGGAGGAAGGACAGCTTTTTCGCCTCTGCCCCGAAGTCTTCAGCAATAAAGTGATTCGATACTGCCACGCGGGGGATTACGAGGTGGCAGTCACGAGAGATGCTGCAGCAACAATCGCGACAACAAGACAACAAGAAGATTTTCTTAATGCCGAGCCACCGCAAAAACGATATTCTTTCGAAGGGACTTCGACAGAGTTTACCCTGGGCATTTTCGGGGTTTTCGACAGTGAAGATTTCGCCACCGACCGCAATTTCGACTACACAGCGGCTGAATTTCAGGCGGGAGGTCATAACACTTGGTATTCTGTCCTACCCTCGGCGTCAGGGGGGTTGTGGTTTTGTGCCCGCGCAGCTGTACACATTTTGGTGGGCAGCAGTTCTCTTCCAAGGGGGGGGGGGGGGGGGAGAAAGAGTGCTCACGCACTGTTGTTGGCAGGCCTCTGACATTTCGCCAGTTATTTCAGACAGTTCGTCTGACACACCCAGCACGACGGACGCACGCGATGGCTTCATCGGCATCGACGGCACCAGATTCATCGATCTCTGACAACGCGTCAGAATTCCCGCCGACATGACATTCACCAGAACCATCCGATACACATCCGCGACATCGACGGCCTTCCTTCGTCGAACGATTTGAGATCGACATTCGCTTTCAACCGCCCGATTGACATCGGCAGTATCAACGGCTGACATCCCAACTCTTTGAAATTCGCCTGGTCAACGCGCTCAGCCACGCGTCAACTCGAAAGTCAACATGCTTCCGCACCGTCAGATCAGTTTCAACCGAGATCTGCAGTTTTCACGCTACTGCAAGACTCGCCTACGTATAAGGGCACCTTATTTAGAAGGTGGGAGAGTGTAATGAATGTGAATTCATTACTGTAGAGGCTACTCCTAGCGAGGACAGCCCGAACTGTTCGCGTCAGTTTGGGTTCGGCCTACACTTCGGCCCGAACCACTTCCGAGTCGCCCCGCACCAATCGCGACACTTCCAACCCATCCACGTCCCGAGGTCCTCGCCTGCCACGGTTTCGACCCTATAAATGCTTGCTTCTTTATCATTCTCGTCATTCTGGATTCGACATCCTTTTTATAAAGTCTTCCGCGCACTCTTCTTAGTACAACTCATAACACCCGCGAATCACCTGACCGCTGCCTCTTGAGCCCAAAGCCAGCACAGCAGCACGCGCAATGAGTGCAGCACGTAAGACACGAGATTCGCGACAATGAGTGTACACTCTGTACGAGCAGAACAGCTGTACAGTCCACGGGAAAATACTTTCGTGAAATACGACCGACCTGACCATTTTTGGGTGCAAACGTTTTTTCAAGCTCTTTTGGAGGGCACACAAGCGGAGACACATCGCCATTCATAGATCTGTTTCGTAGTTTTGCCACTCTGAAATGCAAGAGGTTCATTAGGACGTGTCACGGTTCGCCTCTGATTGCCCCGATCGATCAATAAATTCCGGGAAGCTAGGGTGGCGATTTCAGGCAATCTGGGGCAATCACTTGATCGCGATCAGTTGATTGCCCCAACTCGATCAACCGCCTAAATATGCCCAATCAAACACAACCCCACACAATCACCGACGATCAGTTGATTGCATTGGTTTGGGGTACTAAACGACGCTATCGACAAGTTACGGTGTTGTGCTTAGTTTCGTGAAGCTCTCGCTCAAACAAACCACCCTGGCGAACTTTCTAAACCACCCTCTGCAGCGTTACTGAGCATCTTTTCACGTGAAATTACATGGAAACATTGAAATTCGGTAAGCCAGGCTGATGACTTCGCCCTCGCCAAAGTGGGCGCAAAAGTGTTTGGAAAGGGTGACACGCTTGCCAAGCACCCTCATAGAATATTCGAGGAATTTCTTCTCTGTTCGGGCGGCGCGATCACAGTAATGAGGGGACTCCGATCCGATCAGACCCGACCAGATCACAGCCGATCAGAGGCAAACCGTGACACGTCCTTAGAAGTCTCACGTGACCGACGAACGGGTGCCACGCAGTCATTTTTATTCTCGTCTGCCTGTGTTTCCTGTCTCGAACCTGTATTTTTCGCGCTGGTTGATGCTGGTTGATGCTGTTAGGGAGATCTGTCGTAGTTGCGTCAGGCTCTGGTGGCGCTCTTCAGTCAGACTGAAACAGTGACCTCTTTTACTGATTGTGTTCCGTGAGTTCAACCCAGGAAATCGGCCTTCCAGAATCGCACAATCGCATCTCCACTGTATGGAGGCAGCAATCTGCCACCGCCTTCGCAGCCGCTCCATCCCTGCTGTGCATTCAGGGGACTGACCTGTGTGGCGGAGATCCATCCAAACCTTGGCGCACAGTTCTGGTTCCTTCGATTCAGTTGCCCGCACTGGCAGCAATCTTGCGTGGGAGGGTGGTGGGAGTCCACTTTTCCATCGCATTGGTCAGCAGAAATAATCATCACATCACTCCAATTGAGGAGCCGCCTGCACCAACAGAAGGCTGGCCTAGCTGTTCCTTGTCCTTCCAGGACTCCAGTTCAAGTGTTTCTGGGACATAGCCAATAACCCGGAGCGACGAGGGAAACGTGCTATGACACCGTATGTTGCCCTTTTCCTGATGTCGCATTCCTACATAAATTTTTTTCCTTTTGCGGAATCATTGTTTGTGGCTCTGCCCGTAACGAAACTTAAGAGGCAAAAGCACGAAGGGCGTCCGGAGTTCATAAAATTCTTCCAACCACATTTCCATGTTGGGCAGAACAAAAGCCAACAGTCTAGGTTCATATTCGGACTCATTTCTATGCTGTACTCGTACAGCTTTGTGATGGCTCATGAAGTGACTAGGCGTTTTTTCACACCACCCCGAGGGTTTCGTTCAACCTAGAACACAAGCCTGCAAATGCCTCTGGTCCTGTTTCGTCCCTATCAGCAGTCCTTGTTTTGGGTTCAGAAAACGGCTTTGCGAGCTGGTGATGACACAAACCCCATTTGCACTCCACCGATGCGCACTAGCAGTACGATTTAAAAGGAGCCTCCTAACCCACAGAGTTTGATGTTGGCCAAATAATGAATTCTCATCTTTTGGAAAATATATTCTCACGACTGCCTTTATTAAGCATGGCACCGTGTGCGTGACGCGTGTGAAATATCTGGACAGCAACATCGTCGTAAAAAGCCGCGGCACTGGTGATTGTAACATGTCGGACAACATCTGGTTCAAAGATCTTCCTCTCGAGCTTAACATCATCTCGAAATTTGCAAATTCTGATGGGTTTCAGTGGCTGAAGTATGGCTCTAAGCTTTTAAAAAGTGCGGGACACAGAAGGTCGGTTGCCAGCCGAGCGGCACCTTTCTACTGTTTCTCGCCTCTTTCTCTCCCCCTTTCTCGCCTCTTTTCTCGTTCCAAACAACTCTTTTAGCGTTCACTGCACTTTTGCAGCGCTTTTCGTGGTACATCAGCGGACCAAAAGTCAAAATAGAGGACAGTTGAACAAAGAGTTTAGCTGGTGCTGGTGCCCCAAGCGCACTTTTCCTAGGGCTGAGTGGTACTGCTTTCCCCATTATTTCGGGCACAATATCTCCATTCGTCTCCCTTTCACGCCCCCTCCCTGTCCGCCTATCCGAACACGCTCAATACCTCCCTCTCCTTTCTCTTTCCCTCCCCTCCTCCACCCTTCGACTTCTCCCCCTTTCACTCCCTCAAACCCTCCTCCCCCCCTCCCTCCTCCTCCCTCTCCCCCCTCGCCTCCTCCTCCCTCCCCCACTCCCTCGTCCCTCCCCCCTTCCTCCCTCTTCCCCGCTCCCCTCCTCCTCCCTCCCCCCTTCCCTCTTCCCCTCTCTCTCTCCCGTCCCTCTTCCTCTCCCCCTCCTCTTCACTCCCTCTTCCTCCTTCCCCTTTCCCGCCCCCCCTCCCTATTCCACTCCCTCCCTCCCCAACTCCCCGCCTTCCTCCTCCCTCTTTCCACCCTCCTCCCCCTCTTCCCCTCCCTCTTCCCCTCCTCCTTCCCCTCCCTCTTCCCCTCCTCCTTCCCCTCCAACTTTCCCTCCCCTCCCTCTCCCCTCCCTCTTCCCTTTTTCCTCCTTTAATATATATATTTACATACATATATAAAAATCAATGTCGACTCAAGCAGCCACATATCTAGTCTTATTATTGAAATCTCAGCAATCCAAAGTATCTCTATCATATATTCGTTGATTGTCTTCGTTTCTGTCTAGAGCGCGCATCTCAATCTTATATTTTCATGCATTTGTCTTCTCTCTCTTCCCACTCTCCCATTCTCCCACTCTCCGACTCTACCTTCTTCCCTCTCTCGCGCAAAGGGTCCTTCTTCCTCCCTCCCTCCCTCCCTCCCTCCCTCCCTCCCTCCCTCCCTCCCTCCCTCCCTCCCTCCCTCCCTCCCTCCCTCCCTCCCTCCCTCCCTCCCTCCTTCGCTCCCTCCCTTCCTTTCCCTGCTTCCCTCCCTCCCTTCATTTCCCTGCTTCCCTTCCTTCCTTCTTTTCCCTGCTTCCCTCCCTACATCCCTACTTCCCTCCTTCCCTCCCTGCTTACCTCTCTTCCTTCCTGCTTACTTCCCTACCTCCCTGCTTTTCCTAGGTGCTTCCTTCCTTGCGTCCCTCCTCCTTCCCTCCCTGCCTCCTACCTGACCCCGTGCTCCTCTCCCTCCCTCCCTGCCAATCTCCCTGCCTCTCACTTATTTACTTACCTACCTATCTACCTACCTCCCTCCCCCCCCTCCCTCTCTTCCTCGCACCCTCCATCCCCCTCTCCTCGCCCCCCCCCCCCCTTCATTCCCTCAATCCCCCAATCCCTCAATCCCTCCCTCAAACCCTCAATTCCTTCCTCAATCCTCCCTCCCTCCTTGAATCCCTCCCTCCCTACCTCAATCCCTCCCTCCCTCCCTCCCCATCACCTCCTCCCCCCATCCATCCCTGCATCCCTCCCTCCGTCTCTCTCCTCCCCTCTCAATCTCTTCAACCTTTCTATCTCTCGGTTATCAGTCACACCCCTCTGCTTCAACCTTTCTTGTCTCTTCCCAACACTTGTTTCTTTTCTACAAATATGACGAAGGAGGCCGAAAGCAAGTATACCAGGCTGAAATATCCTCCCCATCCCCCGTGTTCCCTCGTGCCCCTACCTCCATCCACAACGCAAATATTTCTTCCCCCTAACCCTCCCCTTCCAGCCCCCCACTCTCCTCCTTCCTGCAGAACATATCGCTGAAATCCAGCATTCCTGCTACAACCGCTCCTAGTTGCCTCCGACCCAATCTACAAGTACTTCAGGCTCAGAAATGCTTCTCAGCCTCGTTCCCTTTACCCAGCCCCCCCTCCACCCCCCCCCCCCCCCCCCCCCCCCCCCCCCCTCCTCCCTACGCCCTCCACCCCAGAGCATACTATCGCTGCATATCCAGCATTACCTCGCATCCCTACCCGGTTTGCAAGTAATTCAGGCTCAGTAATGCTTCCCACCAATCTGTGCTTCTTCCCTCCTTGCCCTTTCCATCTGTGCCTGAATTCCCTCCCGTTCCGTTTACCTCCATCTCTCCCTCTCTCCTCCGCCCCAGGGCATACCACTGCATATCCAGCCTTCCCTGCTACAGCCTCTCCTAGTCACCTCCCTGCCCCGTGTGCAAGTATTTCACGCTCAGAAATGCTTTCCACCCCCGTTCCCTTTACCCCCACCGCCCTCTGCCCCCTCTCCTCCGCCCCAGGGCATACTACCGCTGCATATCCAGCCTTCCCTGCTACAGCCACGCCGACTTGCCTCCCTGCCCAGCGCGCAAGCACATTGACTTTGACGCTCACCAGCAGTTCTCCTCGATTGCTCACAGCACCAAGGTCACATACGAGGCTACGCACAACCACCCCCCTCCCGCCATCCACCGCCGCAGACGGCGCGTCCAGCTGCAGGGGTCGCTGCAGGAGACACTGCAGGGATCACAGCAGGAGACACAACGGGAAACGCTGCAAGGGACGCTGCAGGAGGCGCTGCAGGAAACGCTGCATGGATCACAGCAGGTGTCGAAACAGGAGTCGCAGCAGGAGATGCTACAAGAGACGAAACAGCGGGCAGCGTGTGCCAGATCGCAGCATGGATCGTGCGACGGGGCACAGAAGGGGACGCTGCACGGGAGGCAGAAAGGGACGGAGCAGCAAGGGGAGCAGCAGGGGACGCAGCAGGGGGCACACCAGGGGGCGTGTGCTGCTGCGTATTCCCAAGGAGCACTACCAGTATCTCGTCAGGCTTCTTCGTCTGAACCTCCACAACACAAGCTTCTGCTGCACGCATCGTGTGGTGGGGCTGCAGGGATCGTGAGAGATGCGGTTCAGGCATCGCGTTGTGGGCCTGCAGAAGTTGTGAGAGATGAAGTGCAGGCATCACGTTTTGGGCCAGCAGAAATTGTGAGAGATGAAGTGCAGGCATCGGACGAGGCTGCTGCGGCAGCAGCTGTGACGTTGACGTCTTCTGGGAGTGAGAATGGTGCTGTGCCTCGATTGCCTCGGTGTGGCACGGCTTTGAGCTCCTGGTCTGGGTGGCAGCAGGGAGATCTCGCCTTGGGGCTTTCTTTCACGCCTGCAAAGGAAATCGTGGCTTGTGCTTGGACAGAACACACAGCACCATCAACTGGCGCAGCTGTTGCAGCAGCTACAGCAGCAGCTAGGACAGCAGCTGATGCCACAGAACATGCAGTGGCTGGGACAGCAGTTACCTCTGCAGCTAAGGCAGCCGCTGATGCAGTTGCTGGGGCAGCTGCTAAGTCTGCAGCTAATACAGCAAAGTTTGTGGCCAACGCAGCAGCGACAGCTACAGGTGTGGATGGCAATCCAGCAGAACATTCACTAAAGAGTCTACTACTTGAAACCCCGGGTGTCGCAGTTTGTTCAGCCAAGCACAGTCCAAGTCTTCCAAGAAGTTTGAAAGTTGAGAGGCCTTTTCAGCTGAGCTTGGGGAAAGGCAGGGAGACTCAGGAGGAGGCGAGCACTGGTGGGAATGGTTGGGACGGGGTGGGAGTTAGAGAGGCTGTTGAAAACCCCTTTAAATCTGCAGTTGATCCAGCTGGTTACAGAGTTGATCTTGAAGCAGATGCTGAGGAGTCTTTCCATGTAGTTCTGGTAGGAGGCAAGGAACGTAGGAAAAACGTGAGGAGCGGTGGGAATGTGTGGGAGTGTTTGGGGGCTGTCTCTGGTAGTGCAGCTGAGAATTCATTCACGAGGCCGTCTGAAACAATCTCGAATGCTTCAGTTGATGCAGCTGGTCACAGGAAGAGTTTTTTTGCAACCCGGACTCATGTTGACCATTCCTGCCAGCTGGCTTGGGAGAAAGGCAGGGAGAAACGTGAGGGCTTACGGAATGGCAACGGTGGCAACGGTGGCAGCAGTGGCAGGGAGGTCAAGGTTGAGAGCTTGGTTTGTGAAAATGAACGAGAGGAGGCGAGGGTAGTGCAGGCAGGTAGGATTGCTTCGGCGAGTGGGGCTGCTCCAGTGGATCTTGAAGCGGAAATTAAAGAATGTAAACCTAGAGATAGGGCGCATGTGTGGGAGGCCCAGAAAGGCTGTGAGGGGCATCGGGAGCTGAGCATGGCCAGCAAAAAGAGAAAGCAGGAGAGTGGGGATGATGTGTTGCGGGGAAGTGAGGATAATGCATGGCCAGAGGGGAGGATGGTTGTCTGCCGGAAGGACGGTTTTGAGGAACTAAGGGGTGTATGCACTCTTGGAGGGTTGCTTGATAGAAGGAGAGAGGATGTCGGTCCAGTCCTTTCTCTAGGTTTATCAAACAACGGGCTTTCATCAAGACACGGTCCAGTTAGTGCTCAAGATAGCAAGAATCTGGAGAAGCGTTCAGGATTAGAAGGCCGTGTGGACGCTGGTGCTGGTGCTGGGAAGCAAACAATCGGTTGGAAGGATGTGTGTGTAGATATGATTAGAGGAACTGTGCAGCAACGCACTGACAAGCGAATGGGTGAAGCAAAAAAGGGTGTTACGAGCCGCCGTGCAGCTGGGAGTGACAGTGGAGCCGCTACGCCAGGAGTGAGAACGAGAGGTTTTATCATGGGAGGAGAGGGAAGAGGAGGCGGGGATATAGGGGGGGTTATTGGTGCTGGTGCGAGCAGCTGCCTGGCTGGTGGAGGAAATTATTTAGCAGAAAAGGATGGTGCGGTCATACACTTCACGGACGGGAGGAGAGCTGCAGAAGCTGGTGCTGGCGCATCACAGTGGGAAGAGGCTTCCCAGTCAACGCTCGGGCCAGTGGCAGCACTGCAGGGGCAAGGGCTTACTCCTTTGAAGCCGCCAATAGTTACCATGCAGGAATGCAGGGATGCGTGGATAAGAAAAGCAGAAGGCGCTGCTGAAGTGCTGCAGCAGGAGCCTCTGGGAGGAGAACAGGCAGCAGATGTTGAAGGTGAAGCGTTGCAGCGGTCGTCTCCGTTTAACGGCTGGCACGCTTTTGAGGCTTGGAGAGCTCGATACTTCCGTAGCCAAACAATGCCGTCTCCTCTCAACCCCCTTGCAGTGCAGCAGCCACCATCCTCTTTAAAATCGTCACGTTCTTTAGTAAATTGCGCAGCAGCATTGGGTCCAGCGACGCCCTTTCTGCATCCAGACGCTCCGCTGTTTCTTCGCATACAGAGTTCGCCTCTTGTGTTGTCGGCCACACCAGGGGAGGCGCCAGAGAGGGTGGAAGAGTTGCCGAATGGGGCTCCGTGCATTCTGGGAAAACGTGGAGACCATGTGAAGGCAGAGGACGGACTGCAGAAGGATTGGTGGTTGGGAGAGGCGGGGATCAAGGGTGAGCATCTGGATCCATTTCATCGTGCAATTAAAAGGCAGGTCAGTGAGGGCCCAGTGGATGCCACAGGCATGCCTTCCCCAATAACACCTTCAGGTGTGCTCAAAGATGGACGCCTTGAGTCGAGGAAGTTTGACAAGGCGGATATTGAGTGGATTTCAGCGCAAGAGGATCTTGCCGCACCTTGTCCTGCGGAGGTTGCCACCAATTTGCCACCTGTCTCGTTCAATAGCTTCATGCCTGTGCATGACGCACGATAGGTTATAGCGTAAGTGCAGGGGTTATTATGGTAACTTGCACATTGTGTTGTAGCAACAGAGTGATGGTTATGTGTGCTCACTGTGTTGAGCTCTGTTGTTTTACCTGGCAATGTACTAGTAGTAGGTGCATGGAGAGCCTGTCAAAGGGAACCTGATGGAAGCTGTGAGCCAGAAGAAAGACGGAGAATGCTTCAATCAGCCATTACATTATCTGATGCCAAATTGGACCTGCAATTATGAAGTTATGTGCCTGCCAGGCCCTTGAGCAGTCTCAGATTTGTGATTGTCAAACCTGAGATTGATAATCAGAGAGGCTTTCTCCATATACCGCATACTTTATGTCAGAAGATTGTGACTCACGTTCTCCATTTGAAATGCTGAAATTAACTCCTAAACATTTTGGACATACGTCTGTTTTGATTATGAAGCCTGGGAGGGAACCGATCAAAAATGTGTCTCTTGTTTAGATCTGGTGATGATGCGTGACTGGGGGAGAAATCCATGACAGCAATAGTTGCTGATGAACATGGACTTCAGGCTGCATGTGATCTCAAAGTCACTTTTAGGTGAGGTTCAGGTAACCTGGTAGCCTCTTAGGGGATCCCAAATATGGTCAGCCTTGGGGTCGTCCATTGGAGATGAACATAAAACAAGGTATCTGCTTCAGCACTTCTGGACTTCATAAGGAGATTCTCATGTCAGGGGGACATATATCCTGCGAAACCATGGCGAATGAGTACTGGGACGCAACAGCTTAGGAACCCGATTTTCTTAAATGTAGTACGCAGTTACCTTTGCCGTTAGAAGTTGCCAGTAAAAGGAGTGACGTGGATTATTTGTAAACAAATAAACAAAGCTCTGTGAGGTTGTGATGGTAGCACTGATAGAAGGCAAAGGAGACTGAAAAGTTGGTGATGCTGCTAAGCGCAATCTATCACCAACCACCAGTCAACCCACAAACGCACGAGCTATATTACTTGGGTGGTGCTCGTAATGACCGCATCATGACTCATGACTCAATGAGTCATTGAAAGGAATAACACTCCGAAACTACTAGTGATAAGAAAACGGGGACTATTACTACTACTAGTGAACGAAACACATGAAACACATACCAAAGCAAGACGACCCAACAATTGATATGCCTTATGGTTTGCTCATGGCGTCTTATGGGGAATCTGAGATTGCACAAGGCTGGGATGGGAACGGAACGGAACTGCAGGGCCTGCGAAACGGAAGTGACATTTTTTGCCTGGTCAGGGACGGAGCTTGGCTGATGTGAAGGCAAGAAATCCTGCTGAATCAAACCCTAGATGGGCGGAGGCAGCCAGCCACATGGTCCTTCCTTCCTGACATGCAGAATCAAACCCCACCCCGTCCTTGCTGCCTCAGGGCAATGTTCGGCTGCCACAGGGGATGGAGGGAGGGGATGGGATGGAGCATCAGAACGCCGAGCCTCCTGGTTCGATCTGTTCGAACCAGGCAGAACACTTCGGTCAGACATGAAAATTGTGAAAAAAGTGTCGGACGTGAGCCTAAAACGCGACGCGAACCCGCGCTAGGCTTGAACCCGCGTCGCGTCCTCCCCCCAATTCCCCCCCATGGCAGAAAAACTCCGCCCTAGTGTTCAGGGCATGGAAAGTGCATTCCCGTGGGTGGTCTCAGCCCACGGGGAATGAAAAATCCATGCCCCCTTCCACAATTTTCGTGTATACGTTTACTCCACACTCTAAAAAACAAAACACCCGGACATTAAAATTATAATGCTAAACACAAAGATTTGAAATGAACTCGCCAAAATTTACTAAGGTCGAATCGTCCTTTGCACCCTTTAATTCATTAATGGTGTACAGAATTCAAGTAGAGCAAGCTACCCAAACAAATCGCAACAGTAAATTCGGGAAAACTGTTCAGCTCGCGAAGTTTCGTTTCGTGCGGCTGCAGTTTCGTGGGCCCCCATTTCCCGAGTCGCTCCTCCGCGCCTTTTCCCCCAAACTTTCCGCTTCCGCCTGGACTCCAGACTTGGAGTCAACGACGGTTGACTCCGAGCTGACCACCCCGAACTAGAAACCCTAGCTGCAAATCTGATCCCTCCCCCCATCCCTCGGTCGATCCCCTGTGGCAGCCGAACATCGCCCAGCAGAAGCGAAGGAGCCTGCCATACGTAAACCGCGATCCCGAGTTCTGATTCTCCCCGCCCTTTTCCGCACCTCCGCTCCCCTTGCTCTCTTCACCATGCTCTGGCCTCGACTTGATTTGTTTGGTCGAACCGATAAAGTAGGTTCGTGCTGCGCTGGCCGTCGCTCGGCTGACGAGACGAAACGATGACTCCAGGGATTCCGCTTCACATCACGTCACGAACCACCTCTCACATGACTGTTGGGTCAAGGCAGAGTACACCGCAGCACAATCATTTTTCATTGACTCGACAATTATAACTCAGCATGTTACTCGATAATATAACTCAGCAGGTTATCCGATGATTAAAACTCAGCATTCTAAAAACTGCTATCATAAACTTCCCTTACACAACAATGTTATCCAGACAACTTACATCAACCACCGGGTGACTGATCCTAATACGTGTGAATCTAACATACAACAGCCTGTACATGTTCTACCAGCACTATGAAAGCTTCGCTGAGGGCGTTGACATTCTTGCATCAACTGCCAATTGAAAATCGAATTAGTGTGAGAGAGGGATAGTAAGTGAGCATGCCATGAGTGACCAGAAAAACATGTACGGTAAAAAGAAGAAAAGAATTAAGCCTTGCCCATATACCAAACACCAAGAAAATCCACCAACATTCCTTGAGACAGCCCAAAGAAAAGGGAAGAGGGGAGAGGGAGGAAGAGGGGGGAGGGAGGATCACCAGCAGAATTGGAGCAGGCAGAATAACTTACACGCACTGGCACAGCCACTCCACATGACCGATTCCTCACCCTGCAATTTCAACGCCACAAATCCCTTACGCCAACCCTCGCGTCCCACAGATAGCTTACCCTGCCACTCCCACACAACCTTCGTTGCATCCGCCACGATTCGTGGATAGACCAGGATTCTGTAATCGCCTTCAACCCACTGCCGAACCTCCCTCCACAGCCTCTCCACCGCATGCTGGCGCCTCTTTTCACTCCGCTGTTTAATCGCAACTTGCACTGTAGCAATTACAGTACCAAGTACTGTAGATGGTGAATCAGAGGATGTGTGGACTCCAACTTGAGGTGGAAACAGGTGCACTCGAAGCGCCTCTTCCATAACCCAGGACTGGCCGGCGTATCCCGTCTGCATCCGGCAGGACTCGGCATCTTGTGCAGCTTGCTGTAGCAGCACACAGACATGAGTGTATGTTGTTCTGACCACCTCTTCCCACTCTCTCCGCCTCTTTATCATCAAGCCAGCAACAGCAAACAGAATCCCACAGGGCAGGGCCAGAAGAAGGTCTAACCAATGAGAAGCCACCACATACCATGCCCAGCAGCTGTTGCACACCAGCTCTTGTGCCAGGTCATCCGGGCAGGTAAAAGTTTTCTCCCTCCTGCCCGGACGGAGCAGAGTCTCACCCGACTGAACTCTGGCAAACGCCCTATCAGCAACCAGTGCAACGAGAAAATCCGTCTCATGCTTGCTCGAACCTGACTCTGCCTCCCGTGATCCCCCCTCCTGCTGCTGCTGTTGCTGCTGTTCCAGCTGCTCCTGTTGCCAACCATCCAGTATCAAACTTGCTGGTGACAATGCTGCTTCTGCCAGCGGAGGCACAGGAACGGCGGATGATGCACTGCCTTGGGCGGAAGACTGAAGAGGAAAGGCAGAGGCAGGGGCCATGGGAAGATCAAGAGCCTCTCTCACCTCCCACTCACTCACATACCCACTCCCACTCCTTCCTGCAAAGGCGTCTCCTTCCGTATTCACCCACCGGCACGCCTTCCCATCACCCCCAGCACTGCAACTCCCACCACCCGCATCTCTGTAAACAGTTCCTATACTGTGCAGAATCATCTGGATTACAGATTGTGTAGCCTTCCTGATCCCATCTGCCAGGCTGGCAGGTGCATCCGCACACATCTGCCACGCACGTTTCTGACACGCCCAGCCAACCACGTCCCTCTCCAGAGCTGCCACTTGTCGGTCCACAATTGGGTCAGGAACGCACGCAGGGGAGGACGAGACAAGGGCATACCACCAGGTGATCTTCCCGCCACTGTTACTGTCCTCTAGCCCCCTGGTGGTACTGCTACTGCCACTGCCACTGCCACTGCCAATGCTGCTGCCACTGCTGCTCCCACTGCCACTGCCACTGCCACTGCCACTGCCACTGCCACTGCTGCTGCTACTACTGCTGGTTTGTCTGTAACTGGCGCCCAATCGGCTGCGGTCTGAAGCACGGCTGTAGCGGGGACGGTTGTAGCCTGAAGCAGGGCTGTAGCTGGGAAGGCACTTAGCTACTCCAATGGAGCATTCAGCGTGGTCTGGGCACGGCCGGCAGCGAACAGCAGAGGCCGCAGGGGGAGGAGAGGACTGAGAGAGAGAGTACAGAGGGGAGTGACGAGAAGGAGACATGGCGGGTGCATGTGCGACCGTGGAGAGAAAAAGAGGCTCGTGCTGCTGTGGCAATACCGACGATGACAGCGAATCAGGCTCCCCAGAGGTGGATTTTGAATGGCTGTTGCCATGGGTGTCACAGAAGGGAAGCAAGCGGTGCTCCAGGGACTGAATGAGCGTCCACGCAGAGGAGTACACGCCTGCTGCCACGCCCACCATGGCCACCAGCTGCACTGCCTGCAGCAGCACCATGTGCACCGACCAGGACCATGCAGCACGCCCCTGCTTCCTGTTCCTCGCAGGCCTGCTCTCTTTCTTCTGCCTGCTTGAGGCCGACAGGCGAGGCGATGACACTGGAGGGACGGCACGGTGAGACGTGGGGAAGAGCAGCTGGCGTGGTAGGATGGGTGAGGGGCGAGGAGCAGAGGGAGGCACGCCTGGCAGGCTCGCAGCAGCAGCATTTCCAGTGGTGGGAGCTGGTGCAAAAGATCCTCCTGCTGCTGCTGCTGACAATGATGCTGATGGCGATGCTGAAGATGGTGCTACTGACGATGATGATGCTCCTGCTCCTGCTGCTGCTGATGTTGATGTTGATGCTGATGTTCTAGTTGTGCGAGTGGAAGGGGTTCCTCCAGTCGACGACGCACGGCGGATTGCCAAGCCTTTCAATCGCCGGAACACGGCAAGGAGGAACGACAGTAAGAAGGAAAGGAATGAGGAAAGCAGGAGCCAGGGGAAAAACACACTCGCGGAGACCCCGCCTACCACTCTACCCCCTTGCGTCCTACCCCAGAACCACCCCCAGGTACCATCGCGCGTCTCCAGATTCCCATCTCCACCATCTCCACCTGCAGCACCCACACCTGCACTTGCCTCTCCACCATCGTCATTTCCTCCATTACTCCCTGCCCATGCTGATCCACGCACATGACGCCTGTGCTGCTCTGTGTCGGGATTGAGACCTCTGGTGAGTCCATGAGGAGGGATATGGGGGAAATCGAGAGCAGAGAAGAAGGAGATGGTATCTGACTCCTCCTCTTTCTGTTGGTGCTGCTGCTGCTGCTGCACACGCCATTGGTGCTGACGGTTTCCCTGCTGCGGTTGCTGCTCTTGCTGCTGTTCCCCGGACTGGAACATGTGCTCCTTTTTACCATACACATCAGGGCCTGCTTCGTCCTCCCTCTCCGGCCGTCCCTGCATCAAAGAGCTGCCCCACCACCACCACCACCACCACCACCATCTTTTGCTCCTGTTCTCCTCCTGGACCCTCTTCGCTCCCCATCCCTCAGGTGTTTCCTCAGGTGTTTCCCAGGATTCAGCAGCTGTTTTGCCAGGCGTTGGCACCACCGTAGCTCCTCGTTTAGCTCCTACCGTTGCTCCTGCTGCTGCTTCAACAGCTCTCTTATGCCCTGCGGTAGCACATGCGCTCCCGGCTGTCGAAGGGGTCGACTTCCCCCCCTCCTGCAGCTTCCCACGCCGCTGCTGCTGATCCACCGCGGACAGAGGCTCGCCAGAACGAGCAGAAGTTAACGCATCATCATATACCGATCCCGTGGGAGGCGTGAAGGGCGTGTTCAGTGGCGCGCGCGTGTCAGGCGAGCCCATGGGAGGCGAGAAGAGCGTATTCAGTGAACCAAGCTGCGGAGACGCGAAGGAGAGAGGAGCACCGGGGGAAGCGAGCAGCGGAAGAGCCATCCGGAGGTAGTAGGCGCGTTTGTGCTCTCGAGGGGAGAGATCCACGCCTTGATCGAGAAGCCACTGTTTCAGCTGAGCCGTGCTCATGGATCTCAGCTCCTGCTCCCGCGCGTATCTCCGCTGCTGCTCCTGCTGCTGTCGTTGCTGCTGGTACTGGTGCTGCTCTTGCTGTTGCTCGATTTGTTGCCTCTGCTGCCGCTGCTGCTCCTCCTGAAACCATCTCTCTGATTCGCCGACGGCAACAGATGAACCCCGAGCCGTCGGATCTTGTCTCGGAGGCCCATTGCCAGCCGTCCGATCGTAACCCGCATCTCGTTCGCCCCGATTCGTCCTTAGCCAATCTAGAGCGATCTGAAGGTAATATCGACGGTGGTGATCGCGAGGAGAGAGAGACACGCCGCGTGAAAGGAGGAAATCCTTTAGCTCGCTGATCCGCATAGCTCGTATCTCCTGCTCTGAAACTGGCGAATTGTTCCCGTTCTCAGCCTGAGGGCGTCGGTAAGCGTCAAATCCAGCGTCAGGGTGTCGAAAAGGGTCCATTCTATTCGAGATTCCGGTCATGCCAGAACAGTGTAACGAAGAGCGACGAACCTATACGTGTAGCTACTACCCCTCGTGCCAGACGTATACAGAGGAGCCTACCTACCGCGTGACGTAACACCTTGTGTCAGAACTACGTACGAGGAAATTCATTACGAACGACCGAACTATTTTGCTTAGATAAAACTCTGTTTTAGTATATATATTCCAGTCCGTCCGTACAAACCAACCACTCTAACCCTACTCAAGACACTAACATTATGTGCGGAACACCCTACGCTAACTCTACCGACCAGGTCCCTGGTATCAATCACTAGGCTCAAGAACATAGAGACAGGAAGCACTTGTGACTGATTCAGAGTAGATGTTTTTGAATGTGCACCCAGAACGAAATCCACAATTGGCGATTGTTTCTGATCAACATGGAAGAGGCGTAATGGAGACGAGGGAAAAAAAGACGAAATGGTGCAAGAGAATTGCCCCAGCTGAGGATTGAACTCAGGACCTTTCGCTTACGAAGCGAACGCACTACCACTGTGCTACTGAGGCGCGATACTTGAAGTACCAAAACAATCTGAAAATATTTTTTAAGCATGAGACCTTCCCATGTTGTGGAGCTGTTATGGGTGCAATGGAACGAGATAGCGAGGATATGCGAAAACATGCAATGGTCGTGAAACATTTGGGATTTTTTTCCGAACGAACGTACGGTTCGGAAAATTACCGCTCTGAAACGTATTGAGACCTACTTGAAGAACGTGTTTGACAAATTGACCCAATTTCCACCGTTCAGGCTGTACGGTTCGTTTGTAAACTTTCCCAAATGTTCTACGCCCTTACGCAGTACGTGCGAACGAACTAATACTAGCTTTGCATCGAGGTTCGGGCTAGCCCCGAAGCGTAGGCCGACTCGGCCGGGCCAGCGGTGCATGGTTTGGTGAAACAGTGCGCGCGAAGTTGGCGAAGGCCCGCTAGGATGGGTGAGGGGCGAGGAGCAGAGGGAGGCACGCCTGGCAGGCTCGCAGCAGCAGCATTTCCAGTGGTGGGAGCTGGTGCAAAAGATCCTCCTGCTGCTGCTGCTGACAATGATGCTGATGGCGATGCTGAAGATGGTGCTACTGACGATGATGATGCTCCTGCTCCTGCTGCTGCTGATGTTGATGTTGATGCTGATGTTCTAGTTGTGCGAGTGGAAGGGGTTCCTCCAGTCGACGACGCACGGCGGATTGCCAAGCCTTTCAATCGCCGGAACACGGCAAGGAGGAACGACAGTAAGAAGGAAAGGAATGAGGAAAGCAGGAGCCAGGGGAAAAACACACTCGCGGAGACCCCGCCTACATCGCGGAAAAGTCAGGTGCTCAATTTTCATGTGAGTGGGTTTTTCTACGGAAAACCATACAAAAAGTGCCAGCGAGTACCCAAAACGTCCCAAAACACATGTGACACAAATGTCACGGCAGGGCTCAAACCCTTAGCCTCAAAACGGCCCCGCGAAAATCGAGGCGCGCATTTCCCCTCGTGGGACGCACCTTGCCTCGAATCGCACATTTGGCGCGAGCACGTCATCGAGCTCTACGAAAGCAACGCCGTCATTTCCGCTCTACACCAGATGCCCTCCTTAAAACATTTACTGTTTGCAGCAAGGTGCCAACATCTACACCAGTGGGATACTATTGATCATGGTAAAAGTGATGCAACATCCACCCAACCAAGTGACGCATCTGGTTAAAAAAAAAAAACCATTAAAGGGGCCACCTCATGTGTCTACTGAGTTATCGTCAATTGCGTCCAGATCAGCGCACATTGCCACAGTGGACCCACACGTCACGGCAATAAAAACCCACCACCCTCACTCCGTCAGCAGGAACTTGTTCAGGAGCATGACCCGCTTGTTCACATAGGACTTGCACACGTGCACCACCCTCTGGATGCACTCCACTTCCACCACCGCATATCTTGTTCTCACACGGCCGGGAGACAGCTGCAAGCATGTCGTCATCGGGCACGTGCCCTCCGCCTCGTAGTACTTCACGTACACGTGCCGCCCCATTGCTCCGTCCGCCCCCTCCGCGCGGAAGATGCAGAGGCACCTTGCGTACCACTCCTCTTCGTCAGACCGGAACACTGCGATGTCAGAAAACCACCGCTCAGAAGGGCTGGCCTTCACAAATGTGCCCTTGGGCACAAGCTCTCCCCCCCGCGTTCGGGGGATCGCCACGGCTGTATGCAGCGTACGCCGGGCAACAGAGACGGAGAACAGTGGATGCGGTGTGATGTCTTCACAAGGCTCTGTCCCTTCCATCATTTAGGCTATCCACCCCACGATGCATCAACCATCACCCAGCCATCTCATGTCCACCGTCATACCCCACCTCAATGGTAGTGGTGGGGATGCCTGCCGCCACCATGCACCCGGCGAGTGCGTCCATGTCCGACCCATGAGCTTCGCGATACGCCCACATCACCGCATCCAGGTCTTCGTCCACGTGCGCCCTCCGTGACGTCTTCGTCAGGACTGGCTTCAGTCTTCGCACGGCCTGTGTGCACACAACAACATGCACGCCTCATGTGAGAACCCGGGGTCCGATGACACCCTCGCTTCTACAGCACCTTGTCAGCCTGGTACACACCCCTCCCCCTCACCTCGCGCAGCGCCGTTACATACTGCCTGTTTCCGCCCGCTTCCGCCGCCACCTCCCGTGCAATCTCTCGCTGCACCTCCTCCTCGACAATACGGCGCGGGATGTCATGCCAGTTGCTGCCACGGACTGGCACCTTCACGGTGCCCTTGTGCGTGTGCTCCCAAAGGTTGGTGGATGTCTCGTGCGGCATACCACGCAGTGGTATGCCGTCAATCAGGTGCACGATCTGGTGCACCTTAGGGATGTTCCAGTCCGACGTCTGGTCCGGGAACGCGGCCTTGATGGCATCCACCACCCTGCATGTGCGCGTGGGAGGCATTCTCAGGCGGGACATCACATTTATGTGCACATCACTAATATGAATAACGGGGAGGGTACGTACTGCACAGCCATTTCTCGGACGTCGTCCAACGACTTCTCGGTATGCTTTGTCATGCCCACCAGCGCCTTGTAGAAGCTGGCGTACGCCACAAACGCCGCCACCTCCCGTTCCCGTTTCGCCTTGGCCGGCGGCTTGCTCTTCTCCATGTTGTCTGCGATAAGCAGAGGCATCACCTGCATCATCCCCCTGTGCTCGAAGGCGGCGTAGTTCGCCCCTGTGCTGAACCATGTGGTCCCCCCCGGGATGCGCACCACACTTGCGCGCGTGTCCTTCTTTTGTTCCTTGCGGCGCCTGCCATGGTTGGGAAAGAGGGTCAGCAAAGCCACCGCCACAACAACGGAGGCTGCGCCATTACCATCTACACACACCTCTCGAACTCACGCCTCTCCGACTTGCTCTTCCCAACCATGAAGCACTTGCCCATGCGTGGCAGCATACCCCCGTCCAGGACGTGGAGAAGGTCCGCCGCGCATGCGAGGAACACGTTTCCCCACGTGGTCTCGGCAAAGTTCCACCTCTCCAAATAGCACTGCCACACGCAACAACGGCACGCATATGAACGGACCCTGCGTCACCCCGCCAGGTGCACAATTCCAGAGTGTGATCCGAGCAAACCGGCACTGCACCTCCTCACCTGCACAGGGTGTGTGGACCATCGCTTTTTGATTTTCTCCGCCGCCTTGCTGTCATCAGCTGACTGAATTGCCTCCACCACCCGTCTCTGCAGCTCCACCGTCCGCACCACCGACTTATGTAACAGGTCTGCCAGATGTGTCTCTTTTATGTAGCACGAAGAACACGGCCGATGTGAGCCTTGCTGCATAGTCGCAGTAGACCGCGACGACTCTGGGAAGTCCCCCAGCTGCCCGAAGAGGCAGGGAAAGGCCTTCACCACCTTGCCTGTCGCGTCCGTCACATAAAACCACCGCAACTCGGCTCTGCACATGTTGGCCCGGTATGTTGTAGGCATCTAAGTCATAGCATGGCGCGTAAGCTCCACTCCCACACCCACTCACCCTCTGTGTGCCCGGAGTAGGGGCTCGAAGATCACCTCCATGCACTGCTGGAAAATGTGTGTCTTCTCGGTCGACGACGCCCACTCTGGCGGGAACGGCAGCACCCCAGCCATTAGGTGCCCCGGCTCCTGCCAGCGGAGTGCTTCCGGTATGTTGAACAAACTGATTAGGACCGGCCATGCCGCCAGTCTGCCATTCCTCGAGGCGTGCGTGCTGTCGCTGTACACAATCACACCCAGCACAATGCAGTCCTCCTCTCCAATCACCGCCTGCGCACATGGTGCACCCAACCGTCAGTGATGTAGTGCTTCATCGTTTCAGCGCATTCCACACAACTGAGCAGGAGTTCATACCTGCGCTTCTTCCAGCCACCTCCCCGTGTCGGGAGTGCTGTAATGCCGCATCGTGTCGGTGTCTTCCTTGTCTGCCCGAGGCTTGGTCACAAATCCCGCAATGTGCTGGAATGCGCGTAGCAATTTCTTCACCAGCTGCCACACGCATGCGGACGATGAGTTAATGGTATGCCCATTTCCCCCTGCCTCATGTCAAACATGAAGTGGCCCTTTTTCCATGCATGTACGCATGCACTCACCAGCTCAGTATCTCGGTAGTGCAGCAGCAGCGTACACATCCTACCTCTCGGGCCGTAGCACTTGATGTCCTTCGTCTTCCATGGGACATGATCACTTGGCGCCCTGTCGCGCCCAAAGCGTCTCACGTCCACGAAATTCAGCCACCGCCTCACGTCCCTCAAAGAGAAATTAGGGTTCTGAAATATGTTAAGAAGTCGGTTCACCTCCCTTCTAGACATATCTGCCTCGCGGAAGAAGATGTACAGTTCGACCAGAGTGTTGAAGCCATCGTCGATCACTGACATCACACTCTCTTCCTCGTCGCTATCCTCCTCTAGGCCTTCGGGAGGGTCGGGTTGATCGGTAACTGCAACAGGGTCCACTGCGGCCCTCTCAGCCGAGTCGTCTTCATAGCTGCGTCGAGAACGCACGGGTGAACGGGGCCTTGCTCCGCGCCTGGCGCGCAGCGCGTCCCGATACGCCTCCACCAGCCGCTGGGCACGAGAGTGCTATATCTTCCTCCTCCACTTGACATTCTTAGACACATGCGACTGGAGCGTGTTGTCGTCGACGTGCTCCAAGCCGCATGCCTCGCATGCGTTACCCAGCATCGCAAGAGGTGGCGCGGACCCTAATTGCAAGTTACCGATAAACTGTGCATCTCGTACACTCACGCAAATATACAAGCAACCCCCTCTGTGTTGGTACGACCTTCCGAGACGGTCACGGCGACCTTGTTAACGGTTGGGAACGGCCAATGTGTACCCGTATTTAGTAACATTGCATGATACACGTAAAGCAGTAGATAGCCTCGGTTTGTGACGGTTGAATATCATTGGTATGTCCAGTGCAAAAGGAACAGCACAACCGCTCAAACATGAACGTAACCGAACGAAACCCAAACAATTCACTGAACATTGGCGCCATCCTGGCCACTTATCTTACCCCTCTCATCCATGTGCGTATGTTTGGTGGCGCACTGGGTCCGAATGACGATACTACATGTGTCCACACCGCCAACGTATGTGGACAAGAGTGCTGCAGTATGTGATTACGTGGCGGATAATGTCCGCGTGTACAATGACGCTCTCGGTCATCCGAGCCTCCTCTTAGTGTAAGCTAGTGGAGCTTATATTTTCGGCACTAGTGCTCGTGGTGCACTCTAGCTCTCAACCATGTGCTGAATTGGCCATGCTACTCGCGGGGATAAAGGCTAATCCAGACGACGTCTACTGCTTCGTGGAGGAGCCTCTCTTGCCCACCAGGCTCCCCTTCCTTCAATCTGAAAATGGACACGATGATCCGCTGCCCGGCTGGCGCATCAATATCTGTTTCCTGTTCAATGCAACGGGAACAATCATGTGTCCGCCTCTTCTGATATTCCGCGCGGACGACGCGATTGCTCAGGGCCTTGAAACACCCCCCGGTTTCACGGTGTTCGTGCGACACAGCGTGGACGGGTTCGTCACGCCCGAGGTGGGAGATCTCATGCTCATATGGCGTCTGGTCAGTCTGCGGAATGCCTTGACCTTATCCTCGTGCAATCCCAGTTACTAACATGCCTGCTCCATCCTCGCATGTAATGCTTGTCAGATATTCAGCGAGTACCTGGAAGCGTTGAACGGGAGGTCTTACTCTACCGACGACCATGTCATCGTCCTCGTGACGCAGGACGCTCACTCGTCAACGGATCCATCTGTCATGGAAACGACGGAGCACGGTTTCCGAGTTCAGAACCTGAGCAACCTCCGAATCATTCACATGCAGGGTCCTAATGCGCCGATGTGCATCCATCCCGGCGTGTGCGGTCTCATTGAGCTGTGGAAGACACTGTACCGTGCCTCGTACCTTCGCCATTCGATGATGACACCAGAGTGGCGCGACGGGACATTGTCCCGATACGCCCCTCCCCTGTCACTCATGGTTTACTGGATGGCTTCAACGTGGAGGGTCATAACTCCGGTTTCGGTCCATCTCAGCTGGTGGCGCGCGGGTTGTGTGCCGGCACCATGGCGCTCTGCAGTGCGAGAGTTCAAAAACCCCGTTCTCTGTGTCCTGTCCGAACCTCTTGTTCAGGAGCTGGGACAGCTGCAGTACATCATAGACGAGTTCGCACGGCCCGGCCACACTCTCATGCATGCTACGGATTATGCACACTGCGAGCTAACCCTTCTCCCGCCACGCGTGCAGCGCACCATCAATGACACTCCCGCCGCCGAGGACGGGCGCGAGATAACCCTGCAGACGCAGTCAGGACCGCTGCTGAATGACAGTCGTTATCGCAGGCGGGTGGCGCGCGTCGTCACCGAATACCTTGTCCGTCGGGCCCTAGCGCTCGGCATTAATGTGCGTGACGCGCCAGAGCGGTTTGGCGCGTCGAACGCTCTGGTCGTCAGTCGTCTGCGCCGGACGCCTACCAAGCGGCGCCGTCCGTCAACTGTAACCGTAATTTGATGTACTGCGACCCTGGAATGATTGTTAAGCGGCGGGGTAATGGTGTGGGGGTCTAGATTTTGGTATGTAGGGGTGTGGCGTGCTATGGTCTGTCATATGCCGCGTCCAACTATCAAAATGGACGTGATGTCTTTATGTTGTTGCGCGACTGTGTTAAACGAGTTCGTGTGGATAGGGTTTGAATGCCACCTTGGGTAGGCGAACCGAACCACAGCCTCGCGGTGGTAGTCCATGCTTATTGTGCGTGGTGCAAGAAGTTGAAAGTTTTATTTGCAATAACACACATTTTGAGCGTTTGATGATCCTCAAACCATAGAGAGTATGGACCATCGCACACCCGCACTTGGAACCTCGCGGCCACATGCAAAATAATCCCGTCGTCCCCGCCGAGGGCATGATGCATGATACGAAATGATGACACGTGTGCCCATCATGCCTATCCAACGTTCCGCGCCAATTTCGCCACAGCTGGATCTGGCGCGCTTTCGTAATCTCGGGCTTCATTGTCAATGCTGTATGTTTCCGAACAACAACAGACTCTGCAGAGCTCCAATGTCAACTGCCTGATATAGTCGTCCGATGAGCTGCCATTACAGCAGACTAGGTTGTGTACTCTTGACTCCCTGTCTATCTCTCCCGTCTACCAAACCAGTACGCGTCTGAGTCTTCTAAGTGCACACGATGAACATACAGCGTATGCTGGTGCAGCGAGACAACGTGTCGTGCGGGGCCAGTGCCCTGACCTCGCTGTCAACGGAGCAGGATTGCCGTAAGCGCAAGGTGAAGCAGGAGTTGCCCCGCCCTCGTACCGCAAGGTGAAGCAGCTCTGTGAGGGGCGCAGGTTAGGTGCCGCCGCCGCCCAATGACGACGTCGTTGCCCGTCTTGCCCGCCCCAACTATCGGCGTGATTTCCAGGCGTTGGCCCTGTACGGTCCCCATGGAGTGGGGTGTCAGCTACCAGCACAGGACGTTCTGACTCTCGCACACGGGCAGTGTTTGGCCGACACCGTTGTGGACTTCCATAACATGTAAGCGTCTTGTTCAGGATAGCTTTATACATGCTGGATGTTCGTCTTCCGTAACTCTACTGACGAGCCATGGCGTGCATATGTGCTGTGTTCCAGACTATTGAACATAAGACATCCGAAGCTAGAGGGAGGCAAAACATGGTTCGCTCTGGACACGAAGGCGTTTACGTTCGCGAACTCCCTGGACAAGGCTTGGCCCCTTGGCCATGCACCGTGTATCTTCGCACAGGACTACCTCGCCATACCGGTGTACTACGAGTAAGACGTGTACCTCGTGATGCTCATGCTGTTGATAGTAGCCGGGTACCCGAGAAGTTGGTGCCAGATGCGCGCATGCTAAAATATACCGTGGTTACATGTGTCAGGGGCCACTACTCGCTGGTCATAGCTACGAAACTCCGCACCATGGTCAGCGGGAAGCTATCCGAGACTGCAGAGGGCAGCGTGGAGCTGGTGCATTACGATAGTGCACAGCTGCACACCAAGAGGCCAGAGGTGATGGAGGGCGTGAAGAAGTGAGTGGTGCATCTTATACTTACTCCATGCCCAATCTTGATAAATTTCACGGACGCCATGTATAACGATAAGGGTTACCTGATTCCCTTGCAGGATGTTGCTCATGCTGCACAAGGCTCAGCTGCCCACGGCCGACCGGAAGCAGGCAGAGGACCACCTGAAGTATGCCGAAGTCACCATCATGCATGTAAGTGCACTCCATGTGGGAGTCATGACGCGGACGCAGTCTGGATTGTCCGTCACCTGACGTGTGCGTTCTCATGTTGTGTGTCTGCTGGCAGCCGGAAGACATCCCACAACAGTCGAACGCGGTAGACTGTGGGATTTATGTGGGCATGTATCTTCACACACTGGTGTCATCCGGCTTCTCAACCCTCAAAGAGTGGATGTCGTTCTATGGCGTGAAATCACACGCCTACCGGCGCCAGCTCCTCGAGGAGGTTTCACTCCACGCCACAGGTGACCTTATTGTCAAGCTACTTGGGGAGGGTGTGGATGTTCCCGTGCAGCCTCTCCCACAGTTGGGTGAACATGGTGCCCTCGTCTTTCCCAAGGAGGACGAAGTCCGCACCGACCTGGCGAGGCAGTCAGGCATGATCACCCGGATGGAGGTGGGGGGTTACGTTGTGTGTGCGGCTGTCATGTGCCTGGCACGTTCGCTTGGCATCTCAGAGGATCAGCTGCTGAGTGGAGCGGCCCACGAGCTGCAGGCACACGGGACGCCTCTGCTGGCGCTGTCCACGTCCAAGAACCACGTGGATCACGCTGCATCTATGCGGACGCTCGGCATGACCATCCACCCGACGCCCTGCCCGATTCCGGTGCCATCGTTCCCTCCTGCGCATTTCGATGGGGCGTCCACCATTCAGATGGACCCGACACCAACAGATGCCAACCCCATGAGGGCGGAGCAGGATCACCCAACCGCTCCTGTGACTCCGGCAGCACCGCCGACGGTCTCGCGCGTTGCCAAGTATACCACGCGTCAGGGGAGTAGGACTGCATCACGGGCCGTGTGTCAGACCAGCATGTTTGCCGCGTACGGCAGTCGGCCTGCATCCAGTCGCTGGACAGGGGTGAGTTGGTGCACACGGGGCCGAAAGTGGGGGGTTAAGATGGTGTGCGGACCAGGCACTGGTCAGCAGATCAGGCTGGGTGCGTATAATGTGGAGCTCGATGCGGCGTATGCGTATGCCGCGACGGCATTTGTGATCAGGCGTAAAGACCACATCCCGCACACGAAGGAGCTGTCGGACGCGGAGAAGGCATCCCTGGACGGGTGTGTTCGCGACGACGTGCGTCATCTGGTCAAGGCACGGATGTGGTGGAGGTGGCGTCAGTGGAGGACAGCAATGGCAGAGCTGGGCATTGCTCCTGGTACTCCCTTCCCTCTCGAAAACCATGGCGCTCGCTCGACCGGCAACAGCAGTGGTGACGACGACGTGGAAGACAGGATGGTGGAAACTGGAAGTGGCTGATTGCTATGCTCCCCTCTCGAGGACCCATGGGCTTTGCCGTCAGGGAAACTGGAAGTGGCTGATTGCTACACGGATGGCAGTCACTAGGTCGTTGGACTTGTATAGGAAGCTTTGTACTATGGGTGTACACCATGTGATGCTAGATGGAGTTCTATCTCTTGATGTAATAGCGTGCGTACTGCATTGATGTCGCCCTGTGGATGTCGTGTAGTAGTGCATAATGAATATCCACATACGTTTGGTAACATACGCACCTGTGCGGAGGACATTTAATAGTTTTGCCAATGTGTAGCATTTGTTGTGACGATGCTACCCTGTGGAACATCATCTGACTCGACTCTATAACGAGATGTGTGGATAACCATGCGTCAAAGTTGAGCCATGTGGGCAAAACCCGCCACCTGACGAACCCAGTCCGGCCGACAATCGGTTGCCACGTGTAATGGGGGGGTACAGCACAGATGTGCCCAAGGGTTGGACGCTGAATGCGTAAGTAGTGAACACTATGTCGGGCAGACTCATTCTTGCCTACAACTTTGTTCACGATGGACAGTTTCACAGTGTCGTCATGTGAGGGCAGGAGTCAGCGCGTGTCACAACCACCTGCGTACCTGCAGAACTCTTACCTTCTGCCTGGGAATGTTAGGCGTCAGGTGACGAAGAAGCCTCGTCTGGATATTCCGAAGCATGCCCACGAGCAGCAAGCCAGGGGTCCTCCCTCGCCGCCACGTGAGTGACCTTGTTTTGCCCTGCTAATGTGTTTGGTGCTTTGTCCATTCTACCCTGGCCGCTGTGACATTCCTACATAGTACGCTCGTTTGGGCTTTGCGCTCGTCACTTATCTGCGTTTTTTATTTCATTGTGTGAAACGCAGCCGTGACACCATCTCATGGGACTCGCGGGGACTCGCGTATGTCGCATGGGAGCACTTCTGAGGGTAGTTCCTCCTCTGCCCAGTCCAGCAGGCAGATTGACGAGACTGCTGCTTCCAGCGGGAAGGCGGGCCGCAGGCGCAAACGTCAGGTTCAAGACGTCATCGAAGGCTCTGCACGAGTGGATGGGGAACATGATGCACCTCCTGCGCCATCATTGGACGACGATCCAAACGAGGATCTCCCCAGGCGTAACCCAGTGAACACTCAAGACGAGGATGGTGCGGAAGCGGACAACAATGCCGAGGCCGACGCAGAAGAGGACGACGCCGGCGCGGAACGTGCTCCGGATGACGCACCGGTCACGCGCGAGGATCTGAATAGCATGAGGAAGCTCCATGAAGCCACGGCACGTGCAATTGCAAGGCTGGAGACAGCGTTCCTTGCGAAACCCAAGGATGACGTCAACAATAAGAAGAGGAGGAGGCGAAAGCGCGGCTCCGGCAAGGGAAAGCGCCAGAAGGCGCGGCGGTCACGCTCCACGTCCGAGACGGCGTCCGATGAGGAGGGGGGCTTCGACGACGAGAACGAGGGCCACCTTCGACACTCAACATCTGCCATTATGCAGGAGGCGCTCGACCTCCTCCCGACCGACAAAGGCTGGAAGGTAAGCCTAGAGTGTTGTCGTGTCGCATTCTGGTTTGGGATATGAGGCTGTACACATGGTGGATCATGTCTGGTGATTGATGACGTAATGCGTGGTCTGTCATTGCAGGAAATATGTGAGCAGGCTCGCACCGAGCTGTTCATTCGGCGCTCCAACTCGCAGCTGACGTTCTACCCCAGCAGCGCAGCCAAGACATGGGCCATTTGCGCAGTCGTGGATAACCTGACTGAGAGCTATGCAAGCGTTGCTCTCGCGGCGTGCAAGGCACGTCGGATCGACCTGAACAGGTCGTTCAGCGACTGGAAGACTGGTGCGGCAGGGAGAGTCCGCGACATCTCGCTGCCTAGGATTGGACTGTTCCGCCACGACCGAGACATGAAGAGTCCCTGGGCGACATGGGCCAGGCGCACCCTGTCCCGAATCTGAGATAGGGTCGACCTTGGAGACGTGCCGGCGGGTAAGAACGTGCTGCCGCAACAAGGGCGGACGGGAGTGCAGTGCACAAGCCTGAGATCGCCGTTATTAAATGTGCACATTGTGTGTGCGTATTGTGGCAGGTAAGCTGGCACTGTCTCGTTGGAGTTGCGACCGTGACGGGATGCCGTTCGCGTCTGGGGCGTTTACAGCATGCGCGCGGGCGGCGTTCAAGCCAAGGATGGTGAACGGGACTGTGACACTGAAGCTATACCACGTGGCATGGCTGGAGCACGTGGTACGCCGGCACCGTGCAGCTTTACAGGGTTTAAAATATCAGGGAGAGAGTCCTCATGCGCGCCTGTATGTGGATTGCCGTGCGCAGGTGACAGATGCAGTCAAGCACTGGGAGGCTCGCCAGGGTCGCTTCTACAACTCCGCAAGCACCAACGCGCAGATCGTGGACGGCCTCCACGTCCTCGTACAGGCAGCGGTTAGGGGGGCCATCGCGGATTTCCGACCCGCCTATGACGAGGCGTCCCAGAGCTGGGCGTGGGGCCGCCATGGTCTGCGCATCTCGGCGGACGGCATCGCGGCTGCCGACGCAGTGACCGCGGAGGCAAGCGTCAGCTGCGGGTCTCGGCAGGCATAATCGGAGTAACAACGGGAGGCGATGTCTGGCATCGTGAGCTGGTGCATAGAATTGTGGTACCACCATATGTCTAATGCGTATGAAGGTGGCGTTGTATGGGAAAGGCGGTGGGCCGTGTGAGGATGCTCTGATCGAGGGATGTGGTACGGCATCAGCCGCGTGTTCAAGCGATTAATGGCAATTGCGTTCAACACTGAAGGAACAAGAAAATATGTACAATTAATCACGTGAAGTCGTGAGCAGGGGGGAAATATAACCCGTCAACCATTCAGTGGAACGTAAAATGAGGCAGACAATTACGGCTATTGGCGTAGGGTCACTAACGCAGAATGCGGTTCGGATGTGTGCCGTTCGATGCGGCTAGGATGGGACCGCGATTCGGTTTGAGACGGTCCAACCAACCTTATCGTGGGGCTGCGCGTGGAGAGCCCTATGCCCACTGGAGCCGTAGATGCAAGTGCATCGGCAGCCCGGTGTGCCGTTGGATAATGGTCCGGTGGACGGTCGAGGGCAGGACAAGTGGGCCAGCATCAGTGGCTCCACACTACGTGTACAACGGCCACGTGGGTGTATACAAACGGACGGGAATAATTACACGTTGACACTGGTGAGATCAGGCTCGCGATGCCGAATGCGAGGCATCGTCGATGCGTGTGTACGTGGACGGTCGGATACACATCGTGTTTACATGTGCAGTAATCATGAGCATGGTAACAGCCGTACACGTTGCCATAATTCAACGGCATCCGCCGTGTACACGTAGTCTGGTGGCGACGAGATGTATTGAGAGTCGACCAATGGGTAACAGGTCTTATTCACATATGGCGCGTGTGTATTGGTTACAGAGAGTGAAAACGAAGGGTGTGGATGCGATTCCGGGTTGATCGTGGTCGTCCACGTGAATGCAGTTGGTTGGATAGGACTGTGGCTCGAGGCGCCTTGCAGTGTACAGTGTTGTAACTTACGGTATGTCATGATGACGTCATGGTCGCCACGTGTATGGTTGCTATAAGATTGAGACTAAATGTGGCATTTGTTATTCGCCCGACTGAGGCCACCCCAGTGTGACTTGTGCGTGACTTCCGCGTGACTATGCCGTGACGGTGGTCGTGACGCGGCAGAAGGTTTTCCGTGACATTTCCGTGACATCCCCGTCACGTTGGAAGTGACATTGGGCTTGTCACTTCCAACCATCACATTTTTACACCCAAAAGTCGTATACGAAAATGTGACGAAAATGTCACATTTCTGTCACTTCTTGCCCTTGGCTTTTCCGCGATGTACCACTCTACCCCCTTGCGTCCTACCCCAGAACCACCCCCAGGTACCATCGCGCGTCTCCACATTCCCATCTCCACCATCTCCACCTGCAGCACCCACACCTGCACTTGCCTCTCCACCATCGCCATTTCCTCCATTACTCCCTGCCCATGCTGATCCACGCACATGACGCCTGTGCTGCTCCGTGTCGGGATTGAGACCTCTAGTGAGTCCATGAGGAGGGATATGGGGGAAATCGAGAGCAGAGAAGTAGGAGATGGTATCTGACTCCTCCTCTTTCTGTTGGTGCTGCTGCTGCTGCTGCTGCTGCTGACGCTGATGATGCTGCTGCACACGCCACTGGTGCTGACGGTTTCCCTGCTGCGGTTGCTGCTCTTGCTGCTGTTCCCCGGGCTGAAACATGTGCTCCTTTTTATCATACACACCAGCGCATGCTTCGTCCTCCCTCTCCCGCCGTCCCTGTGTTACAGAGCTGCCTCACCACCACCACCACCACCACCACCATCTTTTGCTCCTGTGCTCCTCCTGGTCCCTCTTCGCTCCCCATCCCTCAGGTGTTTCCTCAGGTGTTTCCCAGGATTCAGCAGCCGTTTCGCCAGGCATTGGCACCACCGTAGCTCCTCGTTTAGCTCCTACCGTTGCTCCTGCTGCTGCTTCAACAGCTCTCTTATGCCCTGCGGTAGCACACGCGCTCCCGGCTGTCGAAGGGGTCGACTTCCCCCCCTCCTGCAGCTTCCCACGCCGCTGCTGCTGGTCCACCGCGGACAGAGGCTCGCCAGAACGAGCAGAAGCAAAAGCATCACCATGTACAGACCCCCTGGGAGGCGCGAAGGGCGTGTTCAGTGGAGCGCGCGTGTCAGGCGAGCCCATGGGAGGCGAGAAGAGCGTATTCAGTGAACCAAGCTGCGGAGACGCGAAGGAGAGGGGGGCGCCGGGGGAAGCGAGCAGCGGAAGAGCCATCCGGAGGTAGTAGGCGCGCTTGTGCTCTCGAGGGGAGAGATCCACACCTTGATCGAGAAGCCACTGTTTCAGCTGAGCCGTGCTCATGGATCTTAGCTCCTGCTCCCGCGCGTACCGACGTTGCTGTTGCTCCTGCTCGTTCTGATGCTGTTGATGCTGCTGGGGCTGCAAATGCTGCTGGTCGTGTCGCTGTTGCCACTGCTGCTCCTCCTGAAACCATCTCCTTGATTCGCCGACAGCAACAGACGAACCCGGCGCCGTCGGATCTTGTCTAGGAGGTCCATTGACAGCCGTCCGATCGTAACCCGCGTCTTGTTTACCACGATTTGCTTTTAGCCTATCTAGAGCAATCTGAAGGTAATATCGACGGTGGTGATCGCGCGGAGAGAGAGACACACCGCGTGAAAGGAGGAAATCCTTCAGCTCGCTGATCCGCATATCTCGTATCTCCTGCTCTGAAACCGGCGGATCGCTTCCGTTCTCGGCCTGACGGCGTCGGTAAGCGTCAAATCCAGCGTCAGGGTGCCGAAAAGGGTCCATTTTTTCCGAGATTCCGGTCATGCCAGAACAACGTGTAGCGATGAACGACGAACCTAAATGTGACAATGGATCTTAGTAGCTACAACCCCTCGTGTCACACGTATGCAGAGGAACCTAACACGATAACGTTCTATTCGCGTCAGGTAACACCTTGTGTCAGAACTACGTACAAAGAAATCCCTACGAACAATGGAACTATTTTGCGTCAAACATCTCTGTCACGATACCTGAAATATATTTGTTCCAGTCCGTCCGTACAAACCAACCACACGAGACATTAACATTCGGTGCGGAACACCCTAGCTAAACTCTACCGACCAGGTTCCTGGTGTCAATGCAACGACGTTCACTAGGATAGTTCACTAGGCTGGGAAGCACTCGTGACTGGTTCCGAGTGACTGATCCAAATCCACACATGGCGAACATCGGGGTTGTCTTTTGATCAACAAGGAGGCGTAACGGAGACGAGAGGAGACAACAAAAAATAGGCGAGAAAAATGCCCCAGATGAGGATTAAATTCAGAACCTTTCGCTTACGAAGCGAACGCACTACCACTGTGCTACTGAGGCGCGTGGTCGAGCAAACAAAAAACGTTATTATTAATGTTCATGCTATCCTTGGGGAATTTGCATATGAAGCAGGCTTTGCATTGAAGGTGGAGGACAATGAACCCTCTTATGGAGGAAGTTTGAGTGCGACAGCATGCATATCCGGATGTGGGCGGACGAGTGCAGGCTGGGGGACCGTCAGGCTGTTGGGCGAAGGGGGACAGCTGGGTAAAGGGTTGCAGCACAGCAGCAGCAGCGAGGTCGGGCCGGCGAGGGTTGGTGGGCGCAAGGGACGGCATGAAGGACAGGCCAGTAAGGGAGAGGAGAGGGGCCAGTAGGAGGGCCAGCGTCTGTAGGAGGGGCTTCAGGCCCAGGCAACGCTGCCTTTGGGTTCGGGGTCGGGCTCGGGGGTAGGGAGGGGGCGAGAGCAGGTGACCTGAGATACGGCTGCGGTGGAGTAGAGGGGTTGAAAAGGCAGGGTAAGGGGTTGATGGAGGTAGAGGGGATAGGATGAAGGGGGTGGGAGGTTTGGGGGAGTGGGAAATGGGAGGAGGGAATGGGCAGGTGGGTGGGAGGCAGGGCCTCAGATATCAGGAAAAAAACCCTGAAATTCCTGATTTTGGCAGTCCTTTTTTTACCTACCCTGAAAAGTCAGTGTTGAGATTTTTGAGGGACTGATCTTTCAGCCTTTTTTGTTAGGCCACACTGAAATTTCATATTTTTTTCCCCTAGGACACTGATGCCACAACGTTGTAACGAAACCAACACTGAAGCGATTCTTATCTGTGCCATGTGGATTTGACCGCAATTACAGGGAATATCAGATTCCCGAGGTGTAAGCACCCCGTGGCGAGGCCAACCTGTGAAATTCTGCCTCTGGTTCACGTTCAGAGGTGTTTTGTTGGCGCGGCGCCTCACACCATTGGGCCGATTCGCTGCAGCAGTCAGTCTTGGCCAATCCGAATGTGGCCACCATGTGGTGCTGGAGGGCTGCCAAGGATCCTGGCCCGTTGCCATCACATGCGACGCGTTAGTGACAGCCTTTTTACTAGTGCTACACTGATGCATCAGGCTTTTTACAAACGCAACACTGACATTTCAGGCTTTTTTTTTTTGGAACACTGTCAAACAGAGTTTACACACAGGGGGACCCTGATGGGTTGACGACCCTAAAAGTGAATCTGAGGGCCTGGTGGGAGGGGGGATCAGAGGGCAGAGGCTATGAGTAAGGATGCACAGAGGGACAAGGCACAGCAACAGCCAGTACAGCAACAAAGGTCGACCCGACCGGATGAACAAGCCGCATAGGGACACGCGCCCGCATTCTAGGCATGACTTGTCGTGATGCACTGCATAATATAATGATTCTAGTGGATTTCTCCCCATTACAGATTACGACAAAAAGGAAATGCTAGGTTCAGACAAATGGCCCTTAGACAGTGGCTAGGAGAGTACAGGAAAAGCTTCGGGATTAGGGACCGTGCTTAGAGAGGTACAGCCACCTCCACATTTCTATGCGTGAATGGCGGAGACTTTTGAGCTACTCATTGAGCTATGGCAGCAGTATTTGGGACTGAGTGCACGGCAGATGGCACATTGGCGGAGGGGAGGGGGAGGTGGGACGACAAATTGGCACTCATATTTGAGCAGGACTCACCGCGCATCTCTTTATGGCACTGCAGTGCACGCAGGATGAGAGTATCACACAGCATAACTAGGAAATTTTTCCACATGTTCCACGGGAAATCCCTAGGGACCCAAAGCAAGAAAATGCTTGCTAGCATTCCAACAGCATATCTATTGACGAGGAAAGTTGCCCCAGCTGAGGATCGAACTCAGGACCTTTCGCTTACGAAGCGAACGCACTACCACTGTGCTACTGAGGCTGCTTTTGTAGGAGAACAAAGATTATCAGGCTGCTTCTTAGGTGCTTCGTCTTCACATTGCCGTGCCGCCCAACTGGCGCTCCCGTTGTTGCGTCCCCATCACTCAACCAGACCGTCAGAATCCAAGGTCATAGGGACAGTCACTAGAAGCTTTGTCATCACCTCTAGAGCCTACCGAGGAGCTGACAGATCAGTCGCTTCTGTTGTGAATCTTGGAAGCCTGCAAGCTTTGCATCCGACAGGCGTGAGTGTGTTTAGCACTGTGCGTTACGAGTTGCTGTGTCACTTAGTCAGGCTTCTACGTCCTTTTTCGTTTCTAGAACGTGACAAACGATTTTATATTTTCTCACCATACCTTCGATCTAGCTAACCAAATTCTTCCTGGAGTCCTCTCGACTTTCGTCTCCGCTCCTCCGCCCGACAACTTCCATGGCGGACGGCTCCGAGATTCCATCGTCGTGTTTATTCGTCGCTTGCATCCCGCAGTCGCAGGTCAGCTTTTGCGTAGTCATCCTTGTTATATAACATCGTAGACTTGTTTGTAACGTACCGTGTGTGGATGTTGCAGGTGGGAATATTTGAGAGATGGGGAAGATTCACCCATGTCGCAGAGCCCGGGATGCACTGCTTCAATCCCCTCGCCGGGACTTGGTTGGCGGGAAAGCTGTCGCTCCGCGTGCAGCAGTTAGACGTGCGCTGCGAAACCAAAACGAAGGTAAAATGCACAAGTGTAGTTTTCATATCCTTGTCTTGTGCCTCCACTATAACATCTTGCGATTCCTGTAGGGTTCATCCAGGCCATCACATCCTTTACTTGCAGGACGAAGTTCGTGTGACGGTTGTGTGTTTAGTTCAGTACCGGGTGATAAAGGACCATATATTGAATGGTTGTTCGGCACACATGCTTTCACATTGTTTAAATTCGTTGTCTTGCAGGACAATGTGTTTGTGACGGTGGTGTGTTCCGTCCAGTACCGGGTGATGAAGGACCATGCAGACGATGCATTCTACGAGCTCCAGAATCCGCGCGAGCAGATCCAGTCCTACGTCTTTGATGGTATGCAGCTGGGTAGCACAGAATTATGTGTGGTGAGGATTGCAAGGGCTCTGCAAGTTACGAATATCGTCTTTATTGTCTTGCGTTAAGCGTTTCCTTCTTTTGATGTGTTGTGCAAATGCTGACCCTGTTTGCGTGCGTGTGTGTGCCTGTGCATGTGATTGTGTGTGTTTATGTGCATATGTGTGCGTATGTGTGTGGTGGGGGGATTGTGTGTGCGGATCCCACTACTACAGTGGTGCGAGCAAGTGTGCCTCGCATTGAGCTGGATCAAGTGTTTGAGCAGAAGAACGAGATCGCCAAGAGTGTGGAGGAGGAACTGGAAAAGGTAAACCTTATCCAGCAGGTTTAAAGGAGGGTGGATGACTGAGTGGGGTTGGTTGTCTCATGCATGAAACCTATTGTTTTAGTGGCACAGTGTCTTGTATCTCCTAATCTGGTTACCTCCCCTTTGTCACATGTTCGTTTGCTTACAAATTCCTGTTTCTAAGACTTTCTTACTACTCTTTCGATGCTCTGCGGCTGCTCTGCTGCTCCTTACTGTTGTTACAGGTGATGACAGCGTATGGCTACACCATTCAGCAGACTCTCATTGTGGACATTGAGCCTGACGCCACCGTGCGCAAAGCCATGAACGAAATCAACGCTGGTAAAGCCATAGCTCACTGCTCACTGACTTGCTTAAGTTTCTCTGTTTCATTTTGTGTGAGTCTGGCTGCAACTCTGTTTTTACTTCCTTTCCATAGCATGTTTTTTTTTGTGACAAATTTTGTTTCCCTCTTTACTGTGTTTCCCTTTCTCGGCCCAATGTGAGCAGCTCAGCGCATGCGCATGGCAGCGCAGGAGAAGGCAGAGGCTGAGAAGATTCTTCAAGTGAAGCGTGCCGAGGCTGATGCCGAGGCAAAGTACCTCTCTGGTGTTGGTGTGGCTCGGCAGAGGCAGGTTTGTACTGTATGAAAGCCGACCCGCCAATCTGCCTAGTTGTGCTGTTTTGTCATTGCTGCATACTGATCCATTCTGTCCTTCATTGTGACACCCACCGATGCAGGCAATCG